GGCAGAGATTGGGCAGGCAGCCAGATCTGGAGGATTCTCAAGGGATTCTTAGAGCTGGGGAGGCTCAAAGAGGGTCTTCCTGAGCAAGCAGGTGTATAGCCGTCCTGTCTCCTCAGGTGTGCGTTCATTGGGAACCAGGACACGTATGAGACACATCTGGAGACATGCCGCTTCGAGGGTCTGAAGGAGTTCCTGCAGCAGACAGATGACCGCTTCCACGAGATGCATGTGGCACTGGCCCAGAAGGACCAGGAGATTGCCTTCTTGCGCTCTATGCTGGGCAAGCTCTCCGAGAAGATCGACCAACTAGAGAAGAGCCTTGAGCTCAAGTTTGGTGAGATCTGGCCCGGAGGGTACAAGGTACAGTGCTGCTCCTGACCCCTGACCCCAGTAACACCCCCTTCCTCCTGCCACTCAGATGTCCTGGACGAGAACCAGAGCAAGCTCAGTGAGGACCTCATGGAGTTCCGGAGAGATGCGTCCATGTTGAATGTGAGCAAGCAGGGGCCACAGGCTGGTGAGATGCAGAAGGGTGGGTCTGGAAACAGGACTGTCCTTCAGCTGGGACCTCTGCAGGCAGGCCTTCCACCACTGGCCTCTGTCCCCAATAGTTGGGACTAAGGGCCTATGTTCCAGTGAGGGCGGTTGCCCTTGCCCTAGTTCTGGGGGCTCCAAGTCTTCACCAGAGGCTGTGGCAGCTCCCCTTAGCTACCCTGTGCTTTGCCCTTGACCTTGCAGGATGAGCTATCCCACATCAATGCACGGCTGAACATGGGCATCCTAGGATGTGAGTATAGCCCACTGCTGTGCTCACCCTCTGTCCTTGGAGTCCCACTGGGTCCCTCACTAGTTTCTCCCATCTACAGCCTATGACCCTCAGCAGATCTTCAAGTGCAAAGGGACCTTCGTGGGTCATCAGGGCCCTGTCTGGTGTCTCTGTGTCTATTCCATGGGTGACCTGCTCTTTAGTGGCTCCTCTGACAAGACTATCAAGGTGGGTGGAGTCCTGCCTCATGGATTCTGCAGCCTGACTGGGTTAGGCACTGCATGCCAACCTTTGCCACCTCCTGCCCAAGGGTGGGCCCTCTCCCCCGGGTGGATGGCTTCCTCATCTTGTCATCCTTGGCAGTGAACTAACCCTGCTGGAACCTGTTCTGGCCCTGATCTCTGCAGGTGTGGGACACGTGTACCACTTACAAGTGCCAGAAGACACTGGAGGGCCACGATGGGATTGTTCTGGCTCTCTGTATCCAGGGGTGAGTCCAGGCACAGGGGTACCTACTGACCACAGGCACCCTGCGGACCATGAACTGTGAGCTTGAGCCTGGATCCCTGGGTGGCAGTGTGTGTGTACCCTGTGTGGCTGCAGTCTCTGCAATGTAGCCAGAGCCCTGGGCACAGCTCTGGGCTCAGGAATCATAGAACAGCTGTCCTGGCTACCTCCTTGCCTTAGGGTAGCCTCTTCCCCAGACCTGTCCCCGTATCTTGTGTCATGCTGGGAGGCTCTGTGTGGGCATGAGTGTGACTCAAAGGGAGAGGAGCACGTCCACTGGCAGCAGCAGCTTCCTAGCAACAGCCAGGTCCTCGGACTTGATGCTAAGGGTGGCTGACCTCCCAGCTGAGCTGTCATATGCTTCCCAGGCAGGCACCAGGCTGTATCTGCCATTTCCCATGTTCCCATATAAACCAAGGCTTTGGCTCCAGAAAATATCAGTGGCCCTGCCACCAGACCAAGCTGTTGGTTCTTGAGGCTAGCCAGGGCAGTGTGGGTGAGGATGGTGGTCTTCCCCCATCTCACTTGTTGGCTTTGCCTCCCCAGGTGCAAACTCTACAGTGGCTCTGCAGATTGCACCATCATCGTGAGTGGGGCCTGGGCCTGGAAGCTAGGATGGGTGGAAGAGACCCAGCACTTGCTCCCTCACTGACCTCCAGGTTCAATGGGTAGGGCTGGGACCCTGAGGCTTACTGTCCCCCATCTTAGGTGTGGGACATCCAAAACCTGCAGAAGGTGAACACCATCCGGGCCCATGACAACCCCGTGTGCACACTGGTATCCTCACACAACATGCTCTTCAGTGGTTCCCTGAAGGCCATCAAGGTACAGCCCGTGGGTATGTGTGTATGTACGGGACATGGGTGCCACTGGGTACCTGCCTATCCCAGTAACAGCTGTCCCTGCAGGTCTGGGACATCGTGGACATGGGTGCCACTGGGTACCTGCCTATCCCAGTAACAGCTGTCCCTGCAGGTCTGGGACATCGTGGGCACCGAGCTGAAGTTGAAGAAGGAGCTCACAGGCCTTAACCACTGGGTTCGGGCCCTGGTGGCAGCCCAGAGCTACCTGTACAGTGGCTCCTACCAGACAATCAAGGTGTGGCAAAGTTGCCTCCTGGTGGCAGTCTCACCCTCTGTCTGACTTCCCAGGCTGGCCTCAGTGGTTCCCTCTGTCCTGCCCCTACCATCAAAAATACACTGGGCCCCAGAGACCCTGGGTATGATGTGCTTGGCCTGGGACCAAGTGGCTACACTTGCCCCTAGATCTGGGACATCCGGACCCTCGACTGCATCCACGTCCTGCAGACATCTGGCGGCAGTGTCTACTCCATCGCTGTGACGAATCACCACATAGTCTGTGGCACTTACGAGAACCTCATCCATGTAAGGACTGGGCACCCAAGGCAGGCCTGACTCCAAGCCCATCACTCCCAGCCTTGTTCTGAGTCTCTGTCTCCGACCTGCCTCTTCCTACCCCTCCCAGGTGTGGGACATTGAATCCAAGGAGCAGGTGCGGACTCTAACAGGCCACGTGGGCACTGTGTATGCCTTGGCAGTCATCTCAACACCAGACCAGACCAAAGTATTCAGTGCATCCTATGACCGGTCCCTCAGGGTATGTGCTGCCCAGCAGCAGGGGCTCAGAGGGATGGTGACTGAGCCTGGGTAGGCACTCACATTCTGTGTGCTCCCCAGGTCTGGAGTATGGATAACATGATCTGCACACAGACCCTGCTGCGTCACCAGGGCAGTGTGACTGCACTGGCTGTGTCCCGGGGCCGGCTCTTCTCAGGGGCTGTGGATAGCACTGTGAAGGTCAGTGCCTGTAGCACAGGCCAGTCAAAGGGGCTGTACAGAACAGCGGAGGTGTGGGTGGGAAGCTAGTGACCACAGGCAAGTGGCAGTGGAGGGCAGGGAGCCCTGGGCCACAGGGGCATCTGAAACAGAGCTCTTTCTTTGCAGGTTTGGACATGCTAACAGAATCCAGGCTAAGCCTTGGCTCTTCCTGGGCCTGTCTGAGCCAGGCTGGCCACACAGAATGGCCTCCGGTTTCTGCCTGCCCTGTGGGGACAGATAGATGGGCTCAGGCAGCTGGGCAGTGCACTCCTGCCCCTGTGCTCAGCAAACCTCCCTCTATCAGGCCCTGCCTCACTGCTGCCAGAGAAATGTCCAGGCCCCTCTTGGGGTGCCAGGTACGATGCTCACCCAGTCCACTCCTTTATGCCACTCCAGACGGCCTGCGGGCCTTTTTACCTTTTCTACTGGTTTTAGACTGTATATAGATTTTATTACTTCCTGATTGAAATAAAAGCTGCACAGACTGTGGTCATGAGTAGGAACAGGTCCTGGGGCCAAGGGGCTGCGTGTGGGCCCTGAGGACATTGGTGTGCACAGGCACCAAAAGAGAGGGAGGGAGGTTAGGGGACCTTCCTTCCCTGCATGAGGAGGCTTGTCACCCCTCAGCTCCCAACTTCCAGTCCTGAGCCTCATTTCCCCCAACACAACCCCCCACCCTCCAAAAGAGTGAGCCAGGCAGCTCCGTTTTCTGCTGTTTATTGACAGCTGACAGCTGCTCCCTGCCCAGAACCCCCCCTTCCCACTGCTGGAGCCCCAACGTGGGCCACCCACCAAGAAGAGGCCAGGTGGATGGCCAGCACATCCACTCATGGGGAAGTGCCAGGTGTGCCAGCCGGAAGGGGCCCCATGGCCAGACACCACCTTAGTTAGCCCGCACCACAACTGCTGGTTTTCGGCAATTTTTAAACTTTTTTTTTTTTTTAAGAAATGTCAAAGTTGTGCCCAACACTGGTGGATCAGCAAACACGATAGAGGAGACCAGTCAGTATTTTTTGGAGGGAGGAAAACAGCGTGGGAAGGACTACACGACACAGCCTTGAACCATGAGCAGAAGCATCCTTGGGGACTCAAGGGGGCGACTGGTTCCTTGTATAGGGCCAGCCCGGGGCCCTGGGGAGGAGGGCAGGCACAGCCTCACGCACATCTGCCCCCAGCCTGGCATGCACATCCCTGCACTCAACTGCTGTCACTTGGCTGCATGCCCACGCTCACCACTGCACACACGAGCACCCCCAGGAGGAAGGAGCCCTCTTTGAGGTCTCAGGCATGGAGGACACAGCCTGTCAGTGAGCAAGGCACACCCTTCAAGTTCTTCAGATGCAGACAAGTTAAGATAGAAGAGTGGAGGAGAGGCCCTGGGTGGACCTCCCCCTCCCCGCAAGACCAAGTGTGCTCCTGGCCAGGGGCGTGGCCACTCCTGGATGGGGGGAGGGAAGGACTGACAGATAGCCTGGGCCTCTGACAATTTCTGTCTCCAGCTGGACTCCGTTGTCCTTTCAGTTGGTAAATGGTTTTTTATAGAATCAATAATATTTCTTTTTTCTTTAAATATATATTTGTTAAAGTTATACCTTTTTGTTTCTCTAGGGAAATCTGCCTTAGCTCATTTCCCAATAAATTAATACTCTTGATAGTTTATATTCTGGGGGTGCAGTGGGGCGGGCGGACCTTGGCCCCGGCTCTTGTGCTGCGCCGGAGCGGCTGGCAGAGGTTCCCCAATGGGCAGTTCTGTGCTGGGCATAGGCCTGTGCTCTGCCACGGATTGGGGAGGGGACCACGGTGGCCGCCCCTCTCTTCTTCCCTCAGCGCCCAGCCTGCCTCGGGCAGGAGAAGGGCGGCTCTCCACCTGCAGGGCAGACGTGGAGGGCGCCCAGCAGTTATTGCACTGTGAGCAGCAGACAGGGACGGGCACCCGCGGGGGCAGCGCGTCTGCCCAGAGCCCTTGGAGCCCCCGGCCAGGCTGTCCTACAGGCTAGTGCCCGGCCTGAGCCAGGGGCAGGAGTTGTGCTTGTGCAGGAGCTGGGCAACACGCCACTCCCCGCCCCCGCCGCCGGGAGGTGCCCGTCCTGAGGTAAAGGTCAGTGTGCGGGCCCGAGCCGGGGACGCGGCGGGCCCGATGTGGGCGGCCGCCTCACTCCAGCATGGCGTCCAGCTGGTCCGCCAGGTCGTCGAACATGCTGCCGATGTCGTCCAGGATGCTGCCCGTGCTCTTCTCCGCGGACGCTGAGGGGCTGGGGACCCGCGCAATGAGCAAGGCGAGGCGGGGGCCGGGGCCCCGCCCCCTCTCCCAGCCCCGCCCCCCGCCGCCGCCGCCGCCGCCGCGCTGGCCGGATCGGCCTCAACCTACCGCAGGCCCTGGCCGTCCTCCTGCCGGATCTTTTCCTCCACCGCCTGCAGCGCCGCAGCCAGGCACGCGCTTGTCTCCTCCAGCTTCTGCCTCGCGCTGTCCCCGGGCGAAGCGCCGTCCAGCGCGGCGGGAGGCCCAGCGGCCACGACGGTGGCGGCGCGCGGGGGCTTAGCGGGCACGTGCAGCACGGGCACGCCGGGGGACGGGGGCGCGGCGGGGCTGGCGCTCTGCGACGGTGGCGTGCTGGCCGGCTTGGCCAGGGCAGCGGGCGGCTGGCGCGCCGGCGAGGGCGCGGGCGACGGGCTGGCGCTGCCCGACTGCAGCCCGGCCGCGGCCTTGGGCGGTTTGGGTGCCGTGGGCGGCGGAGGCGGCTTGGGTGACACGGGCGGCGGCGTGCCGTGGGCGCGCTTCACCTCTGCGGGGAGGACCACGCTAGCACCCGGAATGGCACAAGCCCTGCCGCCGCGTCCGCTCTAGCATGCAGAGTGGAACCGCTGTCCCCCGCCCCGACCTCCCCGAGGCCGCCAGGGCTCGCGCTTCCAGGTGCAAACCTATTTACATCACTGCTTCCCAGGCCCTTCCAGGTGTGGCCTGCAGCAGCCACACTGGCCCTCCAGCTGCTTGACTGCCGCAGAGCCTTTACACTTCTATCTTATCTGGAAAACTTTTCCCAGTCTCCTGCACCTCAGTACACCTGTGTCAAGGCCCTCCCTGCACAGATCCCACCACTCATGGGCTTCTGTGCCTTCTTCTCCGAGTAAGAGAACTATGTCCACTTCACTCCTATCCCAAGGCTGGCACGGCGGGGGGTGGGGGGGGGGGGTCTGTGGCCATTCCCACCCCAGGAGGGCATCATCAAATGCAAAAAGAAAATCCCTCAGCCTGTGGGGTAGGCTAGCAGGACTGAGGGCCTGCTACCCCTGCTTGCCCTGTCCTAGCTGGCGCTCTGCTCCTACCTGGGCTGCCGGGGCCTGGCAGTGGCACCTTCTTAGAGGCAGGCGTAGGTGAACCCTGGATCTTGGGCACAGGCTGAGCCAGGACGGGCTTGGGAGAGACAGGCGGCTTTGCAGGCTTCCGGGTATCACCATCAGGCAAGGGCAGTGGAGGCAGGTGCACCAGGTCGGTGGGAGGGGGTTCAGCAGGTGGGGGTGGGGGGGGCAGCTCCGGGGGCCCAGTCTGCTCTGAGGCCGGTCTGCGGCGCATGGTGGCCGTGCCATTTTGGTACACGGATAGCGGTGGGGGCGGCTCTGGCCCCACCTCCCGTTCCTTGGCCTTGGGCCTGCGCTTGACGGTGTCAGACTCTGTCAAGATGAACTTGACATTCTCCTGCTGGCTCTGCTTGGCCCGGATGCGCCTCTTCAGTGTGGCACTGGCCTCCACCCTGGCCAGAGGTGGACCCTCTAAGCCCACCTCGCCCTTGCCCGGCCCTCGAGGACGCTGCCGGGTAGCACCATCCTCCACAAAGTGGCCCTGCTCTGTAGGTTCCCCAGATCCCCGGCGGGCAGTGGCCAAAAGTCCCGTGACAGGCCCACTGAGTGTGCGGCGCCTGTTCACCACCTCACCATCAGGCCCTATGGCCTCTTTGTGCTTCACTGAGGCCAGCACTGTCGCCACCCGGCCCGGCTCTGGGCTAGCGGGACGAGGTGTGGGGTGGCCCTCAGGAGGCCTGCGAGCAGCACGACCTCCACCCCCAATAGAAGACAGCTCAAGCATGGCTGCAATGCTCTTCACGCTACCAGCACTGCCTGTGTCCACGCTGCCAGCCAGGTCACTAGCCCGCCTGCGCTGTGCCCGTACCCCCAGCCGGCCATCCTCAGTCTCGGCATCCTGAGCCGGTTCATCAGCCAGGTTGGCACTGGCCATGGCTGAGCTGGAGCGCTTGGGTGGGGGCGGTGGGGGTCCCTTCTTGCGGGGGCGCACAGCAAAGGACTGACTGCGGTTGACATTCTTGTCGGTACCAGTGGGTGCCCTCACTGAGTGGCTGCGGCCCACACGTCGCTGGACCGTGGCATAGGGTCCCGTGGCGGTGGGCACCAGCAGCTCATCCCGCTCAGGCTCGCTGTCAGATGCCGCATAGCGATTCAGGCTGTGAGCACGCTTCTTGGGCCGCCCAGAGTCCACATCAGCCTCCGGGGGCAGGCATAGCGTGGGCACAGCCGCTGACACGGGTAGGGGTGCAGGCCCTGGAGCAGCTGGCCCCACTTCTCCCTCCACTGGCTGTGGTAGCACATAGGCAAAACCACGGTGTGTGGGTGACTGAGGCAGGGAGCGGGGCGACATAGGTCGCTCTGTTGGTGGCAGCAGCTGTGGGGTGGGCTTCACCTTGGCTGTGGCTGGGGCTGGACCATGAGGTCCCCCTAGGGCTTGAGGGGAGCCTGGCCGGGCTTTGGTGGGCGTCTGTGGGGGTGTGAAGTGGCTGGCGCCTGGTGGGAGGACTTGCCGTGGTTTGCCAGGCACTGGGGGCACACTGGCCCTCTTGATGCTGTGACCTTGGCGGCCTGGCCGGGCCTCCTTGGGTGGAGTGCCTGGGGCTGGCCCCTCATCGAGCAGGTACTCCTGGCTTCGTGACATGGGGCTGCCAGGCCCAGGGGGCCCATCACCCAGCAGCTCCTGAGAGCTGCTCATGTGCCGAGCCCGTCCACCTAGGCTGGGCTCCTGCCGCATGGTAGCCCTCGGGGTGGGGGGCAGGTGGTTGGAGGGCTTCTCAGCAGCCACTGCACCCCCCTCAGCTGGGCCAGTCATGGCAGCCTGCAGCTCACCACTGAGCTCACTGTCTTGGAAGGTGGTCATCTTAGGGGACTGGCATTCAGCTGGGGCAGGCTCTGGCAGGGGCGGTGACTCAATGGTCATCACCTCAAGCGACTGAGGTGTCTTCCGGCGTAGTGGTCCCCCCTCATACTTGGCATATTCTGCCTTCTGCAGCTCCGCCAGTTTCCTCACTGCCAACATCAGCTTCTTTTGGTGTCCTGAATGGGACATGGGACAAGTCAGAGGACCCAGAGGTGGAGGGGCTAGGCCTGGATTTGGGGCCGGGGCCTCACCCAGCTTGGTGATGCCGATCTCCTGCAGGTCCTCCCAGGTGATGTCCGTGATGAAGTCGATGTTCTCATAGCCGTTATCCACCAGCACCTTGTAGTACTGGGCCAGGCCAATCATGGACAGCCACATGGCCAGATTAGCCTAAGGAGCAGGGGACAGAGAGGGGCAGCCCAAGCTGTCTGCTCACACCCTGCCCACCTACCTGGAGCCATTTTAAAGGAAGGGGCCCTGGACCAGTGGGGCACAGACAGACAGAAGGACAAACGGACAGGCCCGAGGTATTAGTATTAGAGGTGCAGCCTCGACAGGACCCACAGGCCAGCTCCCCAGTATCCCCACTGAGCACTGGCATGCATACATGAGCCAGCACACGCAAACACACATGGTAGACCCATCCTCAGAGCACAGTTGCAGGTGGAAGAAAGCACTGCCTTGCCTGGCTGGGTAGACACAGGCATAGTGCCCCGGGGAGACACACCCACACGTCATGGACACAGACACAGCACCACATTGGATACGTGTACACACACACACCCTGCACACTGTACTTCCAGACATTCAGGGCATCAACAAGCCTACCTGTGTCATGTTCACACTCTCTCACTGTTTACCCATCCACATCAGATACATAACCACACACCTCACGGTCACATCACACACATGCAAATATCCACAGGGGTCTTCACTCAGAACGGCCCAGTCGCTACCTGAGTTCACAGTTAATGCCACTTGTGCACCCACACTCAGCACCCTCATTCATGCTAGTGACAGAGTGAGGCGAGGCCCTCAGGGCCCAAATGTGCTCCTGGGGGAGCCCCCTGATCTGCTGACCAAGTGGGCAAGGTGGGGTGGATGAGTGCGGACCCACCCATCAGTAGATCCAGGGATAGATGGGAGCATGGAGCACAGTGCACTAGCATCAGGTTGGGTGGCCCCAGGCCCAACCCATTCTCCTGCCCAGAAGCGGTCTCCTGTCATAGGCACCTCCCAGTGAGTAACAGTACAGACCACAGTCTGTACAGGTACCACCAGAAACTGTGCTGTCAGCCATTGGCACCGGCCAGTAAATGCAGTGGAACCTGTGTGCATGCACACACACTTGTCAATACACCCAGAGCACATCAGGTCCCACACATAGGGTGTGTGGCCAGCATGTCCTGCATGGGCCCTTCTGCAGTCTGTGTATATGCATGATGGGCGGTGACATAGGGGGCCTACAGTGTGGAGAAAGGACACTCCTGGCTTCAGACTTTCCTCACCCTGACAGAACAAGTGTTACCCATACCCCTGCCCAGGGAAGCTGGCCCCAGCGTCCATGAGGCACACACAGGCTGTTCAGGAGGCTCCCTGCTGGCAGGCCATCCTCCCTTTCCACTCTCCAGGGCCACAAAGAGCAGGTGAGGACTTTAGTCAGAAAGGCTGTCTGTCTGACTGTCTGTCTGCCTGCCTGGCAATCCTGGCTTAGCCACCAGAGTGCAGGAAGCCTTACGGGTTTGTGTTCAGGCAGCCAATCAGGGATGCTCAGGCCACTGATCTCTGCAGTGATCTTCTTCCGGTGGCCTGGCTTGGTGACACCAATAGCTGTGAGGTCCTAGATAGACAGGAGACCCATTATCAGGAGGCAGGGGTTCATCTTTGGGAAAGGAGGCAGCTGACAGCCAACCTGCCACAGCTCACCTCAGGAGTCATGCGGCTTATGGTAGGCAGGTCGTAGCCAGCACTGGTGAAGTTGGGGGCATAGAGCTGCAGCTGGAACGTGGCGAGCCACTGGCTGACCGCCTCCGCACTCTGGAAGACACAAGGCACCCGTTGCAGCCTGCCTGCCTCCAGGCCTTGACCCAGCCTCCACAGTGCCTCCTTCTCTGCTCAGCTGGTGGGCCACCGAGCGCTGGGTCCGCTGTCCGTGGTCCATCTGCAGGCATGCCCTGGCAAGCCTGGCATCAGCACTCCTTGGTCTGCCACCTGAACACAGCATCCGCAGCCGTGTGGCCTTCTTCTGTGAGCTCCGCCAGGAGGGTCCAGCTGCTGACCATGTCACAGCCTCCCTGACCTTTCCCCCATTCCTGCACCAGGGACTCCCACACCATCTTGGGGAGGCAGGTGAGGGGGCTCTGGGGAAAGGGACTTCCCAGGCAGGGCTGGGCTGCTCAGCAATGCCCCCTCAACTCCCTGGAAGGTGAACTCTTTGCCACAGGTGGGTGCCTCGCCTCCTCTGCTGTGCAGGACTCAGCCAGCAGCTCATGCCTCCCAGCACACTGGTACATGCACACATGATCCACTGCCCTCATGCACACACCTGTGTGTCACAGCCATCCCCTTCCATCTGTGCAATCACACATGTGCATGCCTGGCTCATAGTCACACCATCCCATACACTCACATACCACACCACACCACACACACACACACACCTGTCACCCTCTGTACCTCCACAAGTGTACACATACTAACTCACAGTTTACATGACAGACAACACCTGTACACTTGTGTGTGCACACATGACACACACACAGACTGATAGACGGACAGAACGACAGAGTCTGCTGTCTAGACCCCTAACCACTGCTGTGGCCAGCTCAGGCAGGCTGCCCATGGGCCTGTCACACTGCCAGGCCCCACCCTCCCGAGCCTGGCCTTGGGAGCCAGCCCAGGCCCTGTACCTTGCCCTCCGAGGCTGGCTCTAGCTTCTTGGGCAGTTGTTCCCCGTAGACCTGCCCAGCATGGGTTGCTGGAGGCTGGGACCTGGTAGCACCTGGTGACAAAGAAGGTGGCAGGGCAAGGGCTATTCAGGAGCCACCTCCCTGCCAGGCCAGCACTGCTGGGTCCTTGCTCTTACCTGTGGAGCCTTCTGGAGGCTTGACAGGGCTATCCCCGGGGCTGGACTCAGAGACAGACTTCTGGGAAAGCACTGTTGCCAGGAGCTATAACCCAGAAAGGCTGCTTGCCTGTGCTGCTCCAGACTCAGCCACCCAGGCTGCACTGGCCCAGCCACCACCCCACTGACCTTGACTCCTTCGGAGCCTGTATGTAGGGCATGGCTCCCTCCACTCCGGCCACCAGCTGCACTGCTTAAGCTGCCACTTCGGTCTCCACCTGTTAGCACAGGGAGCATGAAGCCAGTGCTGGCCTCCATCTGGCCCCACAGCGGTGACCACAGAGGTGCTACCGTCCCAGCAGTCCAGAGGCCCCCATCCTACCTGCAAAAGGCTTCCTCAGCACCCAGATCTCCTCTGGGGGCGCAGAGGGCCCCGCTGAGCCGCCTCCCTGGGGTGGGCTTGGCTCGCTCCCTGCTCGGGAACCTGCAGGCCGAGCACAGCCTCCTTGAGCCTTGGGCTATCCATGTGGGAGCAGACATGGAGAGGGGGCCTACCAGAGGCATACACACCTCTGGAGGTCATGCCACAGCCTCCCCCTGCCCTGGCTGTCTCCAGGAAGCTGAAAGATCCCTCCCCACATTGGACATCTGAGACCAAGAGAGTGGCTGAGGGGACCCAGGGCCACTGGCCCTGAGGTCCGACAGGCAAAGAGGCTGAGGACTGCTGGAGGGTGCAACCTTCTCTGTGCTAAGGGACAGGTAAGAAATCGCCCAGGCACCTGAACTCCCACCCCAGGAACTAGATGAACATTGGTGGCTGGCCGCATCTCCTAACTGCCCCTCTTGCTCCACCTGTTGATCTCCATGGCCTGTAAATGGTAAGCCAACCTCCTCCTACCGCACGCCCAGCCCTCGGAAAACAAGCCATCGGGTTTCCCTACCTAACCCTGCACTCCCTCCCCTTCCTCCTCTGCTCCAGTCATGCTGGCCTCCTGTCCTCGTGCCCCAGTGCCTTTGTGCATGCGGTTCCCACTGCCTGAATTGCTCTGCCCTGCGGATGGCCAGCCCCTCCCACTTCTCAGGCCCTTCTCTGACCTCCCTACCTAAAGCAGGCCTCACCCCACATTCTCTATGCCACTTGTTAGTATATTTCCCTCCATGTTTATGTCACTGTCCCTGCTTCCTCCCATGCCAGGGTGAACTTGTCAAGAGCACAAGCAATGTCTTGTCTGGTTCCCTTGAGTCCTTAGTGGACACCTGAGAACTAGAATGTGGCAGGCAGATCATGTGTGTGCATTAAGTGAAGAAATGCATGTGGGGGTGCTGATGAGAGCTGACCAGAGGGATCCCAGTCCCAGTAATGGCTGGAGCTCAACCCCTGCCTCGTGGCCAGTACACCAGAGCACACTTACTGCTTTATGGCCTTCAACTCAAGCCAAACCCCCCCCCCCACACTGCCTTCCTTCTAGGGATAGGTGGGACTTGCCTGCTCTCTTGATGATAGCCTCACCCAGTGAGGATGGGAAGTAGCCCACACGGTCGTTGCCCGTCCGGTTGTCATGGATACAGCCCTTCCACCGGCCATCTGGATGCTGTTCCAGGACCTGGTCAAATAAGTGGGGAGGTGTGCTCAAGGAGACCCCCTTCAGGTGTGGTCTCTGCCCAGTGCCCCACCCCAACTGCTGAGGGATGGTATTGTGAGTGAGCATGCCCAGGTCCCACCCATCCCAGTCACAGCAGCCCAGGAGCTGTCCTCACTGTGATGATGTCTCCTGCCTTCACGTTGAGACTGGTCAGGTCGTAATTGTTGCAATAATCCTTGGTCGCCCGGACCTGCAGGGCTGCCGAGGCCTCTGGGGACACAGGAGGTAGACCCCCCCCAGTCCTGCGAGCTGCCTGCCCAGGCCCCACCCCAGCCCCACAGCCCTGCCCGCGCCCACCTCGCAGCAGCTGCTTGATCTCTTTGCTGGCCTGAGACGTGGTGAACTGGTGCACGATGTCTAGAGCCGTCTGGCTGTAGGTGTTTCTCACCTGGGCATTGATCCCACTCTGCATGTGCCAAAGAGTGAGGCTCTATCAAGAACCCCTGTGCCCTGACCTGGCCCCAACAACACCCTCCCACCATTGCCCCGAGACTCACGTCCAACAGTAGCCGGACCACTTCCGTCTTTCCGCAGAGCGCAGCCTCATGCAGAGCTGTGCCGGATTTGGTCTGGCGGTTGATGTCGATGCCAGCCTGAAGGAGGAGTCTGGCGGGAAGGCAGGGAGGATGGGCAGGACCTTTCAGCAGGAGCCCTCCTCCCAACCATCCTCAAGCTGGGCCTCTATTCCTGGGTGCTCCGCTGACTGCTGGGGCTTGAGGTCAAGCCAGCCCTGCCCTGTGTTGACACAGTGTGTCTGATGTTTGCCAAGTGCTTGTGGAAGGGCCCATCCCTGGCAAACCCCTCATCGTTGTCATCTTGTCCACTCCTGACGCAGGCACTGCTGGGAGCCCCACTTTATAGTTAGGGAAAACAAGGCAGAGAAAAGTTAAGTGCCTCCATGAACAACCTATAGAAGCCCCTCCCTGTTCCCTCTGGGTCATCCTTTACCTGGGTAGCCGGAGGCCATACCAAAGGCACAACCACATTCCTGTGGTTCCCCCTGACGCTCTGGTCCGATCCCTAAGCCGGGAGCAGGAGCCAAGTCCCCAGATGCCATCAAGCCCCAGGAACCCTGAAGCTAGGTCCCCCTCCCTGTCCCTGGTTATACCTGATGATGTCGATGTGGCCATTCTTGGCTGCCAGGTGCAGGGGACTGGTGCCATTGGGGTCGGTAGTGTCCCCTGGCCGGGGCTCCAGCAAGGCCGCGCACATGTTGCTGCTCAGCAGCAGCTGGACCACCTGAAAGGAGGGGTCAGGGTAGGGAGGACCTGGCTTGGTGCCACCCCCGACCACACCCAAGGCAAAGAGGACAGGCAGGAGTCCTGCCTGGCTCCCCAAGGAGACTTACCCCGACGCGGCCGAACTCACAGGCCAGGTCCAGGGGCGTCTTCCCCGAGTTGTCCACCATGCACGGGTTGGACTGGTGCTGCAGCAGCATCTCAGACTGCAGGCCCAGGGCACGGTCAGTCCTGGGTATCACCAGTGTCATCCACCCTCCCCGCCACCCCCACAAGACCTCACCACGTCGTAGTGACCATGCTGAGCTGCGAGGTGCAGAGGAATGTGACCCTCATCAGATGGAACGTTCACTGCCGAGCCGGCCTTCAGCACCAGCTTCATGGGCTCCTTCCGGCCCTGCCAGGCTGCATAGTGCAAGGGTCGCATTCCTGGGGGCAGGTGGGGACTGTTGGAGCTAACCCCTGACCCTTACCTGAGGACACTGATCCCAGAAAAACTCAGGACAGAGACTTCAGTCAGGGGTCATTCAGGCTTCAAGGGCCCTGCCCCTGACCTTGACCCCCTGCTCCCGGCTTCACAGCCCCAGACCAGCCTTGCCTTTGTTGTCCTTGATGTCCACAGCAGCCTGAGCCTCTAGCAACAAGGTGATCAACTCTGTGTTGCCATTCAGGGCAGCATGGTGCAGGGCTGAGAAGCTGGGTGGGCAAAGAACAAGTCTAGGAGAAGACACCACACCCTGGCCTTCCCCAGGGTCCACCTATCCCATCCAGGTGGCCACCCCCCACCCAAGGTGAGCACTCACCCATCTGGATCCTGGAAGTTGACATTGATCTTCTTGGTGGAGCCCAGGAGCTCTGGGGGAAGAGGGAGACACGATGAGGGAAGGCTTGCCCAGCCCCTCCAGGCAGTCTAAAAGCAGGGGAGGGTGGTGGCGAGCTCCCCAGTGGGGCCCAGAGCCAGGTTCTTAGTCTACAAACACGAATCCCGCTCCAACTGCATTCAGCTCCAGGTGCCAGCTCTCTGGACCTTGGTTTCCCATGGCACTGAGATGCAGTAGGGGGTTCATTATGCCAAAGACACTGGCCTGTCCCCACCTGGGAACAAGAGATAGGACCATGTGCCTGCATAGGCACACACGTGCACACACACACACCTCCTCGGGGACACTGGCTGAGCACCTGCCGTTGGTGGGAGGGAGAGAGCCAGCCCCATCTGTCTCTCAAAAGGACCCAGATGGGGCCGGGGGTGGCCAAGGAGGCTGGAACACCCGGAAATGGGGTATCTCTGGGAAAAGAGCTACATCTCCATGGTGCAGCCCCCCACTGCCAGTCCTGGCTGGCAGAAAGGGGAGGCAGGCCAATGCTTCTGGGTGACCCCAGATGAACAGCCACCTCCTTCACAGGGGTGATGCTCAGACCCCAGGCTCAAACCACCTGAAGCCCCAAGAGCCACACCCTCTCCTTGGGGCTGGAGTGTCTTCCTGTGGCTTCCCCCAGTCATCTGTCAGAGGAGGGGAGCCCACCAATGCCCCCTCCCCAGTGGCTCAAGTACACCGGACTCTTGCCAACCCCCTGCCTGTCTGGACCATGGTTACATAACCCATTTGTGGGTCAGTTGCTCTGGGCGGGGGGTGGGGGGGCTGGAAGAACAGAAGCCCCTTTGTCCAGGCCCAGGACAGGGGTGGGGGTGGGGTCCTAGGGCAGGGAAGCCGAGTCAATTGAGTCACAGAGGGCTGGCTGCAGGGCCCTCCTTCAACTTGATCCTGGCTGCTGGGCACAGGATATGGGCGCCCTAGTGACCCCTGAAAGCCTATGAAGTAGGCTGGACCTGAGTTCTTTCTTTGCCCTGCTACTTCCTAGCCCTGTGACCTTGGTCATAGGCCTCCTCCCTGAGCTGGAAAAGGTGGCGCCAACAGGGCGGTCCTGAGGCCCAGAATATTTCCAGGCACCAGGCCTCATTTAGTGCCAGCTGCTCGGGGATGCCACCCTGTCTCATGAAGTCTCTCCTGTGCAAAGTGAGGCATCTCCACCTCCCAGTCCCTTTCCTCTGCTCAGACACTGCTGGCACCAGGGTCCATCACAGTTAATGGCAAAGCCACCACCCTGAGGGTAGCCCAGGTCAAAGCCTTGGAGTCAGCCCTGGGGGCCTTTCTCATGTGCCTAAGTCATGTGCCAAGGTGAATCCTCCCTGTTCTGCCTCAGGATTTGCTCAAAGCACACTTGGAATCTTGCATTACTCACCATGCTGCGCTTACCAACCTTGGCCAGGCCAGCACCTCTGGCAGGTCCCCTGCCACTGCCTCCCCACTAGTGTCCCTGCTCCTCCGTGCTCCTTGCTCTGTCCTCTGTACCCACTAGTAGTGTGCTGTTAAAGCATAAGTCAGACCCTCTCACTTCTCTTCTGAAGACCCTCTACCCCCCCTTCTCATGAGGACAGAGTCTCGTGCTGGACAGTGGATCGGCATGACCCCTGCATTGGCTCTGACCTTGTGGTCTGTACTTTCATCATCTCTACTTAACTCACATGGAGTTCCATGGACAAACAGAACACCGCGGCCACGGGCCTTTGTACATGCCTGTGTATGTCTGAGAACTACTCTGAAGATATTCACAAGACTCCCTTCCTCATGCCCTTCACATTCCGTCCATATGGGGACTGCTCCGCAAGAACCCCTCCAAAATGCAACCCCTTCCCCTCCCACATCTGCTTCATTCTCCTCTCTAGCCCTCATCACCACCTACCACATCACACCTACTTACTAACGTGTGTACTGTCCGTTTCCATCAGCAAACTAGACACTCCCAAAAGACAAGGCCTTTCGTCGGCTCTGATTCCAACTGTACTCTGGGTGTGCCTTCCGCCTATGAGGTACTCAGTTGGTGTCACTGAACTGATTATCTTCTTCCCGTACACTAGCTACCACCAGGGCCAGCTTCATGAGCAGGTGACAATTATTCAGAAGGGTTCTCTTCCGGAAATACTTGTTTGGATAAGGGACACTACATTATTTTGCATTGAGGACCTGCTACCATCCCCTCCCCCATCTCCCAGGAATGTTCTTCTCTGCTTTTCTCAATCTCAATATAGTCTAATCTCAATGTCTCCTCTTCTCCCTCCCCCTGTCAGGCCTCCAGGCAGTTGCAGAGCCAGGTGCTGGAAGTATAACCCATGGGCCAAGTCTACCTGCTCATGGAGCCACACCTTCAGAGGCTACTACTTCAGAGGGGCTTGAAGGTCAAGGCCCAGAAAGTGAGATGTACCAGTTGGGGCAGAGCCTCAATTGGAAGGCCATCCCTACATGGGGAGGGTCACCTTATTAAGATCATCTACCCATGGTCCCTTGGGGAGGGAAATAGCAGAAATGAGATCTGAGGTCTCAGGGTGCTCCCCTGTACCTGCAGGTATACTGGGTGCCCCTAAAAATCCCAGAAATGAAGAGAGCCTGAAGCTAGGAGACTGTCCCACAGAGAGGGAGAGGTCTTCTAAATGAAGCAGGAGTAGGGCATGACTGCATGACTGGAGGGGACCTGGGAAGTGAGGAGGGGGCCAGTGAGGGTTAAGCTGAAGTCCTGAGAGCTCCTTTCTCTTCCAGGAGGTCACAAAGTCCTATGGATTCAACATCAGTCATATTGTAGATAACTTGCATCCCAACCTCTGCCCAAATTCTTGGGACCCTAGCAGTCTAACTGCCTTCTCCTTAAGGACAGATCCAAACTTCAAGCTGGAAGGGAACTCTTAGTGGGCCAAGAAGAAGGTGGACACTGGCATGGGGTGTTCTGGGAATTCCTTTCGGGCATCCTCAAGCCTGCCTGGGGAAGGGAGGTGGGGCCAGAGGATAGGGCAGCCCCAGCCGACATTTCCCTCCAGAGCTGGCTCTTCTTCCTCCAAAAACAACTAAGTATGAGTGCACGTGCAAGAGGCTCCTGTCAAGGCGAGATGAGGGGCTGACAGAGCCTGGGGTAACAGCAGCTGCAGGGTACAGAGAAGGGGCTGGGCACTGGGAGGGGCTCAAGGACACAAGGATGGGTCATGGGAGGGGTAAGGGGCTCTCAACAACACTGCTGGACACCCCCACCCCATGGCCCAAACTCCAGCTGTACTTTGCTGAATCAAAATACATCTTACTCCAAAGCAGGCCAGCGTTGCCATGACTACTGAGCTAATTCATGGAGGGATTTCTCCATTTGATTTATTACACCCGCCCCTGTGAGTCAGAGAGTACAAGATACAGGGGCCAGTGCAGGTGTCTCTCCTGCCCCAGAGGCCACACCAGGTAGAGGCCCAGGAAGTGTGAAAGTTACCTCCTCTCCCCAGGATGGCAGAATAGAAGGCAGGACAAACCCCCAAATCTGAAGCCCATGTTTCCCTGGCAGTGGAAGCCGTCATAGTGTTTACTGAGCAAGTACTAAGGGCCTGTGTGCTTCCTGTCCACCTTCTCACTGTTCTCCTAACACTGGGGTGAGATAGGGACCACAAATGTCCCATCCTACAGAGGAGGAGACTGAGGTCCAAAGAGCCAGATGTCTGTGCTCAAGGACACACAGCCACTAGGTGGAAGCCTGTACCTTGCCTTGTGGTCTGTCTGCCCCTCCCTGGAAGTCCTCCCTTTCTCAGTCTTGAGAACCTGACTCCAACCCAGTGAGCAGAGCCTCCTGGGCAACCTCAGTCTGTGGAATAGAGGTCGGTTTGTGTGTCTCCAAGGCACCTATGTCCTTCCCTCTGACTATACAAAGTGGACAGGAGCTGGCTAAACAGGGCTGCTGCGGGGAGAGGGGGTGGGGGACATGCAGAGTCCTAGGTCTCAGCATCTCCCTGGAGAAACAGAACCCCCACACCTCCCACCCCCACCCCTGCCATGAGTAGGGAGTGAGGACATCCAGATCCCACGTGCAGACCTGCAAAGCCCAGCCCATGTCTGCACAGGTGCCCTGACACACTGACACGGTCATACGTGCGCAGCCGCACACGCAGCTGATCCACACGCCCATCCATCCATCTCCAGCAGCCCCCAGGGAGGCTCTGGGATGAGCCAGGATGAGTGCTGGGATCAGGGCTCCAGGCTCCCAGCCCTTCCCTGGGACCCCCACAGCCAAGCTAGGGATGGCTGTGGGAGCCCCCCACTCCCCCATGACCCCTTTCCCAGCAGAGAACCCAGGGAGGACCAGGGTCTATTTGAGCCTGCCTGAGAAGTGGAGCTTGCAGCCCTTCTCCCCCAGGATGCCCCTGCCTGGAGCCCAGCCTACCCTGGGCTGGGCGACCTTGGGCCTCTGCTCTCTCCTCAGTAAATGGCCCCCACCGGCCATGCTGGGCAGCCACACCCCCAGCGTGGTCCTGCCCCCCTTCCCTGCAAAGCGTGTTATTAAACATGAGGTGGAGAGGTGGTTGTCAGCCCCAGGGTCGCCCCCCCCTCCCGCTGCAAGGGCCCCCTCCCTCTCACCATGCTGGGGGGAGGCCATCAGCCTCGCCCTTTAAAGGGCCCAGCAGAGACTTCCAGCCGTCAGCCCGCAGCCTGGGAAGGGAGGGGTCCCCAGGCAGGGAGGGAGGGATGCAAACGCCTGCGGGCCCGCAGGGGAGGTAGGTGCCGCAGGTGCCTGCGGGGGGCTGGGGGACCGCGGGGCTCTCGGTGCCGCCCCTCCTCCAGTGCTGGGAGCAGAGGGGTCGCGGACCGAAGGTCTGGGCGATGCTGGCCCCGCCCCGCCCCCGGGGACCCATCGCATCCCCTCCCCGCCCTGCGCCGGGGCGGTGGGGGCCCCGCCCGCCGCCCGCGCCCCCGGCGTCTCCCTCACTCACTGGCCTTCCCGGGCCGCGGCCTCTGCAGCAGCCTCTGCGCGGTGCCCACGTCCTCCGCCTTCACCGCCTGCACCAGCTCCTGCTCCTTCCCCATGGCGCGGCCGGGCCGCAGCGACGCTGCGCTCCGTGCGCTCGGCTGTCAGACGCGGCGGCGGCCCCGCGGCTGCGGCCGCATCCTTTCCCACCCGCGCCGCCTGTGCCGCCTGCGCCGCCCGCCGCCCTGCGCCCTCCGCGGGCTCGGGCTCCGGCGCCGAGGGGCGGGCAGCGCGTCACGGGCGGGGGGCGGCCCGGGGGCGGGGGCGCGGCGTCTGAGCCACCTCCCTCCCGGACGCCTGGGTCCGCTCCCGCGGCCGCTGACCTCCGTCAGCCCGCGCCGGCCGCGCGCCCGGCTCCGTGGCTCCGCCCCCGCATCGGGCCCTTCCCCCCAGACGCCCCCTCCCCACGTGCAGGCGTGCGGGTCAGGCTCGGCCTCTGCGGAGCGCTGGTGGCCGGGGGAGACCGGCAGGGGCTGGGGATGGCGTGCAGGGGACCTGGCCGCGGAGCCCCGGCACGGAGGCAGCGCGAAGGCTGAACCTGCAAGAGGCTTCCAGAGGCTGCGGGACCCGAGGGGGAGGGACTGGAGGCAGTGGGCGGGCGGGGACCGGGGCACCGGTGGCACGGGAGCCGGCTCGCCAGAGGCTGTCAGACATTTCTGGCCCGTGGTTCCCGTGGGAGGTGTCGAGGGATTGTGAAGAGGAACCTCCCAATAATGAATTCGGTGTCAGGGAACCCTTACCCCCTCCCCCCAACTACACCTTCTTCCCTGGCAGCCTCTAGCTCCTCTCCGCAAACAATGCAGGGTGACAGCCCTCCACCAGAACAGCCCAAAGGGGGCCCCTTCCTCACCCTCCCATTCTCCCCAGCACAACTGAGGTCTGACCCGCCTTATCCACCGTGAAGGGGGCTTAGCCTCACATCCCCAGTGCCACCAGCCCTGTCCAGCATGTCTGAGCTCCCGCTCCCAGCCTGCTTCTCTGGTCTTCAGCCACAGGTTCCTGCAGCCCCAGTTGGGACAGTCCTGCTTGGCAGATGCTGGGACCCCAGCACCTTAGAGGTTTTACACTTCTTACCTCCTGCCTGAAGGTGAGGGCTGTCCTGGGCCTCAGGCCCTCCCCTACCATGCCTGCAACTTTACAGACATACACCGGTTGAGGTTCTATTTCCTTAGTTTCCCCATTTGCAGGGAGGAGCAGGTCAGCATCCCAACCCAGCAAGACTGCTGGAGAGTTTGGGGAGGGCCCACATATGCAATAGTGGAGATGTGGAAGCAGCAGCAGCAGACACAGGGATCCCGGCTCGTGTAATTTTCATGGGGCTAAAGGGAACAAGCTGGGCTCCTAAATGCAAGGACCCTTCCCCCACATTTAGCTGTAACCATTTCCTGGTTCCCTGTGTGCTGCCCACTTTGTAGATAAAGCTGGACTTACTGACCATTTTACAGATGAAGAAACTGGGGTTTAGAGAACCCATGAGCTTCCAGGCATGTACTATGAGGTCCCAGAGCCTCACAATCATGAGTCTGTAAATTTTTTTGTTTTTTGAGACAGTCTTTCTTTTTATGAAGCCCTGGCTGGCCTTGAACTCACTATGCAGCTCAGGCTGGCCTTGAACTTACTCTGCAGCCCAGGATGGCCTTGAATTCATTATGTAGCCCAGACTGGCCTTGAACTCACTGTGGAGCCCAGGCTGGTCCTGAATTGTCCATCCTCCTGCCTTGACTTCCCAGAGAGAGCTAGGATTACAGGTGTGCACGGCCACGACCCCCACTTGAGTCTAGACTTTGAACCCATGTCAGTTCTTCCTCTTACTGGTTTTGTAATCCTGAGGTGGTTACTTTGTTTTTCTGAGTCTCTGTTCCCCCTTTGTAAAATGGGGGTGAGTGTGACACCTCCTGTTAGGCCACTGCAGGGTTAACTGTGATGCTATCCACAGGGGACTCAGGAAGTACTCAACAAATGGCTGTTGTGGATATTATGATGTACTTGGGTCTCCCTGCCTGGCTTGCAGCTGTATTTGATTCGTCTTTGCATGTACAGTGCCAAGCACACAGGGAGCACTACAAAAAGAAAAAAGAAAAATCCCAAGTCAGCTGTCATCATTGCTATTAGCATTGTGTTTGGGGCTTGTTAGGGTAAACCACCCTGGCCTATGCCTAACATTTTTGGGGTCTGGGGCAAAAGTACAGAGAGAAGCCCACTCACTGAATGTCTGAATGGTTAAATGCAGCAACTCATGCTGATAACCTGTTAAATAAAACATGTTCTGTCCTCCTACCTTGACAGATAGACCTTCATCATGACCCAAGGGCCAATTTTAAATTTAGAATTCCTGGATTCCTTTTGGCTAAAGAACTGGTCCCTGCCTGCAACTGCCTCACTCCTGTTCTCTGCTCAGTTCCGGCACCGTCCGCACCCCACAAACGCTAACTCCTCAGACCAGGAGTGGGCATCCTGTTGTGTGGCTACTTTCAGGACAAACACTGGAAGAGGGCTGCGGAGGTTAAACGAGTGGGCTTGAGGCCTTTTGGGCAAGGAATTTTAGGGCCTCAGGCTCATACTCAGATTGCAGTCTGAGAGGGGTCCCTGGGCTCCAGGTGGGCTCCTGCTCGTTGCCCCAGAGATTCCTCACCCACAGGGTGGAGGGTGGCAGGAAGAGGGCCTGAGTCTTTCCCTGCTTAGTAAGACTAGAGCCCCAGATCAGACATTGCTCATCAGTGACCTCGGACAAGTTCCTAATCTCTGTAAAATGGGCCAGCAGCTCCTTGTGCAGCCCAGGGTTAATGAGAAGGCCCACAGGAAACAGATGTGCATCTGCTCAGGGTCCCCCAGCCTGGGGATGAGGTGAGCATTGCAGGCAGTCGTCCTAGCTGGGGGATGAAGATGCAGAGGCATGGGATGTGGGACTTGGGCAGCCCTCCAGGAAGTCAGGCCTCTGAAGACCATCTGGGAGGAGGGGCCGCTGAGCCAGCAGAATCGCTGAGACAGCCTGGAGTAGAGCTGGCGGCAGCCTCACTGCAGCCCGGGCTGGCCTCCTTCCCAGATGCATGGCTGCCGCCAGCCAGCCTGCAACCCCTGCCTATGTGCCTGGTTAAGGCATCTCCCCAAACCTGGTGCCTGGCCCCTTGCGTATAAAATGAGGATGGTGAATGTTCCTTTCTCATGAGTGGCTGGAAGCATGTGGCATATGTCAGCTGCCACAGTTCCTGTCATTCCTGTAGGTGCCACTTCTGCGAAGCACTGCTCTGGTACCCAGGACATCATAGAGACTCAACAGCCACGTGCCCCAGCCCCCTCCCAGCCCAACAGAGACGCTGGAGCTACTCAGACTGATGGGGGCCCCGCCCAGTTTAACAGCTACCCCTGGGTTGGAACATAGGCAGTCTCCCTGGCCCTCAGAACCCTACTCCACCCAGAGCCCTGCAGAAAGAGCAATAGCTCTGGGCCTGGGGGACAGGTGGAATCCCCACTCATACATCTGGTCACCCTTCCCTCCTGTTCTTGGGCCTGTTGTGGTTTAAACTGCCGCAGACATCCTTCCAATGAATGAGGTTCAAAGGGCTCTTCCTCCCCCACCTTTCACGCCCAGCACTTCCCAGCTACTCTCCAGGCTGCCTCCTAACTCACTGGGCAGCTGCCTTTGGGGAGCTCATCTCTTCATTGAGAGGACAATATAAGGTGCAGGGGCCTTGGGGAGCAATCTCCAAGGCCAGAAAGGGCAAGGTCAGGGGTGAGTTGGGGTTGGAGGATGGGGCTTGGCCTGGAGCTGGACGAAATTAAGCTCCAGTGTCTTCCAGCCTTGTGGCTTCAGCCTTGATTCTACAGCTCTGAGCCTCGTTCTCTTGTCTCCTCTTGAACAGAGTCATTGTGAGAACTTGATGCACAATGTAGGTAAAACAGACACCATGATTTGGCAGTTCTTCAATAAATTGAACACAGTTGACATATGACCAGCAAATCATAGCAATTCATTCGTAGGGTATTTTGGAGAAATGAAGATAGTATGCAAACAGGTGCTCGTATATGAACCTTCACAGCAGCACTACTCACAGAGCCAAAAAGGAGGAAATAACTCACATGCTCATTGATGAATAAATAAAATGGGGCCCATACTGGAGATGTGACTCAAGCAGTAGAGCACCTGTTTGCAAAGATAAAGCTGTGAGTTCAAAGCCCGGTCCCACCAAAAAATAAAAATAAACAAAATGGGGCTCATGTGTGCAATGGAATATTATTCAGCCATAGAAAGGAATGAAGCATTGACACACACCACAACATAAATGAATCTTGAAATAAGACACTAAGTGAAAGAACCCAGACAACTAATGCCGCAGAATTTAGAATTGTATGATTCCATTGACATGCAATGTCCAGAACAGGGAAATCTGTAGACAGGAAGATCAAGTGGTTGCTAGGGGCTGAGTGGGGAAGGAGGATGGGGAGTTATTGCTTAGTAGGTGAAGGTCTTCATTGGGGATGATGACATAGTTTTGGAGTTACCTAGAAGCAATGGCTGCACCAGGTTATTGATGTACTAAGTGTGCTGAATTGTTCACTTTTTTTTTTTCAGATGGAGGTATGGAGGTGTGGCTCAAGCAGTAAAGTGCTGCTTTGCAAGTACAAAGCCCTGAGTTCAAATCCCAGTCCCACCAAAAAAAAAAAAATCTCAGATGGGGGTCTCGCTACGTAGCCCAGGCTGGCCTGAACTCAAGATCTTCCTGGTTCATTCTCCTGAGTGCTATGATTACAGGTGTGTCTCAACACACATGCTGATTTGTTCACTTTTTTATTTTTTGTGGTGCTGGTGTTTTGAACTCAGGGTCTCGTGTTTGCTAGGCAGGCATGCTACTGCTTGAGCCATGCTCTCATCCCTGAATGGTTCACTTTATTTTATTTATTTTTGTGGTTTGGGGGTTTGAACTCAGAGCCTACACCTTGAGACACTCCACCAACCCTTTTTTGTGAAGGGTTTTTCGAGACAGGATCTCTCCAACTATTTGCCCAGGCTGGCTTCAAACTGCTGTCCTCCTGATCTCTGCCTCCTGAGTAGCTAGGATTATAGGCGCCTGGCTTGAATGGTTCACTTTAAATGGTTAATTTTATACTATGTGAATTTCACTTCAAGAAGAACAAAAACACCAGCACAAAGTTCCACAAAGAATAAGTCATCAAAAAAAAGACCAAGTCCACAAAATGAGAGTAAAGGTGCTGGAAGCCAAGAGCTGGACAGGTAAAGGGTCAAGGGAGAACATCCTAGGTACAGGCAAGGGATTCAAGTGAAGGTGTGGCAAAGTAAGGGGCTGCCTTCTCCTCTGGCTGAGCCCTTGACCTTGTCGGGAGGAAAGACCAGAGGTCACAGGGTGTACTGGGACTAGGCCTGGAGCCTGGAGGTGCCAGGGGACTACTCTAGTGGGGTGTTAAGTCACACTTATTTGTAAAGACCACTGTGGAAGGAAAAAGAGTGTGTGGCTAGTGAGGAGGTTGTTACAGGGGCGGGGGGAGGTAGAGGGGTCATTGGAAGAGGACAAGGTCAGTGAGAGGTGAAATCATGGATGCAAGAGAAGGACAAGCGTGTGGTGCTCCCTGCTGTAACACCTGGTGGCACTGCTCACAGAAGGGCAAGCAGTCAGGGAGAAGTTGCCTTGGCCGTGGATGGTAGCGTCCTCTGTGGGGCCATGTTTAACAGAGAGCTGAATGTACACTGAGGGTCAGGGCTCAGGAAGCCTTGGTGCTGGAGACAGGATGGCATCAGAAGTCAAGGAGCTAGTGGTCTTAAGTTCCCCGGGATCGTGTGTATGCAGAGAGATGTCTGGAGGGCAGTAGTGTGGAGGAAAGCAGACAGACTGGGAGCCAGGGCCTGAATGGAGGAGACTGGGAGACTGGAGATTTCCAGGCATGTCAAGAGGTGGGAGGAAAAGTAGCCACTGGATTTGGCAAACTAAGATAGCCAGTGGCCTTGAGGAATTCTCACTGGAGAGCTGGGGGTAAAGTTGAAGAATGAGGGGGAGGCAGGGAAATGGAGTTAGCAAGGCTGTGAGGTTAGTTCTCTGAAGGAGAAAGGGAGGCAGCTGTTAGGTATTTGTAGGGATTTGGGATTGTTCTAAGGGCTGAGGGTAAGATGGAGTGAATTTGATCAAAGGACATTATATACTTTATGTAAATACCACAGTGGAACCCTTTTATGCAATTAACTTATGCTAATAAAAATAAATAATAAATTACCAAAAAGGTTTTTTTCCCCAACAATTTAAAAAAAAAAAAAGGCTAGGGTAGGAAGGAAAGGGGGTGGGGAAAGTACAGGAAGATGGATCCCTGGATGGATGGGTCAGGGACTTGGCATTGGTCCAGGAGCCAGATCTGCCCTCTCTGAAGGAGGGGATCAGCCCCACCCATAAGAGCCCTGGGAGTAAGCCATGGGAGAACCTGTCTCAAGGATGAGACCACCAGCATCAGAGTGGAGTTTTGAGGGCTGGAAAAGAAAAGGATGCATAAGGGTCTGCAGTTGTTTTGTTTGTTTCTTTGGTGGTACTGGGGTTTGAACTCACTTGCAAAGCCGGCACTCTACCACTTAAGCCACACCCCAGTCCATTTTGTTCTAGTTATTTTGGAGATGGTATCTTGTGAACTAATTTGCCTGGACAGGCTTCAAACTGAGATTCTCCTAATTTTAGCCTCCCAAGTAGCTAGGATTACAGCTATGAGCTACTGGCAGGTCTGCAGTTTTAAAAGGGGTCCTTGGGCTGACTGAGGTTAAGGCTGGGGCTGCACAGGTCTGAAAGGACCCTGATTAGGGTTGCCGGTTCTAGCAAATAATGGGATTCCCAGCTACATTTCAATTTCGTTTAGGCAATTAGTCTTTTTTTTTTTTTGTAGGACTGGGATTTGAACTCAGGGCTTTGCGCTTCCAAAACAAGTGTTCTACCACTTGAGCCGCACCTCCAGTCCATTTTGCTTTGGTTGTTTTTGTAATGTTTTTTATTAGGATATATTCATTATGGGGGGATTCATAGTGACAACTCCGATTAGACTTATATTGTACATTATTTACATTGCCCCCCCTCTTCTCTCCCCCTCAGCCCCCTTCCCCCCTGCTCTGGTTATTATGGAGATGGGGTCTCACGAACTATTTGCTCCCTGTGGCTTGGAACCTCCATCCTCCTGATGTCAACCTCTCAAGAAGCTAGGATTATAGGCGTGGGCCACTGGCATCTGGCTGTTTTTAATTTGAGTCAGGGTCTCACTACACAGTCCAGGCTGCCCTGGAGCTCATGAGATCCTCTTATCTCGGCCTCCCTAGTACTGGGATTACAGACATGTACCACCACGCCCGGCTTGCAAATAATAATTTTTTATTGTAAGTATATTCCACGCAATGTTTGAAATATGCTTACACTTAAAAAAAATTATCCGTTGCTTACCCGAAATTCAAATCCTGTAATTTGCCTGGCAACCCTAGTTTGGTATGGTGGTAGTTACAGTAGGGGAGGGGGGAGGGGGGAGCATGGGGACAGTGTAACCTCGCCTGGGGCCCAAGTCTGGAAAATGGGCAGCGGCACTACAGGGATGTCTGGTTGAGAGGAGACGAGACTACGGCAGGTGATAGCGTCCACTCCGAACCGAGCCACTCCTGGAGTCCCCCGCCCCAGAGCTTTGGTCTCGTCCCGCCCCCCCCCCTCCCGCGCCCTATGGTCTCGCCCTGAAGAACCCATCGGTAACTCTACGCTCGGCACCGGCTTCTATCGACGCGCTCCGGCTCTCCTCGCCGTCCTGGACCCCGGCCGAGTGCAGGGCGCGTGTAAGGTACGGAGGCCGCGGGACGAAGGCCGGGAATCGGCTGCTGGGTGGCTAGGGGGGCGAGGCCGGGGGAAGCAGGCCAGCAGGTCGGAGCCAGGGCGGTCGGCGGAGCACAGGGGAGTGCGGGGGTCCTGCCAAACTGCGCCCCCACCCGTCGGGTCCAGCTACGCATGCGCAGCCGCAGCGCTCGCCTTCCCCCGGCCCGCCCGTCCGCCGGCCGCGCGCGCATGCGCGGCTCGTTCCTGCGGCAGCCCGGGCTCCGCGTGGCTGCCCCCTGCCGGCCGCCGGCGGTCTGGCGTTCCGGCTGGTGCGGGCGGCGGGGAAAGGAGCGTGCTCCATGGAGCCTCGGAACGGCCCCGCGCCCGCTGTCGCTCAATTCTAGTCGGAAATTCCTGGAGCCTCATTTTCCCCATGTCTAAAGTGGAAATGATAGCGCCTGTTTCTGAGTACCGAGTGGAACTGTCTTCTCACCTCTCCTCGCCAGATGCTGTGACCTCTGACCCTTGCCTGTCAGCTCTCGCCCCCGTGCAGGCCTCACCATGAACACCTCCCCAGGCACAGTGGGCAGTGACCCAGTCATCTTGGCAACTGCGGGCTATGACCACACTGTGCGCTTCTGGCAGGCCCACAGTGGGATCTGCACGCGGACCGTGCAGCACCAGGACTCTGTATCCTCCACCTGGGAGGCTGGTAGGGTGATGCCAGGCAGGACCCTGGGTGGAGATGACAGGTGCCTGGGGTGAGAAGGATGCAGCAGCTCAGGCCAGGTGCTGGAGACCGGGAGGGGTTCATACCTTCCCATGGTCTGCCTTAACACACCCAGCAGGTAAATGCACTGGAAATCACGCCCGACCGAAGCATGATTGCTGCCGCAGGTACTTACGAATCTTGACCTCTGGCTCCTGATTGGTCAACGTGGACACAGCCATGCTTCAGTTCAGCTTGTGTCCCCAGGTTACCAGCACATCCGCATGTATGATCTCAACTCCAATAACCCTAACCCCATCATCAGCTACGACGGAGTCAATAAAAACATTGCATCTGTGGGCTTCCACGAGGACGGCCGCTGGATGTACACAGGAGGGGAGGACTGCACAGCCCGGATCTGGGACCTCAGGTGCCGGGTGCTGGACAGGGTGGGCCCATTGCCTGGGGGTAATGGTGAACCAGGCCAAGGGACTGTCTTAGGGCAAGTCCTCTCCAAGCAGAGTCTGAGCCAGGGTGCTTTGTGTGGGTGATTTATTGAGGGAAGGAGGAAAGCTAGATGGAGTGAATTGCCTCAAAGAGTTAGCCCTGCCTTGAGGCCAGGGGCTGGCCTTCCATCCCTTTCAGTCAGTTTTGGTGTCAGGCTGCCACCTGGAGGGAACGGCTGGACTTCCCAAGCATTTCCCAAGAGCACACTCCCATCAGCTGAGGGGAAATTGGCCAGGGAGGGGGGCATCTGGCGGAGAACCAATAGTCTCTACTAGAGATGGTGTGTGACCTCACACCCCGACAGGTCCCGGAACCTTCAGTGTCAGCGCATCTTTCAGGTGAATGCGCCCATTAACTGTGTGTGCCTGCATCCAAACCAGGTAAGAGGCACTTCTGGGGCTGGGCATCCCGGGGGGCTTTGGAAGGCAGTAAGTGCTGCCACACCTCACCTCTGCACCCCAGGCGGAGCTCATCGTGGGTGACCAGAGTGGTGCTATCCATATCTGGGACCTGAAGACAGACCACAATGAGCAGCTGATCCCCGAGCCCGAGGTTTCTATCACATCTGCCCACATCGACCCAGACGCCAGCTACATGGCAGCGGTCAATAGCGCTGTGAGTCTTGGGGGTGGGTGCAGAGGCAGAGACAGCTCCGCACGTGTCCCTTTATCCCCTGCAGATGGGCTGATTCCCAGGGTGTCCTTCAGGCTCTTCTCCTCCCCTTCCTGTGCTCAACACCCACCAAAGACAGGAACCTAGGTACCACTCCTGATTAACCCCTTCCCCCAACTGCTGCCATAGCCCACTCAGCAGGCTGGGCATTTCCCTCCTCCGTCACCTCCCAACCCAAGTCACTCTCATCTCTCCTGATGTTGATGGCTTCATTGTGGCTCCTTTCCTCCTCTCTGGCCTCCCTGGGCCACCAGATCCATTCTCCCTTGGGATAGATATGTCTTTCAGCCTCACTGGTCAGACTGCACCATTCCTGTGAGGAGACCCGAAGATGCCCAGCTCCTGCCCATGTTCTTTTCTCCAGCTTCATTTTCTTCCTTAACTGCACTTAAATAGTATCACTTGTCCCAACTCCCCTTCTCCCAGCCTTGGTCTGCTGCATCTTCTGTCCAGGTGCCTTCTCTCTTCCATATGTCCCTCTTGGCCAGCAGTATCCTCAGGATATGTGAATCCTTGGCCAGTGTGAACTCCTGTTCTTGGCTGGCTGAGCACAGTCCTTCACTGGTGATGGGCCTCCCAGGAGCCTCCTATAGACAGGACCAAGGTGCCCATGACCTGCCCTGGCCCAAGTCCCTGTGACACTTGGTCCCCAGCATTAGGGACCCCTGGATCCTGATCCAGATTCCAACATATCCTGTGAGGCTGTGGGCGTCAAGTGACTGTTTTCCTACCCTGTAGGGCAACTGCTATGTGTGGAATCTCACAGGGGGCATTGGTGATGAGGTGACCCAGCTCATCCCCAAGACCAAGATCCCAGCCCACACACGCTACGCCCTGCAGTGCCGCTTCAGCCCCGACTCCACGTGAGTGTAGGGCCGGGTGGCCTAGGGGTTATCTGCCTGGGGCTGGGAGCTTGGCTCATGGGTTGGGCCTATCTGGTATATGGTAAGGGCGTGCAGCATGGGACTGGCTGCAGTGTGACAGCCCCATGTGTCCCTTCCCCCTAGGCTCCTTGCCACCTGCTCAGCCGACCAGACATGCAAGATTTGGAGGACATCCAACTTCTCCCTGATGACAGAGCTCAGCATCAAGAGTAGCAACCCCGGAGAGTCGTCCCGTGGCTGGATGTGGGGCTGCGCCTTCTCCGGGGACTCCCAGTACATTGTCACAGGTGAGCCCTGCCCTCCTCTCTCCCCCACCCTGCCTGGGCCTCTGCAGGGCCAGTCCTGGGTGCTGTTGCTCCTCTGCCTTTGGCTGCTTGGCCCTGAGCTGCTGCCAATCCTTCCCTGCAGCTTCCTCTGACAACCTGGCCCGGCTCTGGTGTGTAGAGACTGGAGAGATCAAGAGAGAGTACGGCGGCCACCAAAAAGCTGTCGTCTGCTTGGCCTTCAATGACAGTGTGTTAGGCTAGCCTCTGCTCCTCTGGATCACAGGCAGCCATCGGAGAGTTGGGACTGCCTGGTACAGTGAGCCCAACTGGATGCACCTGTGTAGCACCCTAGCACCCTGGTCGGATGAAGACCTCAGGGTAGCCTCTGCCTGCCAGGCCAGCCTGGGCCCACCAGGCCAGTCCTCCCTGGCCAGGGCTTTCTCAGTGCCCAGTTGCTTATCAGAAGGCCCACTGAGCCAGGCTGCATGTACCTGGTCTGGGAGAGCCTGTACTCCCTAAAGAGGCTGGACTCGTGACCCGAGGCTGTGCCCACCCCAAGTCATGCTCCCCACTCCTCCCCTTCCCTGCCACTGTTCAGGTCCTGAGGCCCCAGAGAGAACCACCATGGCCAGGTAGAAGGGTTTATTAGGCACTGATAACAGCCGCCCTCCTTGGTGCTGGCCTGTGGGGACAGTGCTGGCCTGTAGGAGCAAGGGCCGGGCTGGGCCAGGCAGGGAGGGGGCTTAGTCTGGGAGGTAATAAAAGCAGACAGACACGCAGATGTTGCTCGGGAAGCAGATGTCGATGCAGAGATAGATCAGCCGCTGCCTCTGGGGTCCTGTGGGGAGAGGGGCTCATGAATGCCCGAGGACTCTCCTTAGATTCTCTGTGGAGGCCACAGGCCTCCCCGCACAGCCTGCCCCAACTCACCCTCTGCCCGTCGGGTCCAGTAGATGGGGGTCTTTGCACAAAGGTGATGCACCGAAGCTCCCACTTGGGCAGGGTCCACGGCGTGGTCCCCAAGCACTGCCAGCAGCTCCTGGGCATGGTGGGTGTCCTGGCTGGGGACGCGGGACCCTTGGGCCTGCAGAAAGGCTGCAGTGGTTCATCGTATGGAGCACTCCCCTGCTTCTTGCTGGACAGGACCCTCGCCTCCCACCCCCACCTGATGACCCTGCCATCTGCGTGTGTCAGCAGCCTCAGCAAAGGAAAGATAGAGCTTTCTGTTCTCCTGAAACCAGAGCCCTAGCTGGCCCAGCTGGGCTGCACACAGGACCTTTTGTCTGGCCTCTGGCCTGGGGGCCAAGCCAAGCAGGGTTGCTCACCCCAGAAGTGTTCATCAGCAGTTGCAGGGTCTCCCAATCTTGGGCCTCCATCAAGCGGAGGAAGCAGGCCGGGTGCTCTGCAGGGCGGTAACAGATGCAGCCCTGGGGAGGCAGGTGGGTGAGGCAGGGCCACCTCAACACCTATGGTTTGACTCCCTCCCTCCCACTCACACTTTGTCCATCGAACAGCACCGTCCAGCTGTGGTTGCTCTGAGGTGGAGTCACCGTGATGGTCGCCACATTCCGGGCCGCGTCCACCAGGGTGGTTTGGTTGGACCGGGGCACACGGGGGCTTGGGAGTGTCAGTCGGAGCGTCTGCAGCAGTGGCTGAGGGAAGGAAGCTGGAGTTCAGGGGGACAGGCTGGGCAGCCCCACATGCCCCTAGCCGTGGGCCACAGCATTTCTACATCATCTGAGTGGCCTTCCCCTCTGGTCTTCTGGCCATTGGCTGCAAGGCCAGTATTTCGGTCTGTTTCTGCTGGAGTGCTGCCCTTCCTGCCTTCTTCCCACTGTCCATGCCCATGGGCTTCAGGAGGGGCTCACCTTGGGAGACCTGTGAACAAAGCCAAGAAGTCCTCCGGCCACAGCCCCAGCAGTGGCCAGTGCAAGCAGCAGCAGGCCTGCGGCTCTCCAGCCCCCACGGCAGGGTTTGGTCTTCACCTGGGGACACGTTGCTGTGAGTGGGGCCGTTTTAGAGACCAGGGAGGAGGCTTGCTCAGGGAAAGGGCTGAAGAGCAGGGAGAGGGGTAGGTGGCACTCCTGTCCCCTGTCCAGGGGACTTGTCCCAGGAATGGTAAAGGCACTTACCTCAGCAGGCCTAGGTCTGGAGTCCTCTGTGTGGCTGCCTTTTTGCTCCATGCTGCAGCCCCTGCTCACAAAGCTCTGATTGTCTGCAGCCCCTTGGAGGAGTTGGCCAGAGAAACTTCAGGATGCCTTTGATGAGTCAAACTGTACCCTCCCTTCCTGACCCCACTGCCTCCTCCCCAGCAGTATCTGATATCCAGGTCAGTGCCAGGACAGCCCCCTCCCCCACTGGGGATGCTGACACCTGGCTTGTGCAGATCAGAATGCATGGGGTCTGGGAGGGCACGAGAACAAGGGCTTGATGGGGACCCGCCCAGCTGGCTGGCTGTCCCCGGTCCTAGTCAGGATTTTATCTGGGTGAGGTAGATTTAATGTTTCCTAGAATCTCTTTCTGGTGTCTGTTACCTCTGACTCCCAGAGCTGGGCACACAAGGAGCCATTAATAAATGCCTGGTATGACCCAGTCACTTTCCAGGACCCACGAACACCCGATGGGGTTTTGGGCATTCTACAGAGCAAATGCCCAGGACCCGGAGGGATCCCAGTCAGTCTACTGCAGCCTCCCTTCTGCATACCAAGTTAGGCCAACCTCTGTGTCTCCTCCAGCATGGCTTCGTCTCTGCCCATTCCCTATCCCGTCACATGATACACAGTGGCTCAGCTGTCCATGTGCCCACCAGCTTCCACACAGAATCCCTATCCTGTGGTTTGGGGCTCTGCTTTTCCTACTATTTCAGAACCTGATCCTCCAGAGTGGTTACTGTTTTTGCTCTGGAATTGGAATCCCAGCTTGACCTTTTTTCCAGTCCTCCCACCCTGCCGTACCCATACCTAGACTGCCCTAGGGCTGCTGCAAAGATGAGAGGAAGGAAGGCCCAGTCAGTGCAGGTTTGAGAGTTTAATGTGCATTTGGGTTCACACAGTGAAACAGGCTGGAGATGGGACACACACAGGCTCCCGGGCCACTGACCAGTAGAAGAGGAGGTGTTGCTGGCTGCCGCACCTGCTGCGTGCTCCTGGTGTGGGTGACAACGCCCTGACAGGCCTGCTCAATATCCAGACCCACCTTGAGCCGACCTCGCAGAGCCAACGTCAGCACCACCAACCTCACAGGCATGGCTGCTCTCGTGTTGCCCTGTGGCACCATTCCAACCCCAGCCACCCCTGACCTGGGAGCATCTGCAAGCATAGGATACCCTTTATTGCTCTTAGAACTCAGTGAACAGGTGAAGCAGCGCTGTGAGAGAAGCCACTGGGTATAGGGCAAGGCACTGGGAAGGAGTCAGCCAAAAGGAACAGCTTCCCAGGCACTACCCTGTAAGTGCTGCCAGTCTGCTAAAGGTCAGTAGACCTAGGGAACAGGTGGAGAAGGCCAGGTGCTGCTGAGAACCCACTGGCTGGTGGGCCCTGCCAGTCTTTTCCCTGGCCACCAACAAGTGAATCCAGGGCCAAGATGCCAAGATAGGTGGCCTCAAAGGCCACTGACATCTACCCCACCCTGACCCTGGGTGACTCGGTTCAGGAGGAGAGGAAGAGAGCGGATGCTTTGTGAAAGGACTTCCTGTTCTTGGGACACCTCTTTCCTCCCCCACCCAGAGGGCGCCCCAGGAGACAGGCCATCCTTGGCCAGCACATGCCTTTAGCTATGCTGCTGGACATGGAGACTTCTTCAGTGGGATTTTTCCTATGAGACAGAGCACAGCTATTAATCCACACACACAAGATTCAATTCCACTACTTGACAAACTTGTTCACAAGTTAAAAAATAATTTTTGGTACCAACACTGCTCTGAGCTCCCTGCATAGCAGCCCAGAATTCAGCGATGGCCTCTGCACCCACTTGGCTGCTCAGCCAGCCATACACTCAGACTAAGTCACCTGGGTTTAAATGTACACTTGAGACAGCTGAGATTCAGCTGGGCTGAGTTTACAGAACTGTGCAGCAACGTATGAGGAGCTGCAGCCCTGGGCATCTGAAACGGAACAGACACTGTGACATCAAAGTGGTTTTCAAGGAAACAGGGTCGCAATGGCAGCACCCCACACCCCAAGAACAGGGTGACACCACCTGGGAGCACCCCCATCTCCACTCCTGCCATGCAGGGGAAGCTAGAACACAACAGCAGGATCTTCTGCTGTAGGACCACATTGGGGGGGCCCAGGTTCAATCTGTGCAAGTGTCTCACGACTGTCACAATAGCCCCTTCTCCTTTCTGCCCTTCAAGGGGGCTTGATCCCTGAATACATTTTTCAGTGAAAAACACACACACCCCCTCGACCCACCTCAGTTTCATCAGCAGGGCTTGAGGCTACCTGAATCCTGGGCAGATGCTATGCCTGCCTTGCCAACAAGTAGAATGCCCAGGACCCACCCCCACAATGCCCTCCAAGCTTAAAAGTGCATCTTAAAATATAAGCATCTGTAAACAACACTCCCCCCAAACCTTTACTTACAAGGTTAACAACTACCATCTTTGCTTAACTCCAATTACAGTCTGCAGTCACCCAGCTGAGCCATGCCTAAGCCCCACCTATTAATTTGGGTAACTGATTTTCAACTTCTTTTATTCCAGAGATTAAAGACACTAGATCTTTAACCTTGTAGGGCGGGCAAGAGGTCGGCTATGCTGTCAACATAGAAGTCAGGGACCATTTTCTTCTTAGACATGCAGTCACTTTCCTGATTACTCTTCACGTCCCCGAGAGTGGAGACTCCGGTGAGGGTCAGGATGGTCTTCAGGCCACAGGAGGTGCCCAGGAGGATGTCTGTGTCCAGACGGTCCCCCACCATGACAGTGCGCTCCGGGTTAATGCCGTACTCCTGGGACACGCAGTCGAAGATGAAACGGCTGGGCTTCCCGATGATGTCGGCCTGGCGCTGGGCGGCCATCTCCACGGCTCGCACCAGGCAGCCGGTACCTGCGGGACGGAGGGAGAGGGAAGGGGGCGCCGGGGTCAGAGGGCGAGGAGGGGCGGCCCGCCCTCCAGCCTCCGGCCCCGGGGCGCACGGACCCGCGATGAAGTGGCCGTTCTCCAGCGGGAGCCGGTTGTCCATGTTGGTGCCCACGAGCAGGCAGCCGGGCTGCTGCAGGTAGCGCACGGCCTTGGTGAGCTTCATGTAGCTGAAGTGCGGGTCGAAGCCCACGACCACCGCGCGCACGTCGGGCTCGAGCGGGGCGGCCAGCCAGTCGCCGGGGCCTTCGCCCTGCAGCGGCTCGGGGCCCACGCCCACGCTGGCGACGCCCACGGCCTCCAGCTCCGCGGCCAGGGCCGGGCTGCCCAGCACGTAGGCCTTGGGGGCCGGCGCGCCGGCCAGGCGCTGGCGCAGGTAGAGCGCGGTGCAGTAGGCCGTGCCGAAGACCTCGAGGCCGGCGCCGGGCCCCGCCGGGCCGCCGAAGCCCAGGCGCCTGAGCTTCTCGGCGTAGGCGGCGCGCGTCTTGCTGCTGTTGTTGGTGATGAAGCCCAGGCGCTTGCCGCGGGCCCGCAGCGCCCGCAGGGCCTCGGGCGCACCGGGCACGGCTGTCTCGCCACGCCACAGCACCCCGTCGCAGTCGAACAGCAGTGTGTCCACGTCCGCCAGCAGCGCCTGGGCCCGCTCGGCGCTCAGCCGCACGCAGCGGGCGTCGTCGCCGCCGGCCTCCGACTCCGCCATGGCCGCCCGCTGCCCTCTGCCGCCACCGGCCGCCGCCGCCGCCGCCGCCACCGGCCGCTCCTCGCAGCCGCCCGCCGTGGTGTCCGCCCCGCCCTCGGCGCGTTCATTGGCCCCGCGCCTCACGCGCACTGCCCATTGGCTGCTGCTTGCGCCAATCCGTACCCGTCTACCGCGAGCTGCGGAAGCTCAGCGCCAACCGTCGCGGCCCGGTACGGAAAGGCAGGAGACCATTGGTTGCCGGGTCCGTAGACCTCCCGCGATTGGCTGGCAGGACGCCAACCGGCACTCCTAGCAGAGCGCTCGCTGCGGAAACGCTGCGGACCGAGATCGGCGCAGTCCGTAAGACCGGTGTTCATTGGCCACCTCGGGAAAGCTCGCCTATTGGAGGCGGGTGGTCAGCCTAGGTGACGGAGGCCCTTGGTCAAGTGACCTCGGGCCAGGCAGGTTGCTGATTGGCTGGCTTCTCTCGAAGTCTCGCGGTCGGCACTCGTCGCGGAACGGACGGTGGTCTGCGGTGCGCGGGAGTCCCGTCTGCACTTTTGCGGAGACGTGGGGGCTAGGGTCCCCGTTATGGACAGGGTTGGGACACGATGTCACTGTCCAGTCTTGAGAGACAGCCTGGGACCTCCTTTCCCAGAGGCCCTCGTGTCCTCACCTCCAGCCCTTTGCAAAACCTCTTTCCCTGTACCTCGACGATCACGTGCACTAGAGATTGGAGGGCGGTGGGATTGGGATCTAGGAGGACATTGGCTAGAACACAGCACTCAGCAGTTGGTCGCTATTATTATCATCATCAATTATTGGGATTAACATTTATTGAGGCATAACATACGGTAAGGGGCTGCTGCTCGATGGAATTTCAACCCAGCCAGACCAAATACAGATTATTTCCAACACCCCAGAAAGTCTCTTCGCCTCGCGACCATTCAGTAATGGATACCCCCTCCCACGCACGTTTCTGACTTCTTTCCATAGAGCTGTAGTCTAATTCGTCCTAGACCATTTTATAAAGGAGATCATCTGTATGTACTCTTCCGTGTCTTGATTATTTGGCTAAGCATAATGTCCGAAGTCTTCCCACCTTATTTTTGTTTTTATTTAATTCTCCTCTGGGCCATTGTTGAAAATACACCACCATTACCTTTGCTGTCCCCACTCCCGGCATTGGGGTTTGAATTTAGGGCCTAAACCTTGAGCCACTCCACCATGCCTATTGTGTTGGATTTTTTTGAGATAGGGTTTCACAAACTATTTGGCTGGGCTGGCTTCGAACCCTGATCCTCCTGAGTAGCTAGGATTACAGGCATGAGCCACTGGTGCCCAATTTGCTTTTGTTGTTTTATCTGTTTTCCTGCTGATGGACTTTTGGGTCATTTTTAGTTTGGGGCTATTGTAAATATGAAGATTCTTGTTCCTAGACATGCTCAATTTTGGGGGGAGGCATATTGGGGTCAAATTCATGGCCTCACACTTGTTAGACATGGGCTCTACCCCCTGAGGTATGTCCCCAGGCCAGTATTCTTGTTCCTAAGTGAGAATATGTGAACATATGTACTTATTTCTCAGGTATATACTTAGGAATGAAACTGTGGTGTCATAGGGTAATTGTATGTTTATCATTACTTTCACTAGGTCAGGTGTCAGAAAAATAGTAGTTCCCAGTTTCCTGAGGGCTTACCCTATGCCAGGCCATACAAACCCCCAACTCTCAGGTGTTCAAATCCCAGTACTGGGGTTTGAACTCAAAGCTTCATGCTTGCTAGGCAGGCACTCTATCATTTGAGCCATTCTGTCAGTCCTTTTTGTGCTGTTTATTTTTGAGATAAGGTCTTGCTTTATGCCTTGACTGGTCTAGAATGCAATCCTCCTATTTGTGTTTCCCCATGTAGCTGGAATGACAGCTGTGCACCATGGTGCCCAGCCACCATGAAATGAGGTCTTGCAAACTGTTTTAACTTTTTATCCATACTTTTATCCACGTAGCTTCAAACCATGATCCTCCCAATTTCTGCCTCTCAAGTAGCTAGGATTACAGGCTGCAGCCACTGTACCTGGATAAGAACTGCATTCAACAAAACCCTGCTTTTCCCATCCAACAATACCCAGTTGATTTGGTACACTGACCAGAATGGAAAATGCCGATGGACCAGACATGGCAGGGGTTCTGCAATCCTTGTCTGATTGCCTCTTTTTCTTTTGGCAGTACTGGGTTTAAACTCAGGGCCTCAAGCTTGCTAGGCAGGTGTTCTACTTCTTGAGCCACTCCAACAGCCCACTTGCCTTGGTGTATACTTGGGACACTTAGTAAGCATCCAGACAGCAATGCTGCTGCTTACTTGCATCATGTTGATGTAACCACAGAACAACCCTGACAGGCAGCATCTGCTAGTATAACCATTTATAGAGGAGGACTATGAACCAGAGAGCCACCAGCTGTACCATGCAGAGCGGGGGTTAAGCTCAGGCAACCTGAAAGCTGAGCTCTGCCATATCTGGCTGACTTAACATCTTCTGAGTGTGCCAGTCTGTCTGTAGGTGGTGGTACTGAGCTGGCATACTGTGATGGGTGCAATGGAGAGAAGGGATGGTTGTGGACAAGGTCCTGGAGGAGTCTGGAAGGGGTAGTGACCTTATGGGGGAGGACTGACCTGGGGTGGGAACAGAGTGGAGTCACCTTGTGGATGAGAAAGGAGCCCATCTTTTTGTTTTTTTTTTCCCCAGTACTGGGGGTTAAACTCAGGGCCTCATGCTTGCTAGGCCGGTACTCTACCACTTAAGCCACTCTGCCAGTCTGAGAGGAGAGCCCATCTTGGTGTGTGCACAAAACATAATAGGTGCTGTGTATACTGAGTTCCTGAGTAAGGAACTTATTCCACAAGTGGAATATTGGTTGGTCTTAGGTACAAGGATAGACAGGATTTAATCTTCTTATTTTATGGGACTGAAGGCATGGCTCAAGTGGTAGAATGCCTGCCTAGCAAGTGCAAAGCCCTGAATTCAAACCCCAGTACTGCCAAAAAGGAAAAAAAAATGTGGAAAAAAATCTTATTTTATAAATTTGCTTTATTATTATTATTTTTTTTGTCGTACAGGGGTTTGAATTCAGGGCCTTCACCTTGACCCACTCTACTAGCCTTATTTTTGTGAAGGTTTTTTTGAGATTGGGTCTTGTGAACTATTTGCCTGGGGTGGCTTCGAACCTTGATCCTCTGACCGTGCCTCCTGAGTAGTCAGGATTATAGGCATGAGCCACTGGCGCCTGGCAAATTTGCTTTAATTAATTAATTAATTAATTAATTATTTTAGTGGTACTGGGGTTTGAATTCAGGGCCTCATGCTTGCTAAGCTTAACTGTATAATCTTAATGGTATTTCATGTAGCTGGCAGAGTGGCTCAAGCGGTAAGAGCACCTGCCTAACAAGCATGAGGTCCTGAGTTCAAACCCCAGTGCTACCAAAAAAAAAAAGTTACACATATTAGTAACCACTGCATGGATTCATAGTGTCGTAGAAAATACAAATAGTCATTGCATATTTTCAGTGTTACTGCCTCTAATGAATTAAGAAGAAGGAAGGGTCCTTTGGACCCAGTGGAAAACAAACAAACAAACAGAAACCAATTGGATGCAACCTAACTCTTCTTCAGTACGGAACCACTTACATAAAGTGTATCTAACTGACAGAGGAATTTGGAGTTAGGAAAGTCAATACCTGGTGTTCAGCTGGAGCCTGGGCTAAGGGCAGGGTAGGACATGAGGCCATCTGAGGGAAGAGAGGCTGGTTTCACTGCTGCTCCTGGCCACTTGCCCTCTGGTGGCCTGTGTTCCCCTGTGCCTGCTGATGTCTGGGCGCAGGGCTCCCTGGTCAGGAGGCCCTTTTCTGGCCCTCAGGGAGTAACCATGCAGAGCCCTGGTCTGCCCTTGAGCAGCCTATCCAGCAGGTTCTCTGTCTCTCTGAGGCCAGTTTTTCATGTCTATCCACACTCAGGACACCAGGCATCCTCGGCCTTTAACATGCTTCCCTCTTCTAGTCCCTGGATGCTGGCTTTTCCACTCCTTTTCAGCAGATCCTGAAGGGACATGTCCCAGGGCTCTGGGCTCACCTCCTCCCTGGGAGCCCCCAGATTACTTGTGCTCCCAAATCCCAACCTTTTATATTTCCCATTTGTTTCTCTCAAAGACATCCATCCTGAGTCCCAGCAGCTTCCTGGGCTCCCTTTCTGCCTCTTCTGAGCCCCAAGTTCCTTTTAAGTGGCTGTCAAAAGGGATCCATCTTTTTTTTTTTTTTTTTTTTTTGGTGGTGCTGGGGTTTGAACTCAGGGCCTACACGTTGAGTCACTCCACCAACCCTTTTTTGTGATGGGTGTTTTTTGAGATAGGGTCTTGCCAGGAACTATTTGCCTGGGGTTAGCTTTGAACCCTGATCCTCCTGATCTCTGCTTCCCGAGTAGCTAGGATTACAGGCATGAGACACTGGTGCCCAGCTAAAGGGATCCTTCTGAAAAACTTTCTTCTGCTTAAAACCCTGCAGTGGTAAGTAATTCATTACTAGCATGTAGACGGCAGCTCCAACATGAATACTGATGAACCTACTTGCTCCTTATACCTGCTAAGGCAGGACAGTTCAGGGAAAATGAGGCATGGGAAAAAGCAGCCAGGAATTCACAGATAAGCCTTGTACTAACGAGTAGCTTGATTCAAAGCACACAGATACTGCTTTCTTTGCTTTAAACTTCACAAGCTGCAACATTTAGAAAAAAAACAAAAACAAAAACAAGAAGAAAGGACAGTTCTCTCTCTCTGACCTTGCCTGTTTGCCCAAATAGTTAATGTTCTCTGGGAACTAAGCAAGGCTATCTTGAAGAAATACACTTATCCTGGGAAAAACCACCTGGGAAAATCACTCCTCTGGGCACAAAAAGTGTTGACAAAGAAAAAAACTTATCTCAAAGATGGACAACTGTCCTGAAGGGAGCATCTGGCAGGACTCATCCTTTGTTTAAAGGGATGCTCAAACATCTATGTCATAAAGACTCAAATTTAGTAAGTTTTTGGACCCAAACAATAAAACTGTAACAGCATGAATGACTAAATGTACCATGTGTCAGAACAAAGGAGAATACTTTCCCTAAGGTAAATCTGAGCTAAATCTTCATCCCATTTTCTTTTAACCATTAATACCCTTGATGTTAAGGCACTTGCGGCACCTGTTTTCACATGTGCTGCACCCATACCTGAGTTATGTTTTACCCATCTTTACTAATAAACTTTCTTGTCTCTACTCTGCTGTGTCCTAAAATTCTTTTTTTTTTTTGACATCATCAACTTGGTACCCAAAGGCCAGGTGGAGACCACCTCCCTGGAGCATTGCTGGTTCTAGTAACATTGTCAAACCAAAGGCCCCCAGTCTCCCACCTGGGCAATGCAGCATGGAGACCTCTGCTCAGTGCCCTGCTAAGTGCAGAGCTGCCAACTCTGCTGTGCACATGCTGCTCTTCTGGGCTCTGTGTCTGTGCTCCGAGTTCCCTGGAGGGGATCAGGTCTGAATCACCCTGGTCCCTCACATTCACAGCCAGCTGGCCTAAAGAAAAGAAATGAGCTAGCACACCAAGCCCATTGGGTTCCCAACCTGGGCTAGAGTCTTAAGTCTTCGCCTCCAGGCAAGTGTCTTGATGGTTCTGTGCCTCACTTTTTTCATCTTTGAAATGGGATAACTGATATCTTAAATGAATTAATCCAACAAAAGTGTCAAAGGGCTAATTAAATGACATCTTATAATAAAAAAAAGAACTTATACAAGAATGATCAGAGAAGCACTTTTCACAATAGCCAAAAAGCTGAAATTCAGATGTGCTGAATGAAAAGATAAAATGGGGTTTGTTGGTTCAGTAATATTATTCAGTAATAAAAAGTAATGAATCAGGAAAAAAAGTAATGAATCAGTTGGGTGTGGTGGATCATGTCTGTAATCCCAGCATGTGGGAGGCTGAGGAAGGAGGATTGAGTTCCAGGCCAGCCTGGGCTACACGCAAAACAAAATAAGACCAGCCCAGTGCTGGTGGCTCACACCTGCAATCCTAACTACTCAGGATGCAGAGATCAGGAGGATTGGGTTTGAAGCCAGCCAGGCTGATAGTTCTTGAGACTGTATCTTGAAAATACCCACCACAAAAACAGGGCTGGTGGAGTGGCTCAAATGGGAAAGTGCCTGCCTAGCAAGCTTGTAGACCCTGAGTTCAAACCTTAGTACCTCCAAAAAAATAAATAAAAATAAAAAGTAAATGAGGCAGAACATGGCTAACCCTTGTAAACATTCAGAGTGAAAGAAGTCAGACACAAAAGGTCAGGTATTGTATGATTCCATTTATACCATGAGTCCAGAATAGGCAAATCCATAAAGTAGACTGGTGGTTGTCAGACCTGGGGGATGTGACAATGGGAAATGACTGTTTAAAGAGTACAGGTTTCCTTTTGGAATGATGAAGACCTTCTGAAACGAGATAGTCGTGATGGGTGCTAAATGGTGTTGTGGCCTACATTTCCAACAAATGTTACTGATGATATATTTTATGTGTATTTATCACAACTTCAAAAAATATATATTGCTGGCAGCATAGCTCAATTAGTAGGGCTCCTGTCTAGCAAATGTGAGGCTCTGGGTTCAAACCCAGTAAAGACAAAAAAACTGTATAAAACAACAAAATGTTCTGCAAAGCTGCACGTGAGCTATCCCTGACTGGGGTTCTTCTGTCCTCACGCGTGTGACCATCAAGGGAGATTCTAACACTCCAGAGGGGCGGCGAACACTGCATTCCCTGGTCCAAGTTGGGCCCTAAAGCCAGTGGTACCCTCTTTTTTTTTTTTTTTGTCAGTACTGGAGTTTGAACTCAAGGCCTCGCGCTCGAGGCAGACACTACACTTGAGCAACGCCGCCAGTCTTTGCGTCACCTGATGCGTCTCCGTCTCCCTCTGCAGTTCTCTGACTCTCACGTGCGGGGTGCAGCGCCCAGACCCCAAGCCTAGCTCGCTCACAGCCCCACCCGACTCTTTGCTTCCTCGGGTCTGGACACGCCCCCGACTTGTTAAGCCACGCCTTCGCCCGCCCGAGTCCGCCCCTCCACCTATCAATCTGCCCCATTGTAACCACGCCCCTCCATCCGCCCCGCACCGCATCCGCTCTCCGCGAGGTGGGCCCCACCTCTGCAGCACCAGGCCACACCCCCTACATGCCCTGCCCCACTGCCTGTCCGTCAAGCTCACCCTAACTCCGCCCCGCCCTCCTCTCGCCGTTCCCTCACGCTGGCTTCGGTGCGGCCCGTTGTTATGACGACACGGTCGTAAATCCGCCATCTTCCTGCGGCGCGTTGCGACATGGAGGGCGCGATGGCAGTGCGGGTGACGGCCGCTCATACGGCAGAAGCCCGGGCCGAAGCCGGGCGTGAAGCAGGCGAGGGTGGGGTCGCGGCGGCTGCTTTGGCCCCTGGCGGTTTCCTCGGCCTCCCGGCGCCCTTCGGTGAGGAAGGTAACCGGGCCAGAGAAGCCGGGCGCGGCCGGGGTGGGGGCGGCTCAGCCTGGGTTGACACAGCCCGGAGGGCCGGAGCTGCGGGCGCGCAGACCCTCCCGCATCTAGGCTCCTCGCGGGACTCGCTAGCCTTCAGGACCTTCACGGGCCTTCCTGCTGGCCGACCCCCCCCCCACGCTTGCTAGGCCCCGGTGCGTCCTCTCAGGTGCACACAAGGTGCCCGAGCCTTGGGCTCTTCGGAGTGCAACCGGGCAAACGCCGCCAGCCCGGCCTCAGGCCGTCTCCGGCTCTTTGCTTCTCTGCCCCTCCCTCCGCACCTGGCGGACCACTGGGGCCCTGGCAGGGGCGGGGCTGGAAGCCGCGGGGGCGGGGCCTCGGGTCTGCTGCACTGCGTTCGGGTACGGCGGCCCGCGTGCGGAGGTAGCAAAGCCCGGTGAAGGAGAGTTTGCATCTCCCCTACTAGATGGAGCGGCGTGTTACATGAGCTCTTACTTCCTTACACCAACCCTGTTAGGTGGATGCTGTTATTATACTCCCGCTGTAGGGATGAGGGGTAATTGAGGTCCTAGGGTGTGAAAGTGCCCGGGTTACCCGCTAGTTAGTATCAGGGACTGGATTGAACCTAGGACTGTGTAGCTCAGATCAGCCCCTTTGATTTGTGAGTTCTGCTGCCTTTATAGGAGGATGGTGAGAATTAACATGGCGTGTGTAAGTTTAAGGCACTGAGGACACACTAAGGGTTCATTCGCCGGGCACTGATAGCTTTTGAAGAGGATTAGGTCTTACTGTGACCTTGACCCACTACAGGAAAGGAGTTGGTTGGTAGTGATATTGGAGTAAGGGTCTTTTGTGTGTGTGTGTGTGGGGGGGACTGGGTTTGAACTCAGGGCTTCACGCTTGCAAAGCAGGTGCTCTACAGCCTTTGTCCAGGCTGGCCTCCCAATCTCAGCCTCCCGAGTAGGTAGGATTACAGGCACAAACCACCAGTGTCCAGCCTGCATATTTTTCCTCTTTCTTATTCTAGTTGGAGTAGGAGCAGTATCAGTTTGAGAGGGGTCCCTTTGGAGACTGGTGGGCTTGTCTGTGGTCTTGTCTCAGGGTAACAGTAGGTTGGATGTGGTCTAGGGTAGGGGCTCCTTCAATAGCAATACCCTGCTTCTGACTCAGATGCTCAGTGAGTGGGGTGGGAGAGTTAAGAGGGTGGCAGGCACCTCAGTGGTTGGTTTGTGACTATGAGCCATCTGTAGGGGACCACCCTCTGTTAGGTGGCCTGTGGGACAAGTCTTGGCCTTTTTTTTTGGTACTGGGTTAGAACTCAGGGCCTACACCTCGAGCAACTCCACCAGCCCTTTTTTGTGTTGGGATTTTTCGAGATAGGGTCTCTCAGAACTATTTGCCCAGGCTGGCTTCGAACTGTGATCCTGCTGATCTCTGCATCCCGGGTAGCTAGGATTACAAACATGAGCCACCGGTGCCTGGTAAGTCGTAGCCTTTTAATTGCTCATTAATTTAACAGGCATTGACTGGCTCCTTTCAGAAACTGGGCCTGGGTTTGATCTTGATGTGGGACTGAGTGAAGTGGTAGGAACTGGTAGATTGGTGGTTTTTTTTTCAGTACTGAGATTTGAACTCAGGGCCTACACCTTGAGCCACTCCACCAGCCCTTTTTTGTGTTGGGTTTTTTCAAGATAGGGTCTCATGAATATTTGCCTGGGCTGGCTTTGAAGTATGATTCTCCTGATTTCTGCCTCCTGAGTAGCTTGAGGATTACAGGCGTGAGCCATCGGCACCTGGCTTGGAACTAGTAGACATATTATAGAACTAGTGCATCTGGGTAGATTTTCAGGTTCAGCTGGGTCACCTTGAGCCTCAAGTTATTTATCTAGGATGTAAGTAGTCATCCATTCCCCAGGTGCTGGCAAGATTTGGTGCTGTTCCCAATGAGGTGCCTTTCACAGTAGGGGCTCTGTGAGCAAGAATTGTCTCCTGGGACATGTCCATTCATGATGAGGGGCTCAAGTGCACTGGCCCTGGGATGGGGAGTCCCTCTGGACTATCCTTGGTGTCTACACCTGAACAGGGGCGCTGCCCGCTGGGGACCAATGAAGCATCAAGTCAGAAGAGTGGTCAGGGGCTAGGACTGTAGCTCAGTGGTAGTTTGTTTAGTATGCACAAGGCCCTGGGTTTGATCCACAGCACCACACACACACAAAAAGCAGTAAGAGTTGTCAGGGGTGAGGGTCCCCACTTTTCCTCTGTTTTCCAAAGGCTGGCCTCTTAGAGCCTTGTGAGCATCAGTGTAGTGAGCCCCTGTGCATTGGGTCAGTCCACTTTATCAATGAGGAAACAACATAGAGGTAATCAATGAGATGCTCATGGACACAGTCAATTCCCAGTAGTTTTAGGTTTTTTTTTTTTTTAACCTTATGCTGAGGATTGAACCCAGGGCTTTGTGGATGCTAGGCAAGTGCTCTACCACTGAGTTACATCTCCAGCCCCCCACAATCTTCTGCTATCCCCAGTCTGGCTTGGGTGCATCCCTGTGCCTCCAACCCCTTCTGGCCTCTCTTACCTCATCACTGGAGTGGGTTCTTTGGGTGTAACAGCATTAGTGGATTCTTGCAACCTGAGTGTATAGTTAAGGTCACCTAACTATGCTTTTGTAGACCTCCAGAGGATGGGGCTACACCCTGGGGTTCCTAGCCCTGAACCCCTGAAAGGTGTTCTCAGCAGCTTCTGGGAGGTCTAGGGCAGGAGCAGAAACTTGGTTCTGATGCCATCCTTGGTTGATTCTCGTCTGGGGCTGGAGGGCAAACTGGTTGGGACCCTGGTTGTTTCCCCCGCTTCCAGCTCTCCTCACAGTAGGCTTATTGCAGATGAGGATGATGTGCACAGATGTGGTCGCTGCCAGGCGGAGTTCACTGCCTTGGAGGATTTTGTTCAGCACAAAATTCAGAAGGCTTGCCAGCGAGTTCCCCAAGAAGCCCTGCCCACCACTCCTACTGCATTACTGGGCCAAGAGGTGAGCCCCTACCCCACTGCTACCACACATACTCCCCTGCCTGGACTCCTCTGACAGGAGGAAGAGGAGGAGGAAGCAGAATGCCAAGACAGACTTGGGCAGCTATTTCCTGGTGACACGTAGGCAGACAGAGGGCAAGCATGTGGCTGTAAATGAAGGAGGGTCTGGTTGTGCCACTAGGAGCCTGACAGTGTTCTGGGGCTTCCTAGATGACCTAACCTTCACAGCAGCTTGCATAGTTAGAGGACCGGGGTCCCTGCTTTCTTGGAGTTGAGGGTCTCATTTAGCTAGGGGTATCATGGTAGCTTTTTTTTGGTGGTACTAGGGTTTGGATTCAGGGCCTCACACTTGCTAGGCTGATGCTGTGCCACTTGAGTCACCCCTAGCCCCAAGCTTTTGTCATTTTGTCATGTTTCCTGTGCTTTACTTGTAGTTCCTGGGAATTCCACAAACAAAACAGGGTCCTGAGAGTCCTGGCACCTTGTCATACAAAAGGACCATTTTGCTAAGTCCCTATTATGTGTTGGGGCTGTACCCACACAGTCTCACTAAATTCTGCAGCACCTTATGGGGCAGAAGCTCTCATCCTCTTTGGACAGAATCAGGAAGGGAGGCTCAGGGAGAAGTGAATGGCTTTAGGCCACAGTGGAGTGGTCCAGATGACATTGGAAATGGATCATCTCATGTCCTCCAGGAAGGGCACTGCCCCACAACCAAGGGTCCTTTTCTTGACCTTCTGGGTGGGCTGTGGGTGTGTGTGCTGTACCTTCATTTCTGTAGCCAGTCCAGCTCCACACCAGTTACTAGTCCCTCCCTGTGGGTATTCAGTGCTTCACATCCAGGTCCTGGTGGCTGAAGGCATTAGAGTAAATGGACCTTATTTCCAGCCCTGGTGCCAGATTGGGAGTTGGGCTTAGTGCCGTGGTCTTGTGGGGAAAGACAAGAGCCCCACAACTATATTGTAGGATGGGGACCAGATGTGCTTCCCAAGTCCACCCCTCCACAGTGTTACACCAAGGGAGCCCAGATTGTTATCCGGAAATTCTGGAGCCTACACATACACCCTATGTGTCTCTTGACCCCATTGGTAGGTGGTACCAGCGGCAGCAGGCGCAGAGGAGCCCATCACTGTGGCCCACATCGTGGTGGAGACAGCCTCCTTGGCAGCAGACCTCAGCCATGCCTCTGACCTTGTTGGTAAGCCAACTGTCCATGGGTGGCTCTCAGTTCCGGGGCATTGCTGACCTGAATGCTGTCTGTAGTCAGGGCCAGAGGATGGGGCAGTTTTGCTACCCACACCCTCTGCATATAGGAAGGTCTGGCCATGAAGGGCCTCCTCTGGGAAGGGCCTACAGGAGGAAGATGCATCGGTCACCAGACTCTGCCAGGAAAGGGAGCCAGGGCATTCCTCACTGAGCCAACAGTGACCTGCATAGCCCTGGGGCGCTCATGGGCACGTCTTCAGTTTGTACACCATAATGAGCTGGTTTTTCTTCTGCATGCATTCCCACACTATCTCTGCCTTGGTCTACCTAGAACCTTCCCCACTTCTCTGCTATCCTCTTGGGTCCTGCTTCCTGCCCTCAGGCAACACCTACTTGGTATATCCTTGCAAGGCCTACTTGACCCAGCAGTTGGTGTTGGAGAGTTGGTGTGAGTTGGACGGGATGCCCTAACTTGCTGTTCAACCTTGACCTTCACTCTCAGAGCTTGTTTATGACAGGCTTTTATGAGCGTGTGATGCCTAGCCTCTTTGATGGCTATGTTTCACATTTTAAGTGCCTCGCTGATGTGCAGTGGGAGGGGTGTTAAGAAGTCTGGATTGTGTCAAGCTCATTAATTGGAGGCTGCTGAGTGTGTCGGGGGACACTCAGAGGGCATCCTGGGCCTGAGAAGGTGGAGGAAACTGGGGGCTGTTTCTAAGTCAGGGGTGAGCAGCTGGGTGTGCAAATGCCAGGGGAGGGCAACCACTTTGGGCCCAATGTGGTGGAAAGTTGAGAAGCGAATGGTTGTTACCTCTAGTGCCTGTTGGGCAGGGTCTGAAGCAAGTGGGTGAGTGGGCAACTAGATAGGAAATGGGTTTGGGCAACAGATAGAACTTGGCCTTGGGAAGCTGTGGGGACGAGCTGGGGCAGGAAAATGGAGGATTTGTGGGGGAGGGCACCCTTAGGCTTGGGAAAGGAGCCTTTGGGCAGGTTGCCTTCCCAGGGGAGGTGACTGGGACACCTGTCCCAGTCTCTACTGCTTTTCCTGATGATCCTGCCACAGAGACACTCACCTGTTGCCACTCAGGCTTAGGAATGTTGTTTGGGGGTGTGGCTGTGCTCCAGCCCTGGTGCAATTTGGTTTCTGAGATGGGAACTTTCATTTGAAAAAACAAGTTCCCTAGGTTCCTGCACATGTCCAGTCTTTGAGCCTTTGGCCAGCCAACTCCCTTTCCATCCTACTTCCAACCTCTTTTGTTCCAAATCTTTACTAAACAGGGCACCCCCTCATTGAACTCCAGGAGTCCCTCTGCCGCTCCTGAACCCTTGAGATTTTCCCACTATGCAGGCATCCTGGGTGAGCTGGAGCCAAGGGTCACCAGTATTGCTGTTGTCCTTGGGTGAAGAAAGAGCAGTGAGGAAGTGGGCTATGCCCGGCTTGGTTCTCTTGGGGGCAGAACTTGATCATTGGGTTCTGTGGCATGACTGGGTACCCTCTCCAGGCCCTTATGCCTCTGCCCTGGACACAACCTCAAAGTTTTCTTGGGCTGGTGCAGTTGTGCCTTCACCTTTTGGGCCTCTCTTCTCTGAAAAGACCCTTGTACATGCCAGCCAGGACAGAGACAACAGATACCCTTAATTGTTTCTGAGTCACAGTGCTTTTATTCTGTTCTGAGAGAATGGCTTGTCAAAACAAGATGCCAGCCGGATGAAGATGGTTTCTAAGAAGTGGCTTCACAGCTAGTTCCCACTTGTCACTTTTATGAGCAGAAAATGCAAAGCCTGTTTATATCGGAGCTTTACATGTTGTCAGATTTCCTCACACTCTGTGACAAGTGCAAAAGCCCAACTTCCTTTCCTCAGACCATCCCAGGTGTCTAGGGAGCAGCCAGGCTTGGCCTCCTCAACCTGTTCTGAGACAGGGCTCTGGCTGGGCTTGCTTACCCACCCCTTGACAGCTCAGCTAGTGGGCGACTCCCAGAGGCATCTCCTCGGTCTCTGTTTTGCAGTCTTTGTGCCTCCACCCTGTCACCAGGACTCATGCATCCTCTTGGCTCAGAAGATGAGGTATCTGTGCTCATGGCAGCTCTCCACACTGGGCACATTGTGGGAGCCCTGGTAGCTCCATGGAGTTGGAGTGAGTGTCTCCACTCTGTCAGGCTGAACTCAGTCTGAGTGGTTTCCTGGCTGCCTCTCATGGTCTCTGTAGATTTTTCTCAGTTCAGGTTGATCTGGGTCTGAGCCTATAGCAGCAGGTCCTATGTCCTAGGAACATAGGTTTGTTGGGGGGTCTGGATAGTTTATGGCACTCAGTGGTCTCCCTCTGAGGGAACCTTTAGGCCAGGGCTTGTGGTGCAACCTGAGGCTTATGTTGACCTTCCTTTTCCCAGATAGTGGACACATCAAAGAGGTCATTGTGGCTGCTGAAGCGGAGCCAGGGGAGAGTGAGATGGCAGAGGCTCCCCGCAGCCCTGACCAGGGGCTTGGGCTTGCTGAGGAGGGTGAGCAAGCACAGGTCAAGCTGCTGGTGAATAAGGAAGGCCGCTATGTGTGCATGCTGTGTCACAAGACCTTCAAGACGGTGAGTCCCTGAGGCCAAGGGCTCACTAGGTCCCCTGCCTACTCCTGCCCAGGGAGGTGCCCTGAGTCTTGCTGCCCCTCCCCTGCAGGGCAGCATCCTCAAGGCCCACATGGTCACCCACAGCAGCCGCAAGGACCATGAGTGCAAGCTCTGTGGGGCTTCCTTTCGGACCAAGGGCTCACTCATTCGGCACCATCGGCGGCACACAGGTGAGCGGCATGAGGCCTGAGGTCTGGAGCCACCTTGTCAACTGGTCCTGGGGGTGCTCCACTCCTGGCCTTGTGTCCCCAGCTCCTGGTTCAAGAGGCAGGGGCTCTGTGCTTGCTTTCTCCTCATCACAGTCCATTGTGTGTTGCTTGTTTCCCTTCCCCTATCCCCCCAACTCTGGGGGAGCTGACCCTGTTCTCTTCACAGATGAGCGCCCATATAAGTGTGCCAAGTGTGGCAAGAGCTTCCGGGAGTCAGGTGCACTGACCCGGCACCTCAAGTCTCTCACTCCATGCACGGAAAAACTACGCTTCAGCATGAGCAAGGACGTGGTGGTGGGCAAAGAGGACTTGCCTGCAGGTCAGCATGGTGGGGATGCACTTGGACTCCTTGCACTGGGACTGCTGCTCCCAGGTGCCACCGTGGAGGGTTCTTCAGGGACTCACTCAGCTTTGCCTTAAAGGGTCAGGCACCTCTGCTGTGGGGACAGTCACATCGTCAGTGACAGGAGAGCCCATGGAGACATCACCCGTGATTCATCTAGTGACAGATGCCAAGGGCACTGTCATTCACGAAGTCCATGTCCAGATGCAGGAGCTACCCTTGGGCATGAAAGCCCTGGCTCCAGAGGTAGGGGCTGCTTTGTCTGCTTAGTGCTAGGCTGTGTTTAAGCCTTGGCTCCTGCAGGACCAGGACAGACTTGGGCCTGACCTGGGAGCTCAGTGTGGGTGCAGGGAATAGGAGAAGGCAGGGAGGAGTAAGGCAAAAGTGAGCTTGGATCCAGGGCAGGCTAGGCTTCCCCCAGTGAGAACAAAGGCAGCCAGCCTCCAAGTGTGAGAGCAAAGACCTCTGTCCCCTGAGCCTGGCCTGAGTCTGCCCTGTGGGGTAGGTGAGGGTGGGCATTCTGTACTGTGCTGCCTGACCAACATCTGAGCATCCTTCACCTCTCCTGCAGCCCCCAGTCCCTGAGGAGCTTCCCTGTTGCAGTGAGGGCAGCCGAGAGAACCTGCTGCACCAGGCCATGCAGAACTCTGGCATTGTCCTTGAGAGGGTTACTGGGGAGGAGGGTGCCCTGGAGTCAGCCCCACCCTGTGGGTCTAGTCCCCAGCCCCTGGGAGACGGACCCCCAGAACTGCCGTTGCTGGAGGTGGAACAGATGGAGACAGTAGGTGTCTGTGTTGCTGGCATGCTCCTTCCAGGGGCTGGATCCCTGTACTTGGTTACCACACTGGCCTGTGCTGCCACCCTTCCTAGGCTCTATGCATTGCTTTCTACGGTGACTTTGTCCACTGGTCTGTTTACTGCTTTCCCTGGGGCCATGAGGGAGCCTAAGTGGGGGTTGGGAGTAGGGATGGAGTCTTATATTTGGTACCGCCAGGACACAGCCTGCAGTGGGTGCTGGAAGCCTGCCTGTGTTCCCCTAGCAGGTGGCCAGTGAGGCCTCAGTTGTGCCCAGGATCCACCCATGCCCTCAATGCAGTGAGACATTCCCAACAGCAGCCACCCTGGAGGCCCACAAGAGAGGCCATGCAGGTGGGTGGTGGGAGGGTGGGTAGATCCATGGGCAGTGGGGAGATCTGTAAGTGGCCAGGGTGGCCTCTGCAGGCAGTGGGTGGCTGTGGGTGGTGGGCCTGGCCTGACATGGCACATGGCTCTAGGGCCAAGGCCGTTCCCCTGTACACAGTGCGGCAAGGCTTTCCCCAAAGCTTATCTGCTCAAGAAGCACCAGGAGGTACACGTGCACGAGCGCCGCTTTCGCTGTGGAGACTGTGGGAAGCTTTATAAGACAATTGCCCATGTGCGTGGTCACCGGCGCGTCCACTCAGATGAGCGGCCCTTCCCTTGTCCTCAGTGTGGCAAGCGCTACAAGACCAAGGTGAGCCTCTGCCTCTGGAACCCTGAGTACTTGACTCTATCCTCTGCTCTCCAGCTCAAGGGTCAGCTGTGCCTCTTGTTCTCTGCTCCACCCTCCCTCCTTTCCTTCATTCTGCTCAATTTGACCCCTCGCTCAGACCTAGAGGTGGGTGGGAGGAGCTGCAGTCTTGTCACTGAGGCCAGACTGGCACGGACTGGGTCTCCACAGAATGCCCAGCAGGTGCACTTTCGGACACATCTGGAGGAGAAGCCACACGTGTGCCAGTTCTGCAATCGAGGTTTCCGGGAGAAGGGCTCACTGGTGCGACATGTGCGGCACCACACAGGCGAGAAACCCTTCAAGTGCTACAAATGCGGTCGAGGCTTTGCCGAGCATGGCACACTCAACCGGCACCTGCGCACCAAAGGTCTGGGTTGCAGGTAGTGGGAGGGGTAGTGAGTTGGCATTTGTCTGGTTCTGACTGAGCTACACTGCCGGCAGGGGGCTGCCTGCTGGAGGTGGAGGAGTTGCTCGTGTCTGAAGAGAGCCCCTCAGCTGCTGCCACTGTGCTCGCAGAGGACCCCCATACTGTGCTGGTGGAGTTCTCGTCCGTGGTAGCCGACACCCAGGAGTACATCATTGAGGTGGGTGTGAGACTAGTGGGGGGAACAGGACCAGGCCAGCCTAGGCTGACCGGTGACTATCTGCTCAGGCCACTGCAGACGATGCAGAGACCAGTGAAGCCACAGAGATCATTGAAGGCACCCAGACAGAGGTGAGGGGCTGGGTGAGGGACCGGAGGGTTGTCTGCTGCCGAGCAGACTCAAGCTGAGCTGCGGTCCCTGCAGGTGGACAGTCACATCATGAAGGTGGTACAGCAGATTGTGCATCAGGCCAGCGCTGGGCACCAGATCATTGTGCAAAACGTCACCATGGACCAGGAGGCCGCACTGGGCCCAGAGGCAGCTGCTGCTGATACCATCACCATCGCCACCCCTGAGAGCCTGACAGAGCAGGTGGCTATGACGCTGGCCTCAGCCATCAGTGAAGGCACAGTGCTGGCAACTCGAACAGGTGCAAATGGCACTGAACAGGCCACTGTGACAATGGTATCATCAGAGGACATTGAGATCCTTGAGCATGGAGGCGAGCTGGTCATTGCCTCACCGGAGGGCCAGCTCGAGGTACAGACAGTCATCGTGTAGTATAGGGGCCTGCAGGGTCCCAGCTGTGCTGGGACAGGGGCAGGGGAGAGGAGCCTTGAGTGCCTGCCCACTGCTGCCTGGCCTGCAGAGAAGACAGCTGAGAATTTCAGGCGTCCAAAGGAGATGAAGTGTGAATACATAAAAGTTTTTTGTTGCTTTACAATAAAACATAAAAAGCTGCAGCTTGTGATGTTGGGGCAGTGGCAGCCTCTGGGGCTGACGCCACTGCCTTCACAGGTATCCTCTGGAAGCATCTGCCTGTCTAGGCCACCACCTACTCACACATCTGGCCACCAGCCCAGGGCCTCAGCCAGCCCTGGCGGCGCCTCAGTAGTGCGTGGGTGCCTCTGGCATGTTGACAGGCAGCCTCTTGCTGCTCCTTTATCCAGCTGGAGCTGTGACCCCAGTCTCCCCAGGTCTGCCGGGGGTGGGGATGGGGATGGTACTTTTCAGTCTCCTAACCTGGGACTGTCATGGGTGTAGGGACTGAGGTTGAGAGACCCCAGGAGCCTTAGGTCAGGTTGAACAGCCTTAGTTTTTTGTCCAGTTGCAAGGACAGGTGTCAGAAGCAGCAGGAGGAGGCTGGTCAGGACTGGGCTAGTATTTTCCCATTAGTCTGCCTGTTTCCCTGAGAGATGCTGCTCAAGGAGGCAGATTCTGGGTGACCTAGTTTCTGGGGAGGTGGAGACAAGGACAAGACCCAGACCATGGGTGTGGCTGCCCCTCTACAGTCCTGAGGTTGTTCTTGGGGACTACCAGGAGCTTCTGCCATGGTTCTGGGATAGGCCTAGGGCACTACAGCTGGTTCAGGGCAGGTCCGCTGCCCTGCCCTCCTGGGTCTCTAAGTGAGAGCATCCACTGGATGGGAGGGGACGGAGCATAGCCCAACCCCTTCCTGAACCAGGGCTTCAAATACCTGTGGGTGCGTTGGCACCAGAGCTGCTGTGGGCCCAAGCCTGGATCCTGGATCTGTACTGGCCTAGGACCCCTGAACCTCTGATACCACCTTGTCCACATCCTAGGTAAGTCTTGGGGCTGGGTTGAGCAAGGGCTGGATGGCAATGGGATGCCCTCCATTTGAGCCTTGGTTCCTCTTTTAGTGGGACACAGTCATGGGCTGAGAGCCCAGAACACTACCCTGGGGGGAGGGGACCTGGAAAATTCAGGGGTAGCATGCGTTTTGGGGTAGGGCAGCACCAGATTGTCGGCACAGCCAGGATGAGACACGACTATGGTGAGGGCGTGTTTACTCGCGGGTTGCACCTGTGCCCCCCAGGCTGTCGTGTCTGCCATGGGCGGGCCCCGGGCCCTGTTGGCGGCGCTCTGGGCGCTGGGGGCCGCAGGGGTTGCGGCGCTACGCATTGGAGCCTTCAACATCCAGAGCTTTGCTGACAACAAAGCGTTGGACCCATCCTGCGGCAGCATCATAGCACAGGTGAGCCGGGCGGGGGCGGGGCTGCAGCTGGGCTCCCCGGGCGAGCCGGCCTCGGCCTCGGCCTCGCAGGGTTCAACACAGCAGGCGGTTCCTCCCACAGATCCTGTCTGGCTACGACATCACGCTGGTGCAGGAGGTGCGCGACCCGGACCTGAGCGCGGTACTCGCGCTCATGGAGCAAATTAACAGGTGCGGCAGGCAGGGCCCGGCGGCGACCCTTGACTGCAGTCACTGGCTCGGAGCCTTGAACCAGAGCCTGGCGCATCTCTCCACAGCGTTTCCGAGCACGAGTACAGCTTCGTGAGCAGCAAGCCGCTCGGTCGGGACCAGTATAAGGAAATGTACCTGTTTGTCTATAGGTGAGGGGTCAGCTGCAGGGAGGGGGATGCGTCGGGCTGAGAGGATGGGCTCAGCAGACCACTTGTCTTCTGTTCCCAGGAAAGACTCTGTGTCGGTCGTGGACACATATCAGTATCCAGACCCTGAGGACGCCTTCAGTCGGGAGCCCTTCGTGGTCAAGTTTTCGGTCCCCCACTCAGGTGAGGCTGGCCCCGCCCTTCCCCAGCTCGCCCCGCCCCCCCAGCTCGCCCCGCCCCTCACACCGCCCCTGCTCCCACAGCCGCTAAGGAGCTGGTGCTGATCCCACTGCACGCCGCGCCTCACCAGGCGGTGGCTGAGATCGATGCTCTCTACGATGTGTACCTGGACGTGATCGACAAGTGGGGCACCGATGTAAGCCCCCCACCCCGGGGTCCCACAAGAGCGCTGAGGGTCTGGGCAGTGAGTGAGAATGGCTCAGACGTGCTCCTTGGCGCCCTCAGGACATGCTATTCCTGGGCGACTTCAACGCCGATTGCAACTACGTGCGGGCGCAGGACTGGTCGGCCATCCGCCTGCGCAGCAGTGAAGTCTTCAAGTGGCTCATCCCCGACAGCGCTGACACCACGGTGGGGAACTCGGACTGTGCCTACGACCGCATTGTGGTGTGTGGCGCCCGCCTGCGCAAGAGTCTGAAGCCCCAGTCGGCCACTGTGCACAACTTTCAGGAGGAATTCGGCCTGGACCAGGCCCAGGTGAGTGCGGCTTGTGCAGCAGCACCCAGTTCTGGGGGCCTGGACCACGCTAGGCCAGGCAGGTAAGCAGGAGCTAATGGATTACTGTGGCTTCCCTGCTGACAGCTCACACCCGATCCCCAGGCAGCGAGCGTGCTTACAGCTAAGGATGTCCAGAGCTTCAGTCCCCACCGGGAAGGGACCTTGTGCCTGTTCAGGCCTCCTCTCTCTCACTGGAGGCATTGCAGACTCCCTGCACCCTGGCCCCTTTCTAGGTGGGGGCAGGAAGAACACTCAGCCTTGTAGAATCGCTGAGGCTCCACTCCCTCTTCTTCCAGGCTCTTGCCATCAGTGACCATTTTCCTGTGGAGGTGACCCTCAAATCTCACTGACAGCCAAAGCTTGGCCAGAGCCTGACACTTGCAGATGGGCCATAAGGAAAAGCCCCATCATTAATAAGATCTTTGCGGGAGGGGGGCAGGTCCTTCCTGCCCCCAAGTGAGGATGTGGAGGCAGCTGTGTGTACGAATGGCTATGGACACATTACAGGATTACTTGGAGCCTCATTTTCCCTATCTGTAAGATGGGGTGCCACCACCTACCTCATGGGGTTGTTGTGAGGAGTACCCATGAAGGACACTTGGCATAGCACCTGCCACACACCTGTGCATATTTAATAAACAAGCTGCTCTCAGGACCACACACAGGTTGGCTCCAAGGCCTCTGTCCTGAGGACCGGCCCTTCTGGGGTGCAAGCCTTGGTCCAGGGCATCCTCGTTCCCGGCCCCCTTACAGGAACAGCCTGGCTTGCACGCCTCATGTCCTGGTGGGAACTGGCTGCCTCCAGACAATGCCAGCCCACGAGACAGCTCAGTGAAGCTCCCTGTCCTTCCTTCCTTTGTGCAAACAGCAAATGCTTCCAAGAACCTGCACCCTGAGTACAGCTGATGGGGGTGGGTGGTTAATGGCTTTCTGGGCTCTGATGTTTCATGACAGACTGATGCCCATTTTGCTGTGAGGGAGCCTCAAACATTCATCTGAGTAAAAAGATGTCTCACCCAGACTACAAGGGGAGCCCCTTGGCTCTAGGCTATGTCCTTCTTAGAGACTGCACTTTGCCCTCAGTTGTGCCTTCCTGCAGTTTCCTCCTTGAAGGCTGGGCTGCGCAAGGACATGGAGGATGGGGGCTTTGTGGCCAGGCAGGTGAGCTATCATCTTAGGAGCAGGAATAAGCAGCTTCATGGACACAGGGTTTCTGGTTTTTGAAACATCTCATTTTTAGCAAGATTTGGGGACTGACCTAAACTATATGGGAGGAAAGACCTTTGTTTAGAGGGTTCAGATATTTGGGTTTTTTTTTCAGTGCTGGGGATTGATCTCAGGACCTTGAACATGTTAGGCAGTGTTCAGTGGAGCTGCAACCCAGCCTGTAAGTTCAGTTTTCGAAATCTTTGTAGAGTACAATTCAGGGTCTTGGCAAGATTAACATGCCTCAGAACAAGCAATGCTTCTGTCACCCCACAAGTTCCCCAAGTTCCTCAAAGACTGTACACTCCCTTCACCTGAATGACAAAGTGTAGTGGCCAAAAGGCTTCTCTGCAGGGGACCTGTGGGTCACTGGATTCTGAAACTGCCTGGTCTGAAAGGCATCCAGTTAGCAGGCAGCAACAGTGTAAGGATGGGACAACTCCTTTACTCACAATTCTGTTTTGGGAAAGAGGACACCTGACCTTATAGAGGCCTTCCTGGCATTCATTTCCAAAGCTCAGACACTGCCCTCCCAGCAGTGACAGGACCCTTCCATCTAAGAACAGGAAAACAAAGAGCTGAGAACTTTAAAGTTGAAAAATACCTTGTTTAAGATCCCCTTGGAATCAACAGGCCCCCAGAGGGTACAGGTGGCCGAAAACCTATGTGGCATGTGCCTTAGCCTTTCTTCTGCTTGAGCTTTTCTAAGTACATGCACAGGGACTTCTGGATGGAGTCTCTGGAGATGAAGCTGACGAAGTGTTGGATGTCGGCCTCGCGCTGTTTGATCAGCTGGTCCGTCGTGGGCTTTCGCATCATGTGCTTGGTCAGCTGCCGAGCGTGTTCTGAAGAAAGTGGGGTTCACTTGTGAAAACCCACCTTCAGGGGCAGTGGGGTCATTTGCAACCTAGCCACGAGTGTCAGACAGAAACTTGGGAAGGGAAGGTTGGTCGTGGTGATACACGCCTGTGATTCCTATTATTAGGGAAGTGGAGACAGGAGGACCTCAGTTCAAAAGACCCTCCCTTATCTGGGGACGCGGCCCAAGTGCTTGACTCTCAAGTGGGAGGCCCTGAGTTCAACCCAAGGTACTGCAAACAGTAAGTGAATAAAAACAATCCCAAACTGGTAGAAAGAACTTAGAAAATACAGGTGAGAGAGGAAAATGAAAGTCACCTGGTCCTACTGCTCACCCATTTTTATAAAGAAGAAAAATATAAAATTGCTTCCTTAACTTTGGCTTTTGGTGGGACCAGGGTTTGAGCTAAGGCTTTGCACTTGTAAAGCAGGTGCTCTGCTTTTGAGCCACATGCCCAGTTCAGTTTTGTTCTGGTTATTTTGGAGATAGGGTTTCTCAAACTATTTACCTGGACTGGCCTTGAACCTTGATCCTGCCAATCTCAGCAAGTAGCAAGATTATAGGCTTGAACCACTGGCGCCCAGCTGTATTATATCCTTGAAAATATTTTCCATGTCACTAAGTACTCACTTGTTTGTACTTACAAGAGTTGGCAAAATGATTCCCAAGAGAGGACATACCAATTATTTTTACTTTTTTTTTATGGTACTGAGGCTTGAAATCAGGGCCTGCACCTCGAGCTACTCCATCAGCCCTTTTTTTGTGAAGGGTTTTTTCGAGATAGGGTCTCACCAACTTTTTTGCCTGGGCTGGCTTTGAACCACAGTCCTCCCTCATCTCTGCCTCCTGAGTAGCTAGGATTACAGGTGTGGGCCACCGGAACCCAGTAAAAATGTAATGATTTTTACATTTTTAAGTAGTTGAAAAGGGCCCATTCAACAAAGGCCATGACTTGTGAAGGGGAAAATCCACCTGGCACTTCACAAAGTATGGCTGGTCACTGCCCTAGTTCTACAAACACAGCAAATTTCCATTTGTGCTACTAGAAGGCTGAGTAGTGTGTGACTCCAAAAGATATGTCTTAAGTCCGAAAAAAGATATTGTTCAAGTCCTAACCACCCCTTTAGAGCCTGTAAATGTGGCTTTATTTGGATAAAAACCTATCGACTCAATTGAGAGAACGTGGACCTGGATCCAGAGAGGGCCCTAAGTCAATGTCAGGTATCCTTAGAAGAGGAATTTGAGACAGAGACACAAAGGAGGGGGGGGGGGAAGGTCCCTTAGGGAAAGAAACAGAGACTAGAGTGATTTGGTCACAAGCAAGGACCACCTGGAGCCACCAGAAGCTGCAAGAGGCAAGGGGACATCTCCCACTGTAGCCTGGTGGCACCTTGATGTTGGACCTCTGATCTCTAGAACCATGAGAGGGTATTTCTGTGACGTTGGGCCACATAGATTGTGGGCCTTTGTTAGGACAATCCCAGGATTCTAACAGCCTGTTTTTACAGAAACTGTGTGTGTGACACCTTTTGATCTCAGTGTCAGGCTGGGGCAGGAAGAGGAGCCAAGAGTCTGGTTTCTGTTTTCCATGGGTACCTGAAGGTGCCTGCTGCTCCCCCATGCTGCTCACCTGGAATGGCCAGCCACTGGGTCATCACTGAGAGAGCTTCACTCTGTACCTGGTCCTCAGGAACCACCTTGTCTACCAGGCCCACCTGGAGGGCCTCTGCTGGCTGGAAGAGCAGCCCCAGCTGCAGTGCGTGCTCCGAGGCTCTGTGCCCAATGGTGTTCACGAGGGTGTCTTTGAACCTGGAATGCAGGTGCCCACTCACCTGTAGTCTCTGAGGCTCCCAGGAGGATCTGTTAGCCCAGGGTCAAGTGTAGAGTGTGGATGCATCCTGTCTTACCAGAATGGGGCGACAATGCCCAGCAGGGTCTCATTCAGTCCTATGCTGTACTTGGGGTTGTTAGCCAGAATCCGGTAGTCACTGCAGAGGGCTATCAGGCAGCCTCCAGCAGGGGAGGCACCCTGCAGGGAGAAGCCATAGAGCTGGGGTCAGGACATGCCCAAAGAAGGGCTGGGGTGGGCATGAGCTCTTGGGGTCACTTCCCAGCGTGCTGCACCAACATCGGGACTGAGTGTGAGGCCTGAGGAGAGAAGAGCTGCTGGGGTCAGCAGCTGGGGGCTCTGGCTTCTCATTGGCCACGAAGACAAAAAATTCTGGAGGCCAGAAAAATCACTTTTCCTGACCATCCGGTTAGGAAATTGCTTCGTTTATACCTTTTGTCCGATGCTAACAGATCAAATTACCATTTAGTCCATGCTACATTTCACATTAGGCCCCATAAAGTCCAGTGCAACCCCTAAGCAGCCAACCCTTCCAGGATGCTCTGGGAAACCCAAACTCACTCCACTGCCCCACACATAGGCAGCAGTTCATTGGCATCTCCTCCATGGTCCTGTATCCTGTCTTGCCACTGAATGTTCTCTCATTCCACCCCTTCCTTCCACCTCCTGCTGGCCTTGAGCCTTGATGGTATCAGAGCCAACCCCCTCAGAGCAGAGCTGAGCCCTGTCCCCTTCCTCAGCCTTCCTGAGGTTGGGTCAGAGTGATGTTTCCAAAATGTGCATCTGGTCACACGCTCACTCACTGGCTCTCTTCTCTGCCATGTCTGCCCTGTCCCCTGGGCTGTTTCTAAGGGCCAGGGAGGCCCCATGGAACGGGACACTCACGTTGATGGCAGCAACCAGCGTCATGTTGGATAGGTAGAGCCTCAGCCACAGCTCCTGCACGGCCTTCCAGTACTCAGCGTAGTGGGCTGGGTTCTTCCCACACATCTCTGTCAAGTCCAGGCCAGCAGAGAAGATGCCAGGATGGTCCTGGGGGAGAGGGCAGGGCCAGGTATCTATCAGAGCCCATCTCCTGGCCAGCATCATGCCACCAGGGCCAGGATCCTGTCTCCAAAGAGTCAGAACTGACAAAGCCTAGACTTCCTCAGAGCAGCCTCCTCCTGGCGTGTTCAGGCACTGCCACAGGGACATAAGAATATCAGCTTTCTGCATGCCTGTGCACAGCTCTGTGTCCCAGTTCTCTGTTGTCCAGGCCCAGGAACTTGGGTACAGTGAGGACTTCTGACAGAGTACCCCTGGAGTGGTACATGTTCTGATACACCCCTAAATGGTCCAGTAAAGACGAGGGCAAGAAAATGATCTGGGTCCTTGGTGGGTGACCCAGGTCCCCACACAGCTACTAATTAATGGGCAGGGGAGAACACAGATGGAAGAAGCTACAGGAAAGTGTTAAGCAGCGCAGGGCTGAGCATCAGGGTAGGAATCCTGTGTCTTTAGTCCAAGGAGTATTGAATGGGAACACAGCCTGGGGGAAACGGCTCGGAAGCCCTCATGTGGAAAAACTCAGCTGGGGCTCCCACAATGCCTTCCCCTTCCACAGGCTGTAGCTCTGGGTGGTGGACTTGTTACAAGGCACAACCTGACCCTTCCCACCTCCCTGGAGCAGAACTGGACAGGTATCTGCCTCATGCCCTTTGCAGCAAGGACTGACAACCGCCTTGTGTCTATGAGGCGGCGCTGAACAGGCAGATGTCCACACTCTGTAGCCTTAGAGAAGGGAGGAAGTCACAGTACAGGGTGTGGAGCTGGAGTTCACTCTTCTCAGACAGTATTCGCTCATGATACCCGTGGGCTGACCTTACTTTTTGTTTCCATGAAAAATGTTCTGCTTTTGTAACTCAGATGAAAAGGTGAGTGACCGTTATGCCAAAGTCAGTCGCTTCTAATGGGAGGGGGTACGGGAAACCCCACTCTGCTGTGCTGGTTGCAGAGGATGGCGGAGTGGACAAGGCTGCTGAGCGCCTCGGCTCTCCCCAGGCCTTGGAGCTGCTCTGACTTGAGGAAGACCTGCCTGGGGCATGCCTGCACAGTCAGGTGGTTCTTTGGAAGTCCTACCGAAGGCACCAAGTGTCTAGGTTTCACGGGGCTGTCAGCTACTAACTGTCACATGATGGCAGGCTCCAGATTATCTCCAGCTTTTCTCCAGAGACTCAGGACTCCAAATAGCACCTACCGAAGTTAAGATGACGCCACGGAAGGTCTTGTCATTCTCCAGTTTCTCCAGGCTGATGACAAACTCTGTCAGAAAGTCCAGGCTGAGGCTGTTCACTGGAGGGTTTTTGAACTTCATTATGGCCGTCCCTAGTTTAAAGGAGGAGGAGGGGACCTCACACCCAGCACTGGAAAGCACCCCGACCAGACTGTGCACGCTAGGCCTGGCCACAGGAGCTACAAGATTTTGGAATTTTAAAAAACTGGTAGTGGGGCATTGGCGACTCATGCCTGTAATCCTGGCTTCTTGGGAGACTGAGATCAGGAGGACTGAGGTTCAAGACCAGCTCAGGCAAACAGTTCTTGAAACCCCATCTCTAAAATAACCAGAGCAAAATGGACTGGAGATGTGGCGCCTGAAGTCCTGAATTCAAACCCCATCCCCCCCCCCACGCACGCAATGGGAATATAAATTGGCCAGGGAATGAAGGTGATGAAGCCTCTCGCAATTGCTTTTAGTGGTGTGAGGAGGGAGTTGCGGGGGGAGATGGTGGAGGCTTTCTAACTAATGCACATTGTAAGGCTATTCGGAATTGTCACAATGAATCCCTCTGTACAGTGAACATATGCTGATAAAATGGGAAAAACTGACAAGGGAGATGGGGACACCCAGGCGTGTGGAATTCGGGGTGGGGGGCTTAGGGAATGGTCCTGTCAGCCCTCTGACAATGCTTTCATTGCTAAAACACAGCTCTGTCTGAACAAGAGCTTCCCACACCATTTCCACATTTAAAATGGAGCATCTACTTTCTTTTCCCATAAACCAAGAAAACTTCAAATAAATAGGAGCAAAATATAAAAATACTGATTCCAAATAACATCCGACAGGTTCCAACGATGTGGCCAGGCAATGTCCTCTTACAAGGCCAGCCTGGGCTGCATAGTGAGACCCTGTCTCAAAACAAAACAAAAACGTCCTCTTAGGGCTGGGGGCTTGTTTCAAGTGGTGGAGTGCCTGGGTCGAAAGGGTGAGGTCCAGAGTTCAATCCCTAGCAACTGAAAAAGAAGTCCTCTTAAATCCAGATGGTGCTTGTTACTCAACCCAATTAAACAGGCCAAAGGCAAAGCCACATCATCAAAACCCTCCAGTCTCCACCTTCCATCTCGGGAGTGAGCCAACACTTTTGGTTCAGGGCCAGGGAGTATTTTCAGCTCTTCAGGTCACATAGTCACTGCCACAATTAGCTAGTGTGCAAGCTGCCAGTGTATAGACAGATGGGTACAGCTGTATGTCAATAAAATTTATGTAACAGAACAGGTGGGACTGGAGGTATGGTCCAAGTGCATGCTTTAGCAAGCTCAAAGCCCTGAGTTCAAACCCCGGGAACCTCAAGAAAAAACAAAACCAAAACCAAACAAAGAACAGGTGATAGGTGAGATTGCTGATGTGTCCTTTAACACTTTACATTTGTCTTTTTCATAAGAGAAAGGAGCTGGAGTCCTGTCGGCTGATGACACTGTTCAGGCTCTCAGGGACACTCCCACTCTGAACCCGGGACAACACTGGAACTCCCAGCAACCTTGGCTGACCAGAGATAAATGGGTTAATTTTCCAGAGCTCCACTGTGTGCAAAGTTCATGGAGGTGTTTTTGAGACAGGGAGAGTTGTGAGTTTAGAACAGGGAAGGATAAATTATGTTCCCAGCATACGCTGCTCAAGGCACTTGGCCCACAAATTGTGAAGACAAACAGTATAGTGAAAAGAATGCCTGAAGCCTCAAATCGCAATAACCCAATCGATCTCTGCCTCCCAAGACGCTCAGCTCAAACTTGTTTAGGGACAGAAGCCAGGGGTCACATGTTCTACGGCCCTTGGATTATCATTCATTCTGTCAGCAGCAGAGAAAGGAGGAACAAGGGCCTGCCCCAGGGACACTGCAGCTGCTAGATGGTGGCTCTGGCCACCTGTTCCACTCTCCCTACCCCCAATGATTTCTGAAATACTGCCACTCAATTAAGGAGCATTTCCCTGCTGGATTGTCAACATAAACCCTTCTCTGGGAAGGGGAACTAAACCTTAGTGAAAGGGGCTCTGTTTTGGGCCTTTGGTTTATGATGAGGGAGAGGTATCTATGACCCAGACACAGGTGTACCCAAAAGAAACAAACTCCCACACTTGATTGGTAGGGAAGCTTTTGGAATTGACTCTGAAGTCTGGAAGGACAGCCAAAGAGGAGCATGAGTTAATGAAGGAGAATGAACTCAGCCCTAATGAGGCAAACAACAAAGTGAACAGGCCAACGGTAAAGCCACACGGTCAAACCCCTCCAATTCCTGGCACAGAGGGGGGACTAGATAAATGCATCCTGAACACAAGTTTTTTTTTTTTTTTCTGTGAGACTGAGGTTCGAACTCAGGACTTCTGTGCTTGCAAGGCAGGCACTCTACAACTTGAGCCACACATCTAGTCAATTTTGCTCGTTATTTCAGAGATGGGCTCTATTTGTCCAGGGTGGCCTCCAACTTTGATCCTCCTGATCTGTCTTCCAAGTAGCTAGGATAATAGGCGTGAGGCACCAGCCCCCAGATTAAACACAGTTTTAAATGTGTTTAAGTGTGCCTAGAGTTGCCCCAAAAAAGAAGTCATGGTGTTTCCACTTCAGTGTCTGGCTTTTCTCTTATAGTGGGGGTGGAACCAGGCTTGGCTATTCTGACCCCAAATTCTACCCTGCCTGTTTTTGGTGGCACTGGAGTGCAGGTGACCTTACTGTCTGAGCCACACCGTCAGCCCTTTCTTGCCATGTTTTTGGTTTTTTTTTTTTTTTTTTTTTTTTTCCAGATAGGGTTTCTGGAATTATTTGCTTGGGGCTGGTTTTGAACTGTGATCCTACTGATCTCTGCCTCCTGAATAGTTTTTTTGGTTTTCTGAGAAAAAAGTCTATGTGGCTGAGGCTGGCTTTTCACTGTTGATCCTCCTACCTCAGCCTCCTGAGTGTGGGGGTTACAAGTGTGCACCACCAGGTCCAAAGTCTACTTTCTGTCACACAAAGGCACTGAGGTTAGCAGGTTCTTACATGGTAGAGTGAGAAAGAATTTACTTTTTTCTTCTTCTTTTTTAAAATTTTTGCAGTACTGGGGCTTGAACTCAGGGCCTTCAACCTCAAGCCACTCCAAGAGCCATTTTTTGTGAAGGGTTTTTCGAGATAGGGTCTCTCGAACTACTTGCCCCCATTGGCTTCCAACTTCCAACCTCGATCCTCCTGATCTCTGCCTCCTGAGTAGCTAGGATTACAGGTGTGGAGCCACCAGCAAGAGGCTTGTCATGTTTATTTTATGCGAACTAAGGGATTTGAAGAGTGTGAGCTAAAAGGTGCCATTTTCCACTAAGCAATCTTCTATTTTTGTCTTTGAACTGAAAGTAAGCACGTATCTAAAAAATTAAAATGAAAAAAATTGGCTATTCCACTAATACTTTTTCCTTTTTACTGCAGATATATACATATCTGTTTAAACTGTGGTAAAATACACATGACAGCTGGAGGCATGGCTCAAGTGGCAGAGCATTTGCCTAGCAAGCATGAAATGCTGAGTTCAAACCCCAGTACTGCCAAAATAAATAAATAAACAAATAAGGTAGTTTAAAAAAAAATACGTGACACAAAGTCTAAAATTCTGACCATTTTTAGGTGTACCGTGACCTCACCAGATTGTATAGTGAACACTAATTCATTCTGATGTTTTCAAATGTGCTTTTGAACATTTGAGATATATTCAAAACTACCTCAAACAGGGCACCGGTGGCACACACCTATAATCCTAGTTACTCAGGGGGCAGAGATCAGGAGGATCTAGGTTCAAAGCCAGCCTGGGCAAATAGTTCGCCAAACCCTATCTTGAAAAAACCCATCACAAAAAAGAGGCTGGTGGAGTGGAGCAAGGTGTAGGTCCTGAGTTCAAGCCCCAGTACTGCAAAAAACCAAAACCAAACAAAACCCTCTACATCCTGTCCAACTTAAACCCAAAGTTTTTCATCACCTCGCTCAGCAGGTGCAACTCAACAAGACATGAACCAAGCTGGAAGGCACAGGGAACCCGACCGTGACCTGCAAGCCTATTTGGGCAGGAACTGGCTTCGCTGGAGACTCCCTGCCTAGCACTGGGAGGTCAGCCTGTCCTAAATGTGAACCTTGCCAGGCTCTGCTTCCTCTTCGGAGAGAAAGCCCAGGTTTCTCTTTTCGAAGTGCTTTCCCTGTTTGCCCTGGAGTTTTCAGAGGGTTTTTTTTTTTAAATACAGGGTCTTGTTATGGCAATCCTCCTGCCTCAGCTCCTGAACACTGGGATTACAGAGGTGATCAACTCTGCCAGGCTTCCCAGGTGTTCTGATGGGAGTGACAAGTGGGTAGTGATCCTACTTGTGGCTTCTGGCTTTAATTAGGACACTGGCTGGGTTTTGTGCCACGTGGGAGTATTAAGAAAAATGAAAATATTTTACTTGAAAACGAGGCAATCGTTGTCAACCAACAGTTCGGCCAACAGAGCTGAAACCACGTTTATGCTCACAACGGGCACGACCCGCTTAACTCACGTGGTGTGACGCTAAGTTTTTAACTGCAGCCTTTGCAAATTCCACGATCACGTGAGTCTGACTCCCGGACCGGACTTCTGGGCCTCACGCGGAACACGGGTCACACAAGCTGCGCTTGGTGACCTTCGCCTTCACCGCCCGCAGCCGGGGAGAGGACCCCGGGCGCCCTCGGCCCGCTCACCTGCGGCCGCGTCCAGCTCCACCAGCACCCGCTGGTTCGCGAACGTCCGCGCGCCATTCCCGCCTCTGATCACTGTCGCGGAGCGCCCGAGCCGGACCCCTGCGGACAGCGCGAGGACCCGTTAGCGCGTCCCGCCCGGCCCCCCGCCGACCCCCGCCCGGCCCGGCCACGAACCGGAGCAGAGCAGCACGCGTCTCGCCGCCGCCAGCGCCATCTTGACCGGCCGCGGGGGTCGCGGCGCCGCGGTGTGGCCTACAGCCTCCCGGCGGGGCGGGGCGAGGCGAGGCTCCTCCTCCTCCCGGGCCGCCCCGCCCCGCTCCGCCCCCGCCGAGGTCCGTGGCCCGCGCGGGCGCACGCACGCCCTCCCCTGCGCGGGCCGCGGCAAGCAGGACACCGTGCGGGGCACGGCTGGAGCGAAGGGCGCTCTGCCCGCCCGGGTGCGCTTGCCTGCATCGCCGCCGGGCCGGGCTTCGGTTCGCCTCACGCTTTTCCAGCACTGCCTGGGGCTCGAGCGCTTTGGGTGGTGCCGGGAATGGAACCCACGACCTGGGCGTGCGAGCGAGCGAGAGCACGCCAAGTCGAGCGAAGCCCCAAGGAACTTTTTCCGGAGGTCCTGGGGCTTGAAGTCAGGGCTCACGCTTGCCTAGCAGGCCTTCTACGTGACTCTCGCCAGCCCCTTTGCCGTTGTTTTCAAACACGGTTTTATTACGCCTTGCCAGCCTGGTCCTCTTTTTGTACTTTTTATGGCTGAGATGGGGTTCCCGCAAACCTTTTGCCAGGGCTGGTCCCCCGACACTGCAGTCTTCCAATTCTGCTTAACTGGGCTACAGAAGTGCATGGCTCCAAACCAATTTCTGAGTGGACAATACACTTTCCCATCGCTACCTAACCGTAGGTGAGTCTCAGCTAGAACCTGAAGCTTCTGTGAAAGATGGTAAAAACATCCCTCTCCCCTGCTGTCCTCCCACAGAACCCCAATTCTGACTGAGAGCCTTTGGAATTGTCACTTTAGTTGGCGAGCACCAGAATGGTGACTGAGAGTGTTCCGGGGATGGAAGAGTTAGAGGCAGTGAAACCAGCACTCAATCTGCATTCCAATCCTAGGTTTATTCAATACAGTTCCTTTACTCTACACAACAAAGTACAAACACAACCTTACCTAAAATGCTACAAAGTTACAAAACTCAAAATTTCATAGTACTGACTGTACAAGGAAAAAAAAGCAATGTACACTTTTTGCCAAGATAACCTGCAAACCATCATGAATGGCAGACAAGATGGGGTGGGGGTAGGAGCAGGCTCTGTGCCGACCCTGCAGAGCTGGCTCAACTCGCTCACCAATTCTAGAGTAAGGGACATACAGGACAGGGTGTGTTGAGGACATGGAAAGACTCATTTATGGTAATTAACATGGGGTGGGGAGACTCTTCCAGGGTGTTCGACCCTAGAGATTGAACAGGACTCAAGAGGAGGCAAAAGGCCAGGCCTAACAGGAACAGCAGCTTGGTCCCCTTCCCTGCAGGATGCTGCACAGCAAGGTGAGCAGGTCACCAGATCGGCCCCAGGTCGAGTACTCTGTCATCTGGAAGCTTGCTTGTCCTTGCTGGCTCTGCCACTGAACACTCTCAGAACCAGGAACATGTGAGCTTTCTAGCCGGAAAACTACAGGGCACCTTCATGGGCACAGTCCCTGACCCACAGTAGGCTTTGGCAGCTAGAACTCGCCTGCAGCAGAAACGTCTCAACTGCTGCTTTTGAAGCCTGACTGATCCTCCTTTGGCTGGAGAAGTGACAAAACTGAGCTGGGTGGCACATAAATTACAGGGTGAGCTTCGGTTGGCCTGCTTATCGAGAGGAGTTGGAGCTGGAACGGCTTCTGTGGCGGCGGCGGCCGGGAGAGCGGGACCGCCTGCGCACTGGGGACCTGCGCCTTGGGGAGCGTGACCTACAGGAAGAGAAGAAACTAAGTTAGACCATCAGAAGCAAAGGCCCCAAGAAGCAGTACTGTGGGGTCAATCTGGCTTTTTTTCTGGAACAATCCTTTGCATTTTATGTTTATTTTTTGAGTGGTCCTGGGGTTTCAACTCAGGGCCTTGTGCTTGGGAGGCAGGTGCTCTACCACTTGAGCCCTGCCCAACCCTTGCATTTTACTTTTTAAGATCGTGGACTCCACTATGGAAATCACTCCTTCGCTACTCCCCAACCCCAAACTTCCTCTCTTAATCTCTCCCGTTTTCTTAGCTACTAAGGGGGAAAGGATCTGCACTGGGTCTCACAGGAACCACCACAATCCTAGAACCTCTGGTCTTGTAGCTACCATGCACTGTGGCTGCACTTCTTTCAAGTTCCCGAGGATACAAAGCTGACCAGCTTTCTGCCCTCCTTCCCACAGCAGCAGCAGCAGGCAGAGTGCTAAATAGAGTCCCAGAGCTGCTGCAGCCGCATAGGTCTGTAAATGAAATGAAGGGCCCTTATGGGCCCAGCGAGCCTCCAAACTGACTTACCTTCTCCTCATCCGTGGGGTGACCTGCGCCACATGGGAGGTGGTGGCAGCATTCTCCTGGGGGGGCTGAATCGCCGAGGCGGTGGCCTAGGCCAGGGGGCAAGCACAGCAGTAGCAGTGATCTCCTGGCCATCAATTTGTCCTATCGAAAAAGCAAGTCATAAAATATCGAGCACACACCCACCTTAGTCAGGTAAGCCACCAAGCCGGATGCCGGGCAAGCCACAGTAAACACGGGCTGAGGGTGTGAGGTGTTCCACAACACTGGAAACCACTTCATCAGAGAATTATTAGACACCACTGTGTGCAATGGCAGGAACAAAAGTTTGAGGGAAGGCAATACAGGGTAGAAGCCCCAGGGAAAAAACAAGGGAAACTGAGTTACAGACTGGAAACCCTTAGCTTCGAGAGACCGTCTCTACAACTGGGCACACTTGTAGAACAAGCTTCTGTGGGGCACAGAAGGCCCAAGGGCTCTTCTGTCTTGCTGGCTACTTTCCTGCAGGAGCGAACCCAGGCATGCGGGCTGTACACAGAACACACCAGAGGCTGAATGCAAGTGAACCCAGCCTAAGTTAGTCCCTGGCTTGCTCCCAAAACCAGTTCTAATGAGGAATTTAATGACATTAACTATATGGGAACAGAGGCAAATGCATCTCCTGGCTAGCTGGCAGTAAGACCAGAGCCTTTCAATTTCTTCCAAGAGACACTGCAGGTTTGTCTATTTATGATGCATAGCACAGGAGAGGACACATACAAAACCCCACCAGAACCCTTAAGAACATTTGGAATTGTTCGTTATGCCCACCCTGGATGTTCCCAAGTCTCTTAGCTGATTAGCAAGTGCTCAGATTCTGTCAAATACCAGATGACTGGCAGATTGTAAAGTGAAGGTGTGATTCATAGGAAAAGGAACGAAGTGAGTGACACAGGCAGTTTATGCTGAGCCCCTAAAACATTTCATAAGGACTTAGGTAAACTGAAAGAGAAATTGGCTAAGTAACAAGAAAAATTTAAAAATACCAAAGTTATATTAATCCTCCACGGCAATTATCAAAAAAACAAATGTAAAGTTATTTATAAAGCTTGTCACAGGGCACCAGAGGACTCAGAGGTTCTTAAGGCCCAACTATCGGTACTATGGGTTGCCTGTTCACAGCTCTAGCTGCTATGATCCTGGCAACAGACAATCGGGCACAGGCACACTCTATAGTCCCTAAAATGCAGACCTGAAGACACAATGAAAACTGGTCACCCGAAATTATAAGTGTTCATAGGTTATAGGGTTTTTTTTGGGTAGGACCACAGTTTGAACTCAGGGCTTCATGCTTGCAGACACTCCAGAGCTTGAGCCATACCTCCAGCCTATTTTACTCTGGTTATTTTAGAGATGGAATCTCTAAAAACTATTTGCCCAGGCTGGCCATGAACCAGTTTTCTTGATCTCAGCCTCCCAAGTACCTAGTGAGCCACCAAGCCACCTAGCTTATTCATAGGTTTGTTTGTTTTTAATAGTAAAAATAATAGTAAAGTTTATTAGGAAAGGAATTTAGTGTTAACAGGACAAAAGTGCAGGAAATGGGAGTAAAGACTCCTGTTCGTAGGCTTTAAAACCCACTCTGGTTAATAGAAATAGCTATAAATGCATTTGAGAGGTGAATACATCACTCAGCGAAGTAATTCTAAAAAAAAAAATGCAGAGATGCTGGCAAAACAGAAGACAACTCTCAGAAATTATTTAAAAAATCCTCACATAAAGCACCAAATATATTCTTTGTATGAATAGCTTCATTTGATCCGTAAGATCAAATGGATCTTTTAAGATTGAAAATCTCTTAAGGTGCTAATATAGTCATATTTACTGAGTTTTAAAAAAGAGTAGTCCTCCATAAAACATGTTCCTGATAAACACACCCACTAAGCAAGAACTGGAATCCTGAAAGGGCTCCAGTGAGACTTTCGACAGAGATGGGTTGGAAATCAGCTCAAATGGTCCCTATAGGCCAGAGGGTGCTGGCAGGGTCACCCACCTCCATCCATGTGTTTCAGCGCCTTTTCAGCTTCATCGGGATTCTCAAACTCCACATATGCATAGCCTTTGGATAGGTGAGGATGCATCCTTTCTACAGGCATGTCAATCATTTTAATTTTTCCGTAGGTGGAAAATATTTCCATAATGTGATCCTAGAAAAAAAGAAAGGTCATTCTAATGCTCACCCATCAATAACTGAACTACAAAGAATTCACCACACAATGAGTAAAAACTCTAGTATAATGCCTGTTACCTGATAAAAACTACTGTTATTCTGGGCTAAGTCTCCTAGACACAGATGTTAACAGTTCATGAAGAGTAATGAACCAGTGCTCCCCTCAAATCACGCACCTAATCTATACCAGTCCTGAAAGGCTACATTCTAAGTGCACCTGCTGCCAGAGGTCTGCTTGTCCACACCCCAGTGCCACCCAGATGGATCTGTGATCCTCACCTTGGTCACATTCCTAGTAAGCCTCCCAATATGTACTTTGGTGGGTTTAGGGGAAGGGCTCCGCCTTTTCCTCTCCTTTTCATCTCTTTTAGGTGGTTTGGATCTGAGAGAAAACAAAACACCAGAAACAGTCAATTTCTGTCAAGTCTGGGCTGGGAGTGGAGCTCAGTATAAGTCTCTAGGTTTTGTCCCCAGCACTGAAAAGAAAAAAACAAAGACAATGAAGAAAAAGTTTTGGGTTCCCTTTTAATGGGAAATTATTTGCCTGGCTTATATAACAGCTTTTTACAAGGAAAAATTTCCTACCAGTTCACTTACATTATCCCTGTCCCAAAATTCCAATTTCTCCTTTTGATCTACTTTTCTAATAGCTACAGTAAATGTACAGCTCCAGCCTGACAACTTGCACTCACTTGGAACGGGAACGCCGCCTGTTGTCATGCCTGCGCCGAGAAGGGCTAGGGGAGCCGGAGGAGCTGCTGGAACTGGAGCTGCGGGACGTGCTGGAACTTCCCGAGCGGCTGGATGCAGAGGAAGAGCTGGAGCCACTGCTCGAGCCAGTGCTGGTGCTGGATCCTGAGCTGGAAGTTGAGCTGGAACGAGACCTGAGGGCAAGGGGTGAGGGAGGAATAACGACAGACTGTCACCTATACAGAGGTCTTTCTTACTGGGAGGTAAAGTAGGAGACCAACAAAATTCAAACCACCATCTCAGCCTTGGGAAGGGGACTGTGGATAGGCTCAGGCTGGTTTTCAACTACTGAAAAATGAGCTCTAGACCAGGGCTACCCAATCCCCCCAAATGCCACATTCCTTAGGATCTTCAGGAAAGAAAAGGGAGATACTATCTTCTGTACACAAGCACAGCAGACTCCAATCCACTGTGCCATAACTTAGGGTCTTGTTAACAACCCAAGGGGTGTGGTTGTTTTGTAACTAGTTATGGCTGTCACAGCAGCCTCTTTGCCCCCACCTAGTGCTGCTGCTTCCACTGGAAGCACTGCGCCTCTTCCGAGTCTTATCCCTGCCACGGTCCTTCTCGCTTGACTCCTTGGTGGCTCCTTTATCTTTAGAGCGATCCTTGGACTTCTCATCAGAGCGGTCCTTGCGTTTGGTAGGAGAAGGAGCCCTGAATGGTGAGGAACAGTGAGACTGCATGCTCCTCTAATTAAATCATCAAACAACAGCACAACCCAAAAGAGGGGTCCAAAAGGGTTAGAGATCCCAGGTGATCACAGAGCAAAATGATCTGTGGCTTAGGGCACTCATTGTAGAAAGCAAAAACATTTCAATCTCCCCTTTTTGAGGGTCCCTACTAATGAGAACCCCCAAAGTAGCACTAGAAAAATCTTATGGAAGGATTACCTAGTGCTGGACTTTTTATTATTTTCTTTGACTCCTAGCAAGCTCTTCTTTTTCACTCCTGATAAATCCATTCTCCCCTTCTGAGGTGTTCAAAGCAGCAATGGCGGCCTCACTTATCTGAACTCTCACTTCTAACTTGAGTCTGAGAAACGATCCCTAATCGATTGCAATTTACGCCAAAGAGCAGCCTAATAACAAGATAAAAGGATTTAAATAAAGAGTGAACGAATTGGCAAGACAACAAATCCACTTTGCAATAAAAAGATGAGCACACAAGAAGATAACAAGGGAACACAGTAAGCAGCAAGTGTCCACAGAGCCAGAACACTCAGGGGACAGTCACTATTTCCTCAGGGAGTTCTTTCTACCCCACAGGAGGTATAGGAAGGTCACCATAGTTTGTCTTTTTCTTTTTTGAACAAGAAAAAACCACAAAACTTAGGCATGTCTTTTCTTAAGGAGACAGGGATGGCGACTGTTCACTTATATTAGTGATTACACAATACCAGATTTTACTCCTAAATTGGATAAGCCCTCTATAGTCTTTTCAATACTACAGCACCATACTATTGTGCAGAATAGAGAAACACCTAACAAGAGTCAATCTCCTGACAGGATCACATCTCTCTTGTCTTACCACTATATCTGAATGATGACATGACTAGAGCAAAAGTCAGAGATTGACCAAAAACAGCACCAAAACATTTCACACCTAAGCACAAATATGCAAAATGTTCCACAGGTGCATTAAAAAGCAGTAAAGTGATTTAAAAGTAGCAGATGCAAACACTGAACTTTTGTTAATGAGTTACCTACCTATCAGGCATGTTAGGGACATCAAGGCAATTTACTTTGAAAATATAAGAAAGTAAGCGATAGGTAACTAGACAAATGATAACTATGGGTGAAATGTGACTTTTCAAGTCAGGTAGGCACAACTGTATTAATTTTTAATTTATTTTTGGCAGGGCTGGGGTTTGAACTCAGGACTTTGTGCTTTCGTTCTTTCAACCTTTTTGTGGCTTATTTTTCCAAAAATAAGATGAGATGGAAAAAGTAGACATCGGAACTGAGAGAGATACTGCTTGGTATTTAAAGTTTAGCAAAGTGCCTGGGCTATAGCAAGGGCTTGATAATGGTTACAAACTGCTAACTCCTCATATGTCCTATTTCCAGAGAGTGAAATGTAAGCAAAGGGCTCAAGGTGCTCAACTCAACTCCTGCTTCACCTCCCTCCACGGCCTGTAACTGAGGCAGACACAGCACACCATGGGGTCCTGCTTTCAGTGGTACTTTAAAATGCTGCTGAATAAATGTTCTGACCTGAGAAGAGCACCTGGCTTTGGACAACTGAGTGGAAAAGGGCAGAGTATCACCTTTACTGCTCCTTTCCAGGGGTATAAGCTCTTTTCACACTGTTTTACCTTAAAACAGCAACATACTATGGACACCTACCAGGCGTTCTTGGACAATCAGTGAACATAATCCAGAAGCTGAGTCTGGAGTTGGCAGACCTGTGTTTGATCTGAGGTTTTGCTATGTAACCTTGGACGTGTCATTCATCTTTTTTTAAGTTTCTCACAGCAAATTACATCTCCTATCATACAGTTATCAGCGCATTAGCTCAATTAATCCATGAATCTCACACAGCATCCAGTTAAAACTTAATGAATGTTACTTAATGTTAGAAGATAGGGTTGTTTCTCCATGTCTGGAAGCTCTTTATCCAGTCTCTCAACTCCAAGGTTACAGATGATTTCCGAAGTCTCAACGAGATTCCCTAAATAGCCCTTCTTAAGATCCCTTAGTGCAGTACTGTCCCCTACTAAGCCATGAGTACAACCTGAAATTTCCTAATAGCCATATGATAGGTGAAATTAATTTTGGGGGGAATGGAGAATGGAACTCAGGGCCCTGCACAGGCTAGATAAACACTCTACCTCTGAGCTATACCCCCAACCTGAAATTTTTTTCTGGCAGTACTGGGATTTGAACTCAGGAGCTCACACTTGGTAGGCAAGACTCTTACCATTTAGCCCCACCACCCAGCCCTTCAAATTATTATTTTTGGTACTGGGGTTTGAACTTGGCCCTACACCTTGAGCCACTCCACCAGCCCTTTTTTGTTATGAGTTTTTTTCGAGATAGGGTCTCTCAAACTATTTGCCTGGGATGGCTTAGAACCGTGATTCACCCGTGGCCGGCCTGAAATTAACTTTTAATAATATATTTGACATACCCAAAGCATCAGCTGATCCGCTGATCTGCACGCTAGGCAAGCGCTCCACCACGGAGTTACATCCCCAGCCCCTCAATAGAAACCCTTACTGATAAAAATTTACTTTTAAAAACGGCTAGCCACTGGACAGCATAGGAAACAGTGGCGATTACATAAGATTTCGGTGTCCGTCCGCCGTCCGCCCCCCATTGTACTGTATGGAACAAGCACCACCAGCTGACGAAACTGAGAACCACAAAGTGAACGCTTTGCTGGGTGTGGTCGAGTGCTAGAAAGCAAAGGTTGAGGTGCTCTGTTCACACAAGTTCAGGTAACAGCTCAGGACCTTGGTTACCTCCCCCATCCTCCGGAAAGGCGCGCGTCCAACAGCCAGAGAGAGGAGAGAACAATTAGTCAAATCTCGAGCAGATGGCGTTTCAGCATAAATCTTCAGCGCACCCTCCCCACGTAAAAGGGCACTTCAGACACCGTGCATGCAAAGTAACAAAGGCAGAAAAAGTCTACTCTGTGTCTCTCTGCGACCCACTAGCACCTTCCCGTATCCTCCCTTCCGAGCCCCATCACCGTGCTTGGCCCATATTGGGCCGGCACCCAAAAGCCGAGAACGGCACACCGGAGTTCGATGAACGTTCGCGGAGTGAATGTTTGAGTTAAAGACTCCGAAAGGAGCCCGCCCTCTAGGCCGTCCCACAAAGCAACTCCGCACCCGCTCGGGCCCCACACGCCGACCTGCCCGCCCCTCCCCCTCCCCCGGTCCTCGTTCGTCCACTCACTCCTCTCCTAGCAGGGCCCGGAGTGCAACACTGCGGGCAGGTCACCCCGAGTGCCGCTGGCCGGTCCGAGTGGCCGCCGAGCGGACGAAGCGGGGTCGTCCTTCCGTCCGCGGCGGCCCCGACCACTTCCGGGCCGCGGCCTCGACGCCTCCCACTCCGCCCGCCCCGGGCCACACTCTTTCTCCTCGGGCTCTGTGTTCCGCTGCTAGGCTGTCGTTGCACCGTACGGGTGCAGAGCAGGTCGGCCCCACGATGCGCCCCACCAGGCCTGCCAGAAGGTTCCCGAAGCTTGGATGCGGTCGGATTCCTTCCCCAACTTACATCTTCCCGCCGCCGCCACCTCCTCCCGCTCTCCTCAGCCGCTAAGGCCGGCGCAGTTCTGTCGTCAGAGTTCAGGAGCGGGAAGGCGCTGCCGTCCGGCGCGCGGTGTTGACGTAAAATGCCTCAGCCAATGGGCGCGAGCGGTGGAGTGTTAAAGGGCCATGGTCGTTTTTGCGGAACGTGTGGACGCCCTTGGTGTGTGGCTTTTCTCTTTGTGGCAGTATCTGGAGTTACCCGAGGCGGACTGTGCTCATTCTGGAGCTGGCAGGCGAGCGGCTGACTGGGGCCTGAACTGCAGTGCTGAGTGGGCGCCTCCCAGGCCCGCGGCGCGCCCTCCCGTCTTGCTTGTGCGCCCCGGGCCCGTTGCTGGAATGCAGAGTGGCGGGGCAACGGCCGTGTAGCGTCGCACAGCATCGCGACCTCACGCAGCTGACCGTGAGGGTCCGCTGAGCCGATGCCATTCAGAGAGACGGGCGGGTACGGGGATGTGGGTTCGTTCAGTCAAAACCTTCGGTTAGTGTACGGGTGACCTGGTAGACGCGGCCTTTCGGCAGGCAGAACTTGGACGGCCGGGGACAATGTGATCAGAAAGAACGAGGAGCTTGAGGAATGCAAGAGATAAGGTGCAGAAGGAGGCGTCTCCGAGGAGGTGGCATTGCGGCTGGGACTCGCCTAGAAGGGCGCACCAGTAGGTGCAAAAGACGCTCAGAGTGGCCGGAAGAAGGGAAGGGAGGCAGCGGATCCCAGGCGAGGGTCTGCGGAGGTGGAGTTCAGCGGCGGGGGCACGTGTGGAAGGTGGGGTGTCGAGGCTCACACCAGCGGCCTCTGGAGGGTCCGGGCAGAGATCACTGTCGGGACCTTCTGGCAAAGACAGGATTAGGGTGTAGTGGCCCCAGCTCAGGCAGGAAACTGTCGGAATAACACCCGCCGGTAGGTTTTGTTCACCTCAGTGCCTCCATTTTCCCTATCTGTACCTGGTAAGCATTCGTTCTGTTAGGATTATATATGGAAGGAACGAAGCTCCTGCCATTGTCCCAACAGGTTGGAGGAATCAAGGTAGAGAAAAAGGGAGAGATCCAAGCAGGTCTTTTGGAGGAAGGAACCAGCGTGACTTGGAGACATTATATGTTGCAGCTTGGTGACCCTAGAGTGGCAGAGGAAGGAAATACGGCTCAAGAAGTTTGGGACAAGTTCAAGGCCAGCCCAGACAAAAAGGGAGATCCCCATCTCAAGCATGGGGGTGTGCCTGTTATCCCAACTACTAGGGAGGGCTAAATAGGAGGCTCTTGGTCCAGACTGGCCAGAGCAAAAGTGTGAGCATAGCAGAAAACCAGCTAAAGCATAAAGAACTGGGGGCATGGCTGAAGTGGTAGAGCATCTGCCTAGCAAGCAGAAGGATCTGTGTTCAAACTCCAATACAAAAAAACCCCCAGGTGTTCTGGGGGGACAGAACAGCTGGTAAAAGGAGCTTGCTTCCAGAATCTACACTGAGGCACCAGGGGTGGAGTTGGCAGGCCCAGTCAGGATGGTCTGGGTACCCCTGTTGGTCTCAAGATTTGATGTGTGGGCATTTAGAATAAGTTAAATTCCCTGAATTACTGTCCCATCTGCCTAAGCCAGGCATGAGCGATAAGTGGATCAGAAATAACAGTCTGTGGGGTCTTCAGCCTGTCCCCGTTGTAGGAAAGGGGCTCTGGAGGCTCTGTGATGGGATTGAGGTGGTTTTGGTAGTCAAGCAGGAAGCATATGGAGTTCTCTGAGCAGGTAGTGGAGCCCGTGATCAGAGAGGCCTCTGGAGACCCCAAACCCAAAGTGTGTGTCCAGGGCTTCAGAGCAGCATTGACACCCTGGGGGCAAGGAGCAGCCTGGTGACCCCACCATGGTGAGAGGAGGATGGGAAGAGAACCCGCTGGACTGACAGCTCCTCCCTGCTTTTTTTTTTTTTTTAATGCTCCAAAGTAATTTAATTTGGCATGCATGTAAACTTTTTAACACATTTTATATTAAATTTAAAAGTATGATTTATTCAGACACTGATCAAATTTGTATCTAAATATTATGAATTTTTGTAATCAAATGTGCTGTCAGCTGTTGAGCTTTGAAAAAGGAGCATTCTGACTTGCCATTTTGAGGATCAGCAGAAACATGTTTGGGTCTGGGCAGGGTGACATACACCAGTAATCCCAGCACTCAGGAAGCTGAGACCAACCTGGGCTACATAGCAAGACCCTATCTCGAACAAGCAAAACATGTGTGGAAGACTGTGAGAAGTGAAATTCTAGACCTCTTCCTCTCCTTCCAAGAGTCCTCGTGTCCCCCATCCCATCCCCACTGCCAACCTGCTGAGGCCTTTGGGACTAGGGCCACGGAGCTGGGGCCTTTGGGGTTCCAGGGCATCTTAGGGCTACTTTGCTTTGCTGGAGGGAGCATCATTGGCTCGCCAGAGCCCAAAAATGCATCCTGTAGGCCCTGGCCAGTGTCCTAAGTCCCCTTGTGTCCCCTTCCAGGGCTCAGGGTCATTTGTTGGTGATTTGGGGGCTGGTTTAACTTTAAGAGTGTGTCCATGTTAGGACACCCTCCTGGACCTGATGGTCTCTGAGGTGCCTATCCTTGGAGGTTGGCAACCCGGGACACTGCCATGGTCAGGGACTGCCTGGACTCTACTGGAGTCCAGTAGCTTTGGATGGACATCACACCTTTGTAAGGAAGTACCTCTACCTATTGCTAGAACTGGGCTCTGGACTGACACCTCTCTGGTCTCAGCAAATGGAAGAAGATGACTTGTGACTGGGAGAGACCTAAGAGAAGCTGCTGCTTGCTGAGAGTTCAGTCATCAAGGCCTGGCACCTGCCTTAGGAGGGACAAGGAAGAAGTATTGGCTACTGTGTGGCCAGAATAGGACTGAAAGGGCTGCCAGGCAATTGACTCAGGCAAATGTGGCCAGCTGGGAGAGTGCAGCTGTGGGAGTTGTCCCCAGCTACAGGCTTGCATCATAAGGGGTGGGCTATCTCAGAGTCTGATGCCTCTGTACCAGGCACCTCTGGAGTCTTGCATAAGGTGTAAGCTGTTCTCTGGAGGGGCCCATGGGGCCAAGTGGTGAGCTCTGGAGCCTATACTCATCTTCAGCTCAAAGCCATGTGTCCATTCCTGCCATGAGGAAGTAAAGGATGGTGACATCTGAATTGCTTCCCACTCACCAGGGTAGTCTCAGGGGACAGGATGGGTAAGATCCAGGCACAGAGTAATGAGCTGATGTGCTGGATGATCCGAGCGAGACTTGATGCTTCTCTGACCCTGGAGGCACTGAATGCTAACATCTGTAGGGATGGACTGGGCCCCTGGAGTAGGGTTTGGGCAGCTCTGTCAGCTGAGGAGGAAGGTAGGGCCCTCTCTCCCTTTGCCTGGCCCTGCAGCTTCACTCCTCCACCTGCCTGCCCAGAGTCCAGACCAGGAGGACCCATTAGGTGAGGAGGGGGCCCTCTCCAGCACTGTCACCTGCTCGGGTGCAATGTTGGCAGTTCTGTGTGGGTGGCCACCTGCCCTCTGCTGGTAATGTCCTGGCATCTGGGGTTCACTGTACCTGTATACATGAATGTGTTTTGGGCAAAGCTGGGCACACAGAAGTGAATGATACCCTCACACACAGAGGTGAATGATACCCTGCTGCCTGAAGGTTTTGGGTCAGGTAAATGTGCCTTTTCTCCCCAGCTCCTGCTTCCTGCCAGTTTCAGTCTTTGAGAGGTGACCCTGGGGAAGGAGGCCCTCACTGGGATGGCTAAAAAGGCACGTGGTACCTGGCCCAAGACCTAGCCCAGCACGGCTTTCCCCAGATTTCTTGTGAGGCTGAGAAATAAACTATCTTCTCTAAGCTGCTGTGAGCTGAGGTTCTGCCTGGCCTGGTGGTGGGTTCCCTTTGACCTATAACCCCTACTGCATGGAATGGGGAGCCTTTCGCTTTAAACTTGTGAAGCACTGGGGGTCTTGGCCTCAGTTCTGCCCAAAGCAGGGTTCCTACCCTGCCTTGTGGGGCTCCCATTTAAGTTTTAGGTGTAGTGACCCTGAGTGTTTGGTCAGGTTACACTGACGGACTGGGCAGGACAAAAAAACAAAACATACAGGCTGTTGCACAGGCCCTGTTCTTGGCCCTGTGGGAACTGGGCCAGGCCTTGCAGAATAGAGGAAGCAGAATTTTGTCTCGTGGGGCTCACTGAAGTTGGGAGCAAAACAGGCATCGGGCCCAAGAGGGCTGGGCAGCCAGGTGCAGCAGCAGCAGTCTGGGAAAAGTGTCCCCAGTGCTGCCTGGGCCCTGGTGGTCTGGAGGGGAATGAACAGGAAGGGGAAAGGCCCTGGCTCCTCCTGTCTATCTATCCCATGGCTTAGAACTGCTACCACTCAAAAAAGCCAATGGGGATGGGCTCCTGAGGATCAGTCCTGGCTCCACCTTTCTAAAATGTTTATTTTTGTGGTACTAGGGTTTGAACTTGGCCTCATGCTAGGCAGGTGTTCTACAATTTGAACCATGCTCTGAGCTCCTGGTTTCACCTTTGATGATAACTCTAGCACCAAGTGTCAACTCCTAAAGGCAACCCAGGGGGTTCTATGGACCCTTCCTGTTGCTTCTGGGGTCCATTCTAACTGAGCTACTCCTGCCCAGGCTTTGTGCTGAGTAGTAGTTTTGTGCTCCTCCCCCAGACACCCCAAGTCCTGTGGACCCTCCTCCTAGCTGTGTGTTTGCTTGCCCCTCCTGACCCCATGTAGTGGCCTGGACTGTGCCCACATCTGTACACGGTGGCAGGTCATCTTCCTAAAAGGATGCTGATGGTGGTACTCCTCAGGTAAGACCTCTCTGGCAGCTTTGTTCTGCCCTTGGGAGGATGGGCAGTTTCTACATCACACTGAAGCACGCTGGTTTGCATGTGTATGTCTCACATAGGCTGTTCCCTTAGTCCTAACATCTTCCTTCATGCTTTTTTTTCTTCTTCTTTTAATGGTATCAAAGAAGAAAAATGTCAGATTCAAAATCTCTAATTGAGCTTAAACGAAGTTCAAGAATACCTTGTGGCAGGATTCTTAGGCAGGCGTGAATGTGTGGCCAGGCTAGCCATACCTGCTTCACTAGCCTTTGTCTCCTCTAATCCTGAAAACCCAACAAGGGAGCAGCTCTAGGCCCAGACTCAGAGGCTGCAGAGCTGCTGACAAGTTGGACCAGAACAGGCCCACTTCCCAGATTGTTCTCTTAGGCAGTGTTTAGGCCACAACTGCCCTAGGTTATTTTTTATAACTTGGAACTAAATGATGATAGTTTTAAGACTTTTAAAAGGAGTAGACTTTTAAGAGTGCTACTGGAAACTTTGCAGTTCCATAAACTTTTAGAGACTGATCAAAAACAAATTTGAAGTTGTCTCAAGTGAAGCCAAAGTGATGAAAACAAGTTTTTCTAAAACTGGACTGTAAAAGAATATAAAATGCAGAGATCCAAATCACAAAGTTTTAGAAAACCAGTAGAAATAATGGTGCATAATAAAAAAAGAGGGCTGACATTTGAAGATTCTTCTGGAAATGCTGGGGCCAGAGGCCTCCTGCACCAGCCCATAGTTTTCTTGTAGTTGGGCACTGATCTGACCTGCTTTTTCACTTATCTTAGGGGCCTGTTCCTTCACTTCATAGCAGTGAATCCTGTAAGTTTTCTCCCTATTGAGAAAAGCTTTTACATGTCTGAAATTTGGTATAAGAGCCTTGTATTTAGATTGTGGGAGTGATTGAGCGCCTCCCCCCCATACTGCACATGTAACTCGCAGACTGTGATCAAGTCCCCTCAGTCTTTATTTTCTGGACAGAGTCACAGTATGTCTAATGTAACCACAAGGGACAGCTGCTCATCCCTGTAGTAGTCCCTGACTGTCCTGTAGCTGGTGACTTCCTGAAGATTAGAGTTGGAAACAGAGGCTTGTGCTCCAAGTCTGGCCACCATCTCCATGTGGGCTGCTTCTGGGCAATGCTGTGAAGTCGGGACAATGACTGGCTCAGAGTTGACTCAGCCGGGTGTAGCATCCACACCCTATGGAACTCTGGGACTGCACTGGCAACTAAGGTCTCAGCACCTAGTCATAGTCAACATCTTCCCTTCATGAACGGTGATTTGTAACTTTTATGTCCATTCACAGCAGACTGGAGGGCCTTGCTGCTGCTCATCCCTGCTGGGTTCCTTTTTCCTCTCCCGGGGAGATTAGTGTCGTGTGTAAACATGGGACAGGTCACTGGGTTCTCTCTGTGTGAACACATAGAGAAATTCAGCACCCAGGTCAACTATAGTCCTGTCTGGGACAGTTCTCCACTCAAAGGCCCATGGCTGCCTGCACACACTGCTGGCTGGGCCCTGTTTCTGGGAACGTGAACTCCTGAGAGTCTGCCTTCAGGAGTGGAAATCTGCATGCTGATTCCCGCAGTAGGGCACTGACACACTGGGTCCATTCTATGCATATCACCTTGACTTTTTCATGTCCATAGAAAAGAGTGATGAAAAATAAAGGATAAGAGAAACGCAGAGGGAGAGGATGCACAACTGCACATCAGCTCATCCTGTCCCTGCCTGGTGCTCGAGGCAGCAGAAGGTTCCTCACTGCCCCTCCTCCAAGGTGGGGGGCTGCAGGTGGGCGAAACTCAGGAAGACTTGCTCCAGTGAGATCTGGCTCACTGAGTAGTCGTCCACTCCGTACTTCTCCTTGGCTTTCTCTAGGATACCAAAAACCTTTGGGAAACAGAAAAACTGCTGGTAAGAGAGACCAGGGCTGAGGCTTCTTGGGCAGGTCAACAAGTCTTCTGCAATAAAAGACCCTACCACTGTCCAGCCCTGCTCTAGAGCCTTGGAGTTGTGCTGCTCGGGAAAGGACATTGGCTGTGCTAGGGCAGCAGTGGTGAGGCCAGGCTTCTTCCTGGCTTCTGCTCTTAGCTCAGAGTATAACCTTGAGGAAACTGTGTCCCCTCTCTGAGCCAGTTTTCTTTTTTGCACTGAATTCCTTCTACCTAAAATATTTTACATATAATTCCTCAAACCTAGTAGATAGTAGGGTGAATGTTAGGAGAAGCAGGAAATGATTCCACCATGAAAAGAGCCTACAGGAGGCTCTTTTCTGAAATCGCTACAGGAGACACCTAGAAGGTCCTCTCCTAGTCCCTGCTAGAACCCAGTGTGGCTCCTGTGCTCACCTTTGCCCAGCTGAGGTCACGGCCAGGCAGGTGGTAATGGACCATGCCTTGGTGCTCATCTTCTAGGATGCTGCCTGCACAAAAAAGAGACCATATCCCCATGATGGCTGGGCTGGAGGGCTGGGGAAAGGGGCTTGGGCACCCAGGACCATGGTCCTCATTCCAGGGTGGTCAGGCATGTGGGACAAACTCTTTGGGCAGCAGCTGACAGAGGCCCAGGCAGGGGCCCAGGGCTACCCGTGGGGGCTGCCACAGCCAGCACACACCTGGGAAAGTCAGGTCCACAAATGCCTTGAACTCCTGCAGCGCCTCTTGCTGCCCTTCTCTGTGGACCTTGGCCTGCAGGGAGTAGCCACTGCCGAACTTGCTCTTGAGGTGCTGCGGGCTGCCCAGGCACTTGAACTGACCCTGTACCATGATGGCCAGCCGGGTGCACAGGGCCTCACACTCCTCCATGCTGGGGAGAGGGGGGTGGGCCTGAGACAAGGCTGATGCCCACCCTGGGTGTGAAAAGCTTGTGCAGACAGGAGGGTGTTGATGCCCAGATCAGGCCATTCCTGACTCCCATGCTCAGAGTGTGGCCCATGTGGAGAGCTCCTGGCCAACTCTGTGCCAGTTGCAGACAGGGTTTCTGCTCACCTGGCCCCTCCCCAGCCACCCATTCTGGCTCTTCCACCAACCCACAGGGACCCCCGGCTCTACCTATGGGAGGTGATGACAATGGCCTTGCCAGACTCACGGGCCCGGGCCACAGTGTCCCAGAGCAGGCGCCGGGCCACGGGGTCCATGCCAGTGGATGGCTCATCCAGGAAGATGACCGCAGGCTCTCCAATGAGGGCAATGGCAGTGCTCAGCTTGCGCTTGTTACCACCGCTGGGGGCAGAGGGTGTGGGGTGGGAGGCAAAGCTGACAATTAGCATGAGCTCCTTGGTCCCAGCAAAAGCCCATGCTTTGAGACTGCAGAACACCCAGGTAAGAGGAAGGTAGTGATTGGGCCTGGAGAGCCCACTGCATAGGGTTGGGGGCCTGGAAAGAGCTGTGCCAAGGTGGTGGGTTCATGCCACATGAGGTGGGAACGCCATCTATTTGCACTGAGTGGGTCTCTGCCATCATTCGCTACCTGGCCTGGTCTCTAGGTGGCAGGGGCCCTCAGGACATCCCACTTACTGGTGATGCTACCGAATTCTGCCTGATCCTAGAATCATGCAGGGAGTCCTGGCCACTGACCTGAGCAGTCAGTTGCCCCCAGCTCTATGCTAAGGGAGACCCCTGACTCCTTCCTGGGGAAGGGTCAGGAGCCATCTCCTCAGAGGCAGGGGTTGGGCACAGGTCGCACCTGTATGTCCTGACCAGTTTGTTGGCATGTGGCTCCAGGAGCAGGCCCCGCAGTGTGTTCTCCACACAGGCACCAATGAGGCGCTCAGGGATGCCTCGAAGTCGTGCGTACATGACCAGCATCTCCCGGCCTGTCATATGGTCTAGCAGGGCATCAAACTGGGGGCAGTACCCCACCCTCTGCCGTACCTGGGTTAGAGCACAGCACAGTCAGAGAGGGGAGAGGTCAAGAGAGATTCCTTGTGCTGCCAGAAGTGCAGAGATCACCTGCTCTGTGCTGCCACTGAGCCTGGCCCTGGTCTCTTCCAGTGAGTCTGTCCAGGGTGGTTTAAAGAGCTGATGCCAAGGTCCTGATGACTGACTACAGCTGAAGCTCTCTGAGCAGTGCACTAGGGGGACACAGGAAGGACCTGGCTGGCTCAGGAAAGCTCCTGAAGGGTTCCAGCTTGGAGCTTAGTCCATAACAGGCAGGAGGAGACAAGGGGAGACTGGTTAAGAATGGCTTCACTATTATTTAAGCGATCACTGTGAAAACCTTTACACCTGATAAATGCTTACCTGTTCATTCATTCGTCAGGCGTTTAACTAACATCTAATATGCTAGGGTCTTTCTTCTCCCTCTAGTAAGAGGTGTTCCTTGGAAATACCTTTGTGGTGGGGCATCACTAGTCAGACAGCACAGGCGCTAGTATCTGACCAAGTGCCCATGTCCAGCAGAGCTAGAATGCAGTGGGGCCTCTTCAGCTAAGATACATGGCAGCTGCCATCTGTCCTGCTGCTTTTAGCAGCTGGCAGAGGTGGCTGTGCCTGGGTTCTGTGGATTCCAGAGACTATATTTTTCTTAATCTTTGGAGTTCTAGAATCTGCTTTTAATTGGCTTGGGACAATTCTTAGCTATTATTTTTATTTATTTTGCATTGCTGGGGTTTGAACTCAGGGCCTACACCTTCAGCCACTCTACCAGCTCTTTTTTGTGATTTTTTTTTTTTTTTTGAGATAGGGTCCCACAAACTATTTGCTTGGGTTGACTTCGAACTGTGATCTTCCTGATTTCCTCTGGAGTAGCTAGGATTACAGGTGTGAGCCACCCGTGCCTGGACAGCCATTACCTTTTAGATTGCCTCTCCCCCACTTCCTCTCCTTTCCTCTGGAACTCAGGTTAATTGTGTTCAGCACTGCCCAGCTGTTCTTCTGTTTCCAGATCATGTGTAGTTTTCTCTCTCCTGCCTGTATTTCCAATCATGCTGTTTTTCTTCCTTGGCCTCAGGCAAGCACTCTACCTCTTGAGACCCTTTATTTGTATTTTGTTTATGAGATAGAGTCTTGCTAACTTTTGCCCAGGCTGACATCCACTCGCAATCTTCCTTCCTCTACCTTGCAGATAGCTGGGATTATAGAAGTACATTTATTTTTTTAAACATGGTGAACAATTGTTTTGTAATCTGGGCCTGAAAACTGAAAACCCAAAGTCTGTGGATTTGTTCCTCTCTTGGGGCCTCGTGTCTACAGATTCTAGTTATGGCACCTATCTCCTTTGTTTGGTTGGTTGCTGTGCTCTGCTCAAGGGCCTAGATGCTGTTATTCCAGGTATTTGAGGCCTAAGTGAGCCTTTCCTACAAAAGGCCTGTGTCCACTTTGGTTCCTGGAGCACCACAGTCCAAAGCCCCCTGCCAAGAGAACTCATGGACACTTCTCAGGCTCAGGGTCTTTTCCTTTCCTTGTCCCTGTTCTGCTCAACACAGGGGGACCTTCTGTGAATACCCAGGGGTTGGAAGTAGAGGGTTGCCTTTGATCCATCTTCCTCTGGTGGGGTCAGCCCAATTCAGGGGAACTGTGGGGTAGGCCCTGGGTCTTCTTTTCTGTCCCCTTCACTCTTCAAAGTCTTTAACCCACACTCACGAATCCTGAACACAAACTGGCCTCTGGGTGGAGGCAACTAAATCAGTGCCTTTTTAGCCCACATCTCTCTCCTCCCCATTACCTGCTCAGGTCTGGCCCTATCACTGCCTTGTCCTGCTGCCCACAGATGTGTGCTGTGCCACTGTGATCCAGAGGCCAGCTCATCACTGCCTCCAGGGCATCCCTCCTCCTTGCCTGCCCCAGCAGGACCTGCTTACAGCACCCACCTTCTTGATGTCAGAGCTGATGCTGTATCCCTCAACAAAGGCATCCCCTGAGGTGATGGTCTCCTCCCCTGTCAGCATTTTGAAGGTGGTGGTTTTCCCTGCTCCATTGAAACCTAGCAGGCCAAAACACTCCCCTTTCTGGACGGCGAGGGAGATCCTGTCCACGGCGAGGAGCGGTGCCCGCTGGTCATACACCTGCAGGATGCCCAGCAGGAAGCACCAAGTGAGGATGCCTGGAGATAGGCCAGGTACCCTGGCCTCAGACTCTGCCAGCTCCTGGACTCCAGGAGAGGGTGGAGGGTGGTGACTGCATGTTACCTTAGAGAGCTCCTTGATGATCAGGGGCGTGTCAAGCAGGGAGTCCAGGCTGGGGGCCATGACTCGGTTCCTCTCATCTGCCACATCTTGGTCTTCAGGAAGCACTGATGTCCGGCTGTGCAATTCTGCCTAATTGTTTGAGATGGAGGCCGTATGGGAGGAAGGGCAGGGCCCAAGGTTGACATGGGAGGTCTGATGGAACTAAGGTGTTGCAGGTTTCTTACCCTAGTCCAGTCCCCACATTTGTACTCAGACCTTTACAAGAAGAGGTGGTTGTAGGGAATGCAACTGCCATCAGGAAACAAGCTATCTGTATAGAGGTAGTACCAAAAGAACTGTGTGGGAGTCATGGAGAAAATCCTACACTTCACTAAGGGATGTAAATGAAGGAAGGGTTTTTTGTTTCTTTTTTTTTGTGGTTTGAACTCAGGGTCTGCTAGGTAGGTGCTCTACCACTTGAGTCACACTCCCAGCCCTTTTTGCTTTTAGTTATTTTTCGAGTATGTTGTGTTTTTGCCGAGGCCAGCCTGGACTGCAATCTTTTTTTTTTTTTTACACCTTCCGCATATCTAGGTTATAGGCACTTGCCACCATGACAGGCTTATTGATTGAGATGGGATCTGGCCAACTTTTTGCACCAGTTGGCCTCGAACCATAATCTACCCAATCTCCACCTCATGAGTAGCTGGGATTACAGACATGAGCCACAGTGCCTGGTAAAAAGCTAGCAGATTTTTTTTGGTTGGTGATACTGGGGTTTGAATTAAGGACCTTGCACTTGCTGGGCTGACACTCTATCACTTGAGCCCCACATTCTTTTTTTTTTTTTTTTTTTTAAAGAGATGGGGTCTTGCTAAGTTGCCCAGGCTGGCCTCAAACTCCTGGACTCAAGTGATCCTCCAGCTCAGTCTCCTAAGTAACTGAGGCTACAGGTGCATGCCTATACTTGGCTAGGAAGACTGTAATAAATAGAACTCCGTTTTAGAAAAGTCTTAATATTTTAGACAAGTCAATTTAACCCAAGAGGCTTTTTGTTTGTGTGGGGAAGAGGATGGAGACCTAAAATGTATCTGCAAAAACAAATGTACATGGTAACACATGGAGCACCCCCTTCAGGTCAGGTACCTTGAGTGCCCCTGGGTATCACCTCTGGCGAGAAGGGGGACCCCAGACTGATGCCATGGCACTGAGGTCTCAGGCCTTGGGGCAACCCTTGTGACTGGTGAAGGCTGCGACCCCTCTCTGAGCGTGAGTGCTGACAGTGTACTCGGACCTGGTCATGGTCGAGAGCTGAGGCCATGTATGCTGGCCATGAGGAAGAATGACTGTGTGGAAGGGCTGCCCACAGAGCATGGGCTGCCAGGTTGAGATGACAGGCAAGCAGCCCTTCGTGGTTCTGGGCCCAAACAGGAGTGTGGGAAGCAGCTACCCAGAGTCTTGGAGCTTCCCAGGAGCCACTCACCAGTGTCCACCTCCTCTGGAAGGCACAGATGAAGGTCCTCAGTCTCCACAGCAGGTTGGTCTCAATGAAGAAGAGCAGGGTGAGGTAGATGCACCCTGATGCAGCCATGGAGGTCACAAACCTGCCAACCCCTGGGGTGCTCCAGGCATAGAAATTCTCCTGGTATTGGATGTCTGTATAGGACAAGGTGCAGGCTGGGCCCCTGGTTGAGAATCCCTTCCCCTCCTGTGCCCCAACCCTGCCCCTACTCCCTAGGCTACACAAATGGCCCCACCTGGCCCTTCCATACTCCTCTTCCCAAGGATGTGCCCTGTGTTTGCCAATGCCACAGGGGAACCTTAGCTACTTCTCAGCAGTGGGGTATTTTTCCATGTGAAGTGACCCTCACACAGCTGTGATGAGGTACGATGATGACCTTGTCTGCCACTCACACTTGCTACCTGGAGTTGGGGACTATGTTGAGAAGTGAGGATGCCCACGTCGCTCCCTTCCAGGCACTGGTGGCTTAGTGAGGTAAGAGGTCATGACAAGCAGAGCCCTATGTCAGCAGGAGCAGAGAGGTGATGGGGCCTGCCTGAGGTGTGCAGGGCTCTGCAGAGGTGGCCACTGGGCTGTCCTCTGATGTATGAAGGAGAGTACTCCAAGTTATCAGAAGGGGTTCCACAAAGATAGGTCCAAGGCTAAATCCCTGAACCTGTGAATGTGACCTGGTTGTTTAGAAATGTGGTCTCTAAGTGCAGGGCAAGCTGGAGGCCCAGAGTTCAATGCCCAGTACCAGAAAAAAAAACGTCTCAGAGTCATGGGTCTTAACATGAGATACTGGATTTAGGATAGGCCTGCGCCCAATGGCAAGTGTCCTTATAGGAAAAGGGTCAGAGATTTAAGACCTAGAGACATAGGGGAGGGAGCCATGCAAAACAGAAGCGGAAATAGATTAATGATGCAGCCACAGCTAGAAGCAGCCCTGGAGCCATGGAAAGCTGAGAGAGGCAGGAAAGATTCTCCCCCAAGCCTTTGAAAGGACAATGGCCATATCTACTCCTTGACTTTGGACTTCTGCCTCTAGCCTTGTGGAGGACATGTCTGCGATTAGGCCATAGTCTGTGGTTCTCTGTTCTAAAGGTCACAGGAACCAGAGAGGTACAAAGAACAGAAGCCCACAGGTAGGCCCAGAATGTGCACGGAGACAACAGTAAATTGCTGATGTGAGATATGAGGGCAGGGCCAGCTAGCATCTACTCAGAACATGGAACAGCCCAGCTATGTGACTTATGTTGTCCCCCAAGGTCCATGTGTTGGAATTTAATCCCCATTGTAAGGAATTAAGAGAGTAGAAACTTAATCATTAACTCTGATGTTCGGAGGTGGGGCCTGTGGGAGGTGATTAGGATGAGATACGGCCAAAAGGGTAGAACCTCATGATTGAACCTTGATGACTTTGTAAGACAAGGGAGAGCGACCAGATGACATACACATGCATCTTGCAATCCCCATCTGAGTCCACGTGATGTCTACACTGCCTTGGGACTCTTCAGCAAGATAGCCATTGCCAGATGCAAGCCCTTGTCCTTGAGGGGTGTGGGCCAATATAAGCCTCTTTGCTTTATAACTTACCCAGTCTCTGGTACTATGTCACTGGCAACAGAAAATGGACAATACAAGTCCCTTGGCTGGGGGAGTCCTGGAGATGCTCTGGTTGTCCCGGGAGAGAGCGGAAAAGAAGGAACTGCCCACGGGAGGGTCTGGACACTCACTGTACTTCTTGCAGTACTGGGTGGCAACCTCTGAGGATGTGCAATACCGGCGTGTCTCATAGTTCTCATAGAAGCTGCTGACCGCCCTCCCTAGGCAGTGATTGGGCAGCACCAGGAACACACGGTCCAGGGTTCTGGAAAGTTCTTCTAACTTGACCGCTGTGGTGGGGAGTGTAGCAGATTAGTGAGTGCTAGAGGACACAGCATATCTGCCCAAGGACAGATCCAGGCAGCAAAAGGCAGGTCTCAGGTGTCCCCACAGATCAGGCATCTCCGTTAACGGGACCCTGCCCGTTGTGGGCAGAATGGGGCGGCCCTCCAGGAGTGGCCCCTGGGGGAAGCTGCAGACCCTCCCACACTGTGGCTGGTCAAGCGGGGCCACGTGGGGCAGAGCAGCTCCATGGGTGGCAGTGGGGTGTGAGTGGGGGTGGTCTCCATGCTCCCACCTGGGATGCGCATGACAGTGACCATGAGGAAGGTGGTGATGCCCGACAGGATGTTGAATATGGTCAGCCTGGTGTAGGCCGTGGACGCGCCCAGGAAGAAGAAACTCATGAGGTACATGAGGGGGATGATGGCCCAGCCATACAGCATTAGCAGCAGCAGCATGTCGGCCGCGTGGCCGTCCTGAGTGAAGGCACGCACATCGAAGGCTCGAAACACCACCTACGGCAGCACAGATGAGGCAGCTCAGCGCACAGGCCAGTAGGCAGCTACCCGGGCGTGGGAAAGGGGACCAATGGGAGTATTCCATGGTCCTTGGGCCCTGGTCAATCAGCTATCCTGGGCCCCTCAGCCCCATGGCCCCACAGCGCCTTTCAGCTCTGAGACCCTCTCTGACCAGCAGTTTCCTCTTCTCCCCTGGGCTGATGAGCTGAAACCAGATTGCTGGCCCAAGTTCTGCCTACCAAGAGGGGCAAGGGGCTGGAGTGTGGTGAGGAGCCACCCAGCGTTTCCAGCATCCTCCTGGATCAGGATGAGCCACCAGCTCAACTTTCCTGCTGGCTCTAGTTCTGCTCCCTGTGGTCTGCAGGGCGGTGTTCAGCACCACCCAGCACTCACCAGCAGCAGCAGAGCAGGGACGAGGAAAGAGATGAGGTCCCACAGCAGAGCGGAGAGCCAGAAAGTAGCCACATGGACACCACTCACAAACTGGACGTGCTTGGCCTGGACGGCCCTCTCACTGACTGCCAAGATGGAAAATGTGCTGGCCAGAAATGCCATGGCGAAGAGCAAATTGAGGGAGATGTCAAATCCCTTTCGGCCCCTGGGAAGGACAGAGCACAGTGTGTCTCGGTAGTGGGAAAGATGGGGCCCAGGGTCATCACCATCCAAACACGGGGTGCAGTAACCAAACCACTCAAGGGGAATAAGGGAGAACCATAAGCCATGGGTGAGGGCAGGACCAGGAAAATTTCCCACTCCCTGAGGATAGCTCCTCTTCTGGCCTTCCTGTCTCAACACAATTAAGGGCAGCATTCTCTACCCAGGCTCTTTCTGTGAGTTCCTGAGTCACTGTCCCTACATCCTCAGGGTCTATAAAACCTGTCCCTCTCTTGTTACTCTTGGTACCCTCGGAGCCTCTGCCCTGCTTTTTTACCACCTCAGGTCAGATCCTACTGTTGGTGCCTGGATCACCACTGCACCTAAATTCCCTCTCTGGGTGCATTCCGTGTTCTGCATCTAGTTGTCAGCAACATACTCTAGAAATAGGCTCTGGTGGTGTTTTTACTCCAGTGCTTAAACACCTCCTAGCTACTTCAACAAATGGTGTTGGGACATGGAATACTATTTAGCAAAATGGAAAGGAGGGAGGGAGAGAGGGAGGAGGAGAGAAGAAAAGAAAAAAGGAAAAGAAAGAGAAGTAAAAAGAACAAATAAAAAATGCTAAATGGAGGCAGCCAAGCACAAAAGGTCATGGGTCATATGATACCATTTCTGTGAATGTCCAGAATCCAAGGAAATAAAACAGACCAGCAGGGGCTGAGAGTTGGGGAGAATGGGAAGTGACTGCTAATGGATCCAGATTTCTTTATAGGTGATGGTATCACTTCCTTGAGGACACCAAAAAACATTTGAGTATCTCCCAAAATTATTCTATCAGCACTCTCCCATCTGGTCCACTGTCACTGTTAAGTCTGACCCCCCCCCCCCCCCCGAACCTGACCTTTGGGCCTCCCAGTTGAGAGCCCACCAGGGGGTGCAGTTGGTGTTTCTCAGATCCCAGCACAGCCTGGCTCCCACACCAGGCTGCTGAGGACCCTGCCAGGAAGAAAAGGCAAAGCCGCCCACCAGGTTCTCAGAAGCCTTCTGATGAAGACTGCAGTGCACATGGGATGGGCATCCTGGGTTGATTTTAGGTCACAGAAAAGGCAAATATGGTAGGCTGTTGGCCTGGGGCCCCACTGGCCAAGAACAAGCAGCATCTACAGGGCAGATACTGCTTTGTCTGTCTACAGAGCCTTGTTTCTAGAATTGCCCCAGGTGGTCAGTCCTGGTGAGGGGCTTCTGACTGGGCGGGAAGGCTGTGTACGTACTGGCTGAACTCATCCTTGGCGGTCTGCAGGGCATTCCGGGGCTGGGGATAGTTGGAAACCTCAATGGAGGCCCTCGGGCCACATAGTAGCTTGAATAAAAGGTTGTCCACAATGGCCAGGGCAGTAGCCGGGGAGTGGTACGCCTGGTTGTTGAACAGGGCAGTCACCATCATCTGCTCTCCCGTGTCTCTGAAGGACATCGCCACCAGGCACCGCTCGTTAAAGCCGCCTCCCTCCACTGAGGCCCTGAAAACCAGGAACTCCTCCAGGTCACCTGGGGAGCAATGGCAGTGTCAGAGTTTGCAGGGGGTGGGGCCCACAGGGATATCCACTGCCATTCCAGTGATCCTCACCATGGACAGGCTGTGAGTACAACCAAGCTGGGACTCTGGGTTGAGGGGGCTCTTGCCAGGCCAGCCGTACCCAGAGGCTCCCAAGCTGCAAATACATTCAAGCTTTTCCTAAGAAGCACCTCATTTCTGCCAAGATTCTACCATCATTCAGTCTGCTGAACCTCAACCAGCTGGTCAGGATGTGGAAGGTTGCAATAAAACGAGAAAAATGTCTAGCATATTTCTGTTATACTGGAGCACAGGTATTCTATGGCTGATGCAACAGTTATGGCTGCTAGACACTCAAGTCAGTTAAAGTTTCAGGGTGTTGGAAGAAAATACCTAAGTCTATAAACAAACATAAGGTAAAGATTGCTGAAATTTTGCATTTCACTTATGAATAGTCCTGAAGAACAGAACAGGGCTGCCATAAAGACACCTGGCTAAATCTAGCCCTAGCAAGGGGCCTATGTCTCTGGTATCCCCGGGGCACATCCTCTGACTCAGCACCATGATCTATCCATGGGACATCTGGCGATGTCCAAAGTCATTTTTGTCATGGTGGGGTGAGAAGCAACACCAGGGATACTGCTAACTGTCCTAGAGGGCACGTGATAGCCAAGGACTATCTACTCCAAAAGCTGGCACTGCCACAGTCAGAAGCTGGCCTTTGCCGGCACCACTGAGCTCCATGCCCCAAGCCGCCCCTTACCCAGCACCTCGCGGGGCTCCTGCCCCTTGGCCTCCAGCATGTCTCTCAAGTGCTCTGACAGCTGGTGATCCAACCAAGAGGTGCCCGGGATTGAGAAGGGCACAACCGTTCTGCCGTACTCGTCCAGGCTCAGCTTCAGGAGGGGGTCATCGAAGACCTCCGAGGAGTAGTTGATAGCCAGGAGGGCCAGGGTGACGCAGGTCAGAGGGACCAGGACCTGGGCCACCACCATCTTCCACTCCCGCCAGCTGTATGCAGCCTTCTTTAGGAACATGGCCCAGAACTGCTGGCAGTGGAGGGCAAGCTGCAGCAGAGGAAAGGCAGGTGACACAGGCTGTGTCTGGGAGCTGACATTTGGCCCCAAGGCAAGGTGAGACCCCATGGCAGGTGCTGCCCTCAGGGGGCACCAGCCTGGGAGCCTTCAGCTGACATCCCTTCAGGTGGCTACACCAAGAGTGACCTGGAGCCACCCAGAGCCATGGGCTGTAAACTGCAGGAGGGCATGTATGCACCAGCCCTGCAGGTCTGCATGTGGTCTCATAGGATAGGGGGTCACAGCACAAGACATGGCAGATACTGTTTTATTGCAGGATGTTAAGGGCCTAGCTGAGTTTCCCTGCCTTTTTCTGGAGACAGTACACGCAGGAGGCCCCAGCCCAGCTCATGTGTAAGTAGACAGACAAACCCCCTAACCCACTTCCTTGGATCCCTGCCTTTATTCCCTCACATCATCCCTTCTATTTTTTTTTTTCCTGTGGTACTGGGGATCGAATGTAGGGTCTTGTGCATGCTAGGCAAACACTTAACCACTGAGATACATCCTCAGGCCCATCATCCCTTCTTCACCCTATAAGTATAGAGAGCTTTGGGGTCTCAAGTCCCCAGGTCCAAACCCTAGCTTCCCACATGCTGGCCATTTGACTTTGGCCCAGGCCTTGGTTTCCTGTCTGTAAAATGTGAGTGGGGCTGTCCCTGGTGCACTTAATAGGTTGGTGTAAAGCTAGGTTGGCTCAGAGCTGGGCACAGGGCAGGCTGCCCAACAGGGGACTATCAGTGTTATACGCAATCACTCCCTCTTATCTGTGAGTGCCAAGTTAGACTGTTAAAACATTTCAATTACCCTACTAAAATGCTCCTAGTTCCCTCTCCCTGCCGAACCACAAAGCATGAGCTGAAATCTACCCTCTGTACTCACTGACTCTCTCAAATCCCATGCCTGCCCTGTGGACTCTTCTGCCCGACCCATTCCCCGTCAGCGGCTCTGACACAAGGGAGTCAGGGGCTCTGCGGTCCCAGCCCCAACTGCTCACCCCAGTGTTGAGCTTCACCATGGTGTGCTCCTCCTCAATGAGGGCACCGATGCCGTCAGTTGGGTCCATCACCCCACACAGGTTGCTGTCCACAGCCCAGTCGCTTGCCCGCCTCTCATGCTGGTACTGCAGAGCAGGGAGCTGGATGGCTTGGATGTCCATGCTGCTGTCCACGAGCTTACCAACCCTGCACCAAAGTACACAGGCACCGGTCATAATCCAGCTTCCAGGTCGGGAAAGCAAAGCTGCCCGGAAAGGAGGGCTTTGCCTGGGGACTCTGAAGCAGAATGATGCCATCAGAATCATTAGTTTTTTGTTCATTCATCAAAACATCTCTCTGGAATTCACTTTCGTTCACTAATAAACATCTCCAGAACATTATCTGTATACAGCAAGGCCCGGCCCAGGGGAGAGAGAGTGACCAGCTGGGGCCCCTGTTCTCCTTTTTTTTGGTGGGTCTGGGGTTTTGAACTTAGGGTTTCATAGTTGCAAAGCTGGCACTCTACCACTTGAGCCACACCTCCAGTCCCAGGGGGTCCCTGTTCCCACAGGAACACTGTCCAGAGCCAGCATTTACATTTCAAGTCAGACAGAAAGGGACACAGTGCACACAGCCAGTGCCAGATCCTGGGGAGATGCTGGCTGCTAAAGTGAGACAGGGAGGCAAGCAGCAGTATTTCAAGAGGGACAACTCTGGAGTGGGCATTATAGGGACAGATTTGGATAGAAGAGGGCAAAGGGGGCAAGTGTTAAGTCTGGCAGGTCCTGCAGCAAGTGCTTGGGGTCAGGCCATGCAGGGGGCACAGTGGATCCTGACAGCCCCTGAGCCCAGCTGCCAGGACCCTTGGTGGCAATGCTTTTGTTCACCCCATCTTTGTCATGCTCTGGTTATGAGTGTGAACTTTGGCCAGTCTCTCTATGTGCTCTCAGAGGCAGTGCCCTGTCCAGTTGTCTTTCTCCCCTGGACCTTGCTCAACTGTGTACACATGGCATCCCTAGACAGTCATTAAGTGGACAGAAGACAGGATAAATGGATGAATGAATGGATGAATAAATGAATGAACAAATAGACAAACTAAAGGACTCAATGGCATTCTTCTATTTTAGTGTTTTTTTTTCCTTTTAAACTCAGGGTCTTGAGCTGTGCTAGGCAAGCACTCTATCACTTCAGTTATGACTCTAGCTTTATCTTAGTGCTTCTGAAAGAACCACTTGAAGTAAAGACGAACACTTGTCAAGAATGGGGTGACAAATGATTAAATATAGTTACCATATGATCTATTCCCAGGTATATGCCCAAAAGGAATAAAAACACATGTTCACACAAAAACTTGTACAGGAATATGTTCATGGAGCATGATTTATAATAGTCAAATGAGTAAAAACAAGTTGAGAGTGGTGGCACACAGCTGTAATCCTGGCAGGAGGATCTTGAGCTCAAGGCCAGCCCAGGAAAAGGTAGCAGAAAGACCCTATCTCAAAAAACAACAAAAAAAGAAACAAAAAGGGCTAGGGGAATAGCTCAAGTGGCAGAGTGCTTGCCTAGCATGTACAAGTCCCTGGATTTGATCCCCAGCAACATAAAAACAAAACAAGCACACACAAAACCTTCTGGTAGCTCCCTGTTGATCAGGAAGTACAACTGAAGCTGCTGAGCACAGTGAAGTATTTTCTGATCTGGTCTAACCAAGCTCATTTAAAAAAAATTTTTGTGGTCCTGGGGCTTGAACTCAGGGCCTTTGCCTTGAACCACTCCATCAGGCCTATTTTTGTGAAGGGTTTTTCGAGATAGGGTCTCAAGAACTATTTGCCCAGGCTGGCTTCGAATCCTCCTAAGTAGTTAGGATTACAGGTGCAAGCCGCCCAAGCTCACTTCTGCCTTCAGCTGGAAGCCTGTCCAAGGACCTGCACACCTGCTTCCTTCTCCAAACTTGCCTTCAGACTTTTTTTTTTTGGTGGTGCTAGGCAAGCTCTTTACCACTTGAGTTACACTTGCCTTCAGGCTTGGTCTCTGCTCTGCTGCCTTTTGTCCAGGCCTCTTCTCCTCATTGATTTTTCCAGTCCCACTTGTCTTTTAAGACTCAAATTACAGATTCAGGTCAGAGACATCAAGCATCCTATCTTGCCAGTATTTCCTTTGAATCCAAACAGCGTACCCACTGTCTAAGCTGCCTGCCTTTCTGAGTAGCAAGGGATGCTGGGTAGAACCTCTGATTATTTTTCTACTGAGATTAGGAGGTCAGAGGCCACTGTCAGCTGTTGGGGCTTGGAGCTCAGGCATGAGGACAGAGCCTAGCAGATCCCATGTGCTGAATGAGAATGATGGGATGGAGTAAAGTGGAGGCCAGAAAGGCATTAGACCTCCAGAAATGCAGAGACAAGAGTTCCTGAAGCTTCTGAAAGCAACCAGACACCTGGTCCCCAGGTCCAGCTGTTACCAGACCAGCATGTGGTTTTCTTATAAACCAAGATTCACTGACAGCTGCTCTGCTCTTCCCTGTGCTGGACACCGGTCAGTGAATAGCCTCTCCCTCTACCCCTCTTGCCTGTCCGGGTTTCAGGGTTTCTGTCTGTAGGCTCTTCTCCCTGCGGCTGCTGGCCTTGCCTGCTGCTTCCCATAACTCCCAGGACAGATATCCTTAGCACATTCATTACATGGCCTTATGACTGTGGTCACTTATTCTGTTGCCTTCAGTTCCTCAAGGGAAAAACTACCTCACATATACTCTTATTTCAAGTTCTTAGCACTTTATCTGCCAAGCAAGCATTTGAAAAATGCTGGATAAATAGGTCAATGGTTTGAGCTTGCCTGGTAGTTCTGGGGGTCTGAGAGCTAAACCTCACATCTTTGGTATAGATGCAGGTATCTTGGGGGATGACCCCTGCCCAAGACAGCCCAGTGGGTCCCCCATTGCCCTGCCCATGTATGGTCTGTGTGTTAACTCAAGTGTTTCCAGGAGGGACGCCAGGAAACTTAGACATGTAGGCTGCAACTTTCCAAGTATGCAGGTGTCTGAATTCAGGGCCAATGGTGCCACTGCCCTTCCCTTGCCACAGGCTGGACCTCCACGCTCAAAGGGTGCTGGAGAGCAGAATCAAGCTGACCATCTTACAGCAGCTTTTTAACAAAGTCACTCCCCCAGTGCCAGGGTTGGGACTAATGGGAGTCCATGTCTACTGACCGAAGGAACACCTCCTCCATAGTGGTGACCGAGGCCCCGAAGCTGGCGATGCCCAATTCCTTCTGCTTCTTTTCCAGTTTGGAAAAAAGACTTTCAAACCTGAAAAAGACCCAGAGTGATGAGGTGCTTCTCAGATACTTTCTAGATAATTTGTTCCTAAATAATAATTGCCATGTCGAATGAGGAAGGGGAAGGCAAGGGATAACTCCTTGTAATGCCATTTTTCTGTTTTTCTTTAATTTTTGGTTTTTTTTCGCAGTGTTGAGACTAAACCCAGGGCTTTGCCTATGCTAGACAAGTCCTCTACCACTGACCTGTACCACAGCCCAAAATGCCATTTAAAAAAATAATAAAACTTGGGTTATTATGGTTTAGTGTTCCTTTTTGCTTTAAAGATTTATTATTATTATTGTTTTAATTTTAAATTTTTTTGTTAGGGGGGGACTGGGATTTGTACTTAGGACTTCATGCTTGCCAAGCAGGTACTCTACTGCTTGAGCCACACCTCCAGTCCACTTTGCTCTGGTTGTTTTGGAGATGGGGTCTTGAGAACTATTTTCCCAGGACTGGCCTTGAACTGTGATCCTCTCAATCTTAACCTCCCAAGTAACTAGGATTGCCTAGCATGAGTCACCAGAGCCTGGCTAGATTTTTTTTTTTTTTTAAAAGAGAAGTTTTAGGCTTGCAGCAAAATTGAAAGGGACAGAGATTTCCCATACCACCTTGCCCCCATTTTTTCTCCCTGAGCACTTGGGCTTAGTAGGCATTCTCCAAGGACAGACACCTACATGAAATCACAAAACAAGTCAAAAGAAACTGGTGAATATTCACTTAGTCACAGGGTAGGGAAATACTTTCTGAGAAGAAAAGTAATAGAAGAAATCTCAACAGGAAAGGTATGACAAATGCCAAACCTATATGGAAAACAATCCCACAAAATTAAACAGACAACAAGTTGGAGAAAGCTGCAACAAAAACAGTTCATGTGAATATATAAAAGTGGCTCACATAAATGAGCAAAAGCCATCAACAATACTGAGAAGTCAACTCTGGAGCCCAACAGGTATGGAACCATCCGGTCCCCCACTGGTAGGAACCAGAGAAATGCCAATCAGACGGTGTATGCTTTATGCCATTTAATGCACAAATATTGGAAAAAACCTTTACCCAAAGTCATAACCATGGAATTGCACATTGTTGTATCCTGCTGATGGTGCAGGGAAACCAAATGTCATCTCTAGAAGGAAATTTGGTAGTAACTACCTTTGGGAATCTGTCCTGAGTCACTGGAGAACTGGACAAGTTTTCTTACAGGATATTTATTAGCCTGTTTTTTGGGAAAAAATATGAGTGCATAATAATGGAGTAGATGTTAAATTATGGTGCACCTGAGTCATGGGACATTACACAGCTATAAACCTGCATTACATGGGTTGGGGTGTGGTTCAGCGAGGAATGGATGCTTAGCATGTATGAGGCTCTGGGTTAAATCCCCAGCACTGCAAAAAAAACACCATGCCCCCCACCCAACCCCACATGCCTTAATGGGACTTGTAGCATGATTAAATGCACTTTTGGGATATGAATCCCCAAAGTTTCCCAAAATGAATCAAGTGTTTGGTTTTCCCTCTCCCACCGGCAGCTCTGCCTGTGTGTGACAGTGATGAGGCAAGTGCTTGTGTCACAAATTCTGAGATGGAGGAGTCACTCACATTCACAATTTGTCTGCAAATGCTAGTTCTCAGCTCCACAAGTAATTCTGAGCACAGCTGCTATTTAACCAGGTGTTAGGAGGGAGCTACGTGACAGGTATGAATGGCAGGCAGGAGACGAGCACCCCTTCAGATACGTGTTTCTCCTGCTTAGGTACAGTTAAGTGCAGCCCCAGAACCCTGCACCCAGCCAGGCAGGGTCCCCATGGCTGACTGTCCATGGCACATGGGCTGAGATGGCCACTGGCTGAGCCAGAGAGGACAGGGAGTGACTCTGAGCACAGAGCCCTCTTGCATCTGAACCTGTACAAGGCTACATACCTGTGAGTACTCTCCTTGGGAAGAATAAAGGACAGCTCAGCCCCAGCGTGGCTCTCCAGTGTGGCGTTGGGGATGTGGTGTTGCACCAGTTGGGAGATACCTTCAGGATTGCAGTGTGGCTCCTTTACCAGTGTCATGTGGTAGCCAGCACCTGAAATATGTGGGCAGGGCATGAGGCCCTTTGGCTATCTCCACACTTCTCCTCTTGACCATGCCAGGATCTCTGAGGCTCATGCCAGGCAGGCTGATGGGAATGAGGTTGGAGGGATCCATCGTGCTGTTCTAAGGTTGTGCCTCCCTTGTCCTAGCTGGGGAGAGCTCCTGGGGTCCTGGGGCTCTGAGTGTAGTCCGGAGCACTTACTGGAAACCAGAGCCTCCCCAAGGAGGCAAGTACCAGGGAAAGGGACCAACCCCAGCAACAATGCAAACACTGGTGGTGTCTGCACTGTGGGATTAAAGCTGATCAATGCTTGCAGGATAACTCAGCAAGTCAGGAGACATGTGATTATATCATGCACATGTAAGTCCCTTATCTCATCCTTCTATGTCCACTTCAGAGACAAGGACACTGGGCTCAGGAAGATCAATGGCTGGACCAAATGACACCCAGGCAAGAAATGGCATGTTAAACTCTCAAGGCTATAGCAGGGATGGCTCCTTGTCTCCCAAGACCTGTGCCCTTTCTTGGTGACAGAATCCCGTATCTTTGCAGGGCACACAGTCACTCAGGATGAAGTCACCTTCTACAGTCTGCTCTGGCCATATGGGTCTATGGGAGGTAGCAGAGGTAAGGTGTGAGCCCCGGGGGTTGTAGCAGAGGTAAGGTGTGAGCCCCGGGGGTTCTGAGGGTGGGGAAGTCTTGTGTTTTAGGTATGGGGAGGCTGGCATGTGCATCACGTTGGACCAGGAGGTGACTACAGGAAGCCATACTCATCCTATAAATAAAGGGGCTGAATCAGTGACCCATGTCCTCACTCGCTGCCTGGGACGTGTGGCAAGCCGTGCTTTTGTTGGGGAGTTGCAATGTTGGTGAGCACAAGTGGCCTCACCAAGGGACTACTGCTCTCAGTGGCCCTGGGCATGGCTGCATGGAAGCCCAACCACTCCAGATGTTCTGCCGCATTTACTTCCTCCATTCCCACAAGCCCTTCTGCTGGGGCAAGACAACAAGATGTCTAGAGGAAGCCACTCCTCACTGATGTCAGAGCCATTCACAAAGGCTAACAGTGGGCAGTGCCCCTCAGCATAGCGGGCAACGGCACTGACCTTGTCATGAGACGGAGGCTGACCTGCCCACCTGCTGCCCACCACTCACCATATTTCTGCTTGAGGAACAGTGATGACCCGCAGCACTGCAGCTCCCCCTTGGCCATGATGGCAATGCGGTCCCCAAGCAGGTCGGCCTCGTCCATGAAGTGTGTGGTCAGCAGGATGGTGCGGTCACTCTTCTGCTGCTGAAGAAGGTCCCAGATGGCCCTCCTGGAGATGGCGTCCATGCCTGAGGTGGGCTCATCCAGAATCAGCAACTGGAAGGCAGAGGCACAGCTTTGTGATGATGGCAGAGCCACCTTCCAGGCCCAGGCTGGCTGTGCTGTGAGCCCTGTGCGGCTTGAGTTGGGACATGCCCAACTCAAGAGGTTTAGCTCTGGAGCCCTGTGTTTGTCCACTGTGTGTGGCGTGCTGCCCTGGCTGCATTAGGAGGCTGGGCCCCACTGCCCCCTACCTTAGAGCCTGCTATGAGGGCAATGCCGATGGAGAGCTTGCGCTTCATCCCCTCGCTCAGGAACTTGCTCCTTGAGCCCCGCTTGTCCTCCAGACTGAGGAGGTGCAGCATGTGCTTGACTTCTTCAGGGCACTTCTGGGCGGACAGGCCTTTTAGCTGCAACAGCAGGGGACAGGGGAAGGGCATGAACCAGGGCTGCTCATGGGAGCCCAGCTGTCCAGCGCGCTCCCTGGCCTGAGAGACATCTTCCCCTAATATTGCTGGCCTCTGCTCACCCATAACCCTTACTCCAGCTCTTATGGAACAGCTCCTCAGAACAGATTTCAGTTGACCAGAAGGGAAATGGCACCCTCGGGTTTCCTTAGAAACCCAAACCCATCAGTAATGGAACAACCACCATCCACATGTATGATCACCCAGTCTCACCTGTGCATAGAAGTAAAGATGTTCTGCTACTGTCAAGTTGTCAAACAGGACATCATGCTGGGGGCACAGGCCTAAACTCTTCCGGATTTGAGCCATGTCTTGAGAAATTTCATACCCACTAATATACACTCGTCCACTGGTGGGGGGAAAGAGACCTGGAGCCAAGCAAAAGACCCTCCAAACTCAGTATGAAAATCTGGTTCATCAGCACCAGGTATGACTCCTCACCTCCATCTGCTGCTTTCCTTTAAGTGACTGAAGATCCTGCCCATGAGAGAGAACCAGGGACCCCTGCTCCCCACCATGGTGAGTTCTGTCCAGCTGGGCAGTAGACAGAGGAGGGATGGGGACATGGCTTTGTTATGGGCCACACAAACTTCAGAGACAAGAAATGCCCACTCGTACGCTTGCGTGTACAAGTGTGAAGGTGCTGAGTCCATCACTCTCACAAGGTCCCCACCCCACCAGTGCTGCTGACAGGGATCTTGTTGCTGGGGGAATAACCTTAAGAGTTGGGTGTGACATATTAGGGACAAAATCAGTATGGGTGGACTTACTCCTGCATGGCTGGAGAATTAGCCTTGGTTGTTTTTGCTGATCCCATTAGGCTTGGGCATTATGGACAGAGACTGAGAGGAGGGTGGAAGTCACTTAAGGGCTCTGAACATGTCCCCATGGGCCACGGGGCCCCGTTCTGTAGGGTTACAGCTGGGGAAGGAATGAAAACTGCAGGAGGGAACAAGGGCAGGGCTGGCAAGAAGCAGCTTCAGGCAGATGTGCAATTGTCCCTTACCTGTGAGCATAGAAAGGGTGGTGGTCTTCCCTGCACCATTGTGGCCCAGCAGAACAGTGATCTGCCCTTCATACAGGTTCAGGTTCAAGTCTCTGACTGCTGCCTTGTCCTTATTTCCCACTTGGAACACCTGCAGGCAAGGCAGAAGACCACCCTGGTCTTCCCACAGCCCTCAGGGGTCTCCCTCTGCTTCTAGAACACATCCCCCAGTGTCACAGGATACCAAGTTAGGTGTTAATTGGCCTGCACGGGAGTGAAGTCTGGGGTAAAGGCTGTGTCCCACTGCTGTCCTCTTGACTACCCACCAACAGGTCCTATATCCTGTGTGTCTCTGTGTTGTTAGGAAGCCCAGGAAGCCAAGATATCCAGTACAGTGGAGCAAACATGTACGGAGTAGCTGGTGAGAGTTGCACCATAGCTGACACCACTAAATCTGGCCCCACACTAGGCACTGGGTCAAATTGGAAGGTGGCCTGTGCCTTGGAGAACAGGTCACCAGTAGTTGAGGGGCCCTTGCCTCCCTTCATCATGTGCTCAGGAGAGTGGGAAGGAGCAAGGCCTAGGAGAAAGCACCTGCTGCTAAGCAGCTATACCCACAGTTCTCTGCTCTGTCCCCACAGGGAGTTGGCACCTTGGATAGATGTTTGATCTTGATCCCAGCCACCAGGCCTTCTGGCTCAGCTTCAAAGTACTCAGTTCTGAGTGCTTTTTCGGGATCACTGTCTTCCTCCTCTTTCCCAACAACCATCCTGGAGTTTCCACACCAGTAGGAGGGCTGGGATGGAGACAGACAGATGTTGTTCATGTTAGTTAATTTTGTGACCAATAAAGCAACTACCATCAATACTTTAAATGCACACAGCAACAAGACCTCAGCCTTAATCCTCCAGGGCACGTGACTTCAGACAGGGAATCCCAGCACAGCTCCTGACTTGATCATCCCTGGAGAGGCTCTAAGCCTTGGTTTCCTCATCTGGCAAATGGGCACAACAGTAACTTACAGGTTTGTTGTGAATGTCAACTCAGATGTGACAGAGAAGACATGGAGTATGTCAACAATAAAGATTAATGTGGAGAGAGTCATTAAAAACTCCCATACAGAGTGATGTCACTTGGCTATAAGGAAGCTCCTTTCCATCCTATTTCTTCCAGTCACAGTGGCAGACTCCAAGCAAGGGCTCAGAACACAGCCACAGACCTTATACACTCCATCCTGAGGGCACCTTGGGCAAATGACACAGGGCACTGGAGGGTCAGCAGTGGGGTGGGGACCTGTCAGCCAGCAGCTGTTCATAGTGCTGGGAATATCACGTTCCATTAGTTATTAAGGACACATTTCTCAAGTTAAAATTTTTTTTTAATTTTGGGAATTGAACCCAAGGCCTTGCAAGTGCTAGGCAAGTGTTCTACCATTGAGCCACAGTTTTCCCAGCAACATTTCTCAGATTTAAAGTGACTAAAGTCAGAAGGAGTCTCACATTTCAAAGGGCCATAGTTTAACTGTGGCATTTATCTTACATAGTGATAGACAGAGCTATGGTTACCTTTAACAGGTGTCATCATAATCTGATGAAATATGGTAGTGGACACTTGATATATATTTGGAGAATAAAAGGATGAAGAAAGAAGCGGTCCTAAGTAACCTTTGACAGGGAATTGGTTAATGTGTGGTGGTATACCCACATGCTGGGATGTGGTGCAGTCATCACAAATGAGGTTCATATATAAAAGGAATATATTAAATAGAAATATATTTCTAAATAGAAAACAATTTATAAATATGTTTAGATAAAAATCTAAAACCATATTTATAGGGCTGGGTGTGGCGGTATGTGCCTGTAATCTCAGCTACTCAGGAGACAGAGATTAGGAAGATCACAGTTGCAGGCCAGCCAGGGCAAAAGTCACCAAGACTCTCAAAAACAAGCTGGTCATGGGGGTACCTATAATCCTAGCCACTCAGGAGGCAGAGACAGTAGGATCACTGTCTGAAGCTGTCCCAGGACAAAAGCGTAAGACTATCTAAAAACTAAAAAAGCAAAAGCCTTGGGGTGTGGCTCAAGTGGCAGAGCACTTGCCTAGGTAGTGAGAGACTCTGAGTTCAATTTCCAGTAACACTACAAAAAAAAAATCCCAAAACAACTATATTTATAAACATATACACACACATACGTATTTAAGAAATCCAAGAAGTACTGTCAGGTTAAAATAAAAAAACAGCAGGTTTCAAGCATTTTTATAACATAGCCCATTTTAATGATGCTAAGGTAGCCACGTCACGTGCTAGCCGATGCACAGGACAAGCCTGAAGACACACAGTCACTGCACCAACAAAGTTCCTGGACAGCAAAGGCTGTGGACAGCAGAGGCTGGGTGAACTGTTCCTGTGGAATGGGGAGCGGAGTCTAAGAAATCCTTCTCTGAGCCCTTTCATCTCAGACTCTGGAGGGGGGCAGGTCTTCATCTCTCTCAGAACTGATCCCACTGGGCAATCCCATCCAAGTCCTATGCAGGGGTTGTAGGTCAAGACTCGGAGGGCTCCGAGGCTGGGGACTCATCTACCCGCACAGAAGTGGCCTGCTTGAAGAGCAGGGATGTTAGTACTCACCATGAGGAAGAAGTAGCAGGGCTGGGGCATGCCAAATTGGCCTGGGAAGACAGCCTCCACGTACCAGGTCACTAAGCCGTAGAGCACAGAGTCCAGCAGCAGCATTCCCAGCACTTGCCCAAAGCAGAAGTCGTCATCCACATTGACAGGACTCAGGAGGTCTCGCCACTGGATGCCCATGCCTGGAGGACACACCAAGAAAACAGCCCCACACTGGGCAAGCTGGGCCCCCAAAGCCCCAGGTGGCATATGTGTGCATGTTCACCCTGTGTGCCACTGTGGAGTCCACATGATTGACTATTCCCTTCTCAGCTTTATAACAAATCTGGGAACATTCAAGTCTTTAAGACAACTGCAAGTTACTAAATCAGTGTTACAGAATCAGCAAAATGGGCTTGCATTTCATTGGTAATGTGTACACACATGTACACACATTCATATGCACACACACATATGCACACTTGACATACATACATACAAATACACATACACATATACAATACACACATGGTTTGGGGAAGACCATTGTGAATCAGTGTGAGTTTAACAAGTCTTTCTTAAAATTGAAAGACCTCAGATACATATGAAGCTCTACTCATGGTTTGCCAATATCACAGTCCACACAGGCCTGGATGGGTGTGTCTGGCCACTCTGGTCAGAGGGCCCTGGATGGAAATTACAGTGCTCCAGGGTTGGGGAGTGTTTACTATCAAACATCTAGAGATTTGAAAATTCAGCATAGATCTTCGAGAAAAAAAAAAAAAAGTGCAACAACAGATTCCTTTTAATGGCCTTTTGAAAAGCATCTGAGGCTTACTTGGCTGTGAGGCTCACAGCTCATATGGTTATACTATGTCTAATAGTTGAAATAAAAATTGAATATTGATATACTGTGTCCAAGAAGAAAAACATCAAATGTTATAATTTTTTTTTGCAAAAATGTTAAAATGAAACAAAATTTAAATGTGACATTCATTTGTAGTGACCTATTACTTTACATTCTTGAGGAATTCTGACAATGAGAACAGATTTTAAACAGTGTTGAGTTTAGAAGTCTTTTAACTTTCTTTAGAATATTTATGAAGTTGTCAATAAACCTATTCTTTAAGCTTCAAGAAAAAGTATTTGCAGCCCGAAAGTTACTGCTCATTTACAAAGTCTACACTTACTTTATCAACAGGCTACTAGGCATGGAAATGTACATACTTAAAAACTAAATTGTCGTAAACTGTTGCCAACTGAAGAAAAAAGTTCTAACTCAAGACAGCAACACTGAATCTTCCTGTGGCTGCTCTCCTACCTCTTTCCACAAACCCAGGAGCGTGGAAGCTACAAATAGGAACTGGGTAGTACTGTGGTTTGAATGGTCCCATTCTTGTGCTGGACACTGGGTCCCCAGGGCACCAGTGTTGGGCTGGAGGAGACCTTCTGGCTGGAGAGCCTCAGCAGCAAGTTTGCTCCCTTTTGTTCTCCTACTGTTGAGGAACAGCATTCAAGGTGCCATCCTGGAAGCTGACACGGGGCCCTTACTGGGCACCAAACCTGCTGGAGCCCTGATCTTGGACTTCCCAGCTTCCAGGTTGGGTGAAATAAGTTTCCGTCTTTTATTAATTACCTAGTCTCAGGCATTCTGTGATTGCAGCACAAACAGACCAAGTCACACAGCTGGAAGACAAGAGCATTTGGCCTATAAAAAGAGAACAACTGGGCAGGGATGGACATCTTAAATGAGCCAGGCCAGTCCATGAGAAGGTAGACTGCACTTAAATCCTGCCAGTAGACCAGAACAACATGCAAAAGCCCCAGGAAGGCTGACTGTTGTACACCAATGGGGGACAGATACAGTAACTTGCATCCTAACCTCTCCTGCAAGTGGGTCCCAGACCACAGCCATTTGCCTCTCCAGGGTTCTCCTACAACAGGTGTTGGAGCCATCCAGAAATGACACAGTTCCTGTCTTAAGAGGGAAGCTGTCTTCTCTGGAAATCTTCCAGCAGGAAAGGAGTTAACCCAGGGGTCCCCTATTGCTTCTTTAAGAAGGCTAGACTGGATCCATTGAAATGCAAGCACCTACCGCAGGCGTTGCAAAATGGGAGCCTACAGGACAAAGTCAGCACAAAGAAGTGTTTTATTTGACTTCCACGATGTTTTAGGTCAGGGAATTTCATAAAAATCGGGAAAAAATTTTTCCTGTGCTGGGCTGGTAGAGTGGCTCAAGCATTAAGACTGCTTGCTGAGAAAGCCTGAAGCCCTGAGTTCAAATCTCAGTGCCGCCAAAAAGATAAACGAATGAATAAAATAAAAATCAGAACAAAAAAAAAATTCCTGGGCTATCACTCTCAGGCCTTTCTGGTTTCATCACCAGTGGCTGAAGGAGGGTCTCGCCCTGATCTTTATCAGGGATGGGCTGCTGACTTTGAGGTCTCTGGTACAATGGTTCTAGATGTCTCAGGAAGCAGGAAAAGACTCAGAAGCCACCCAGTTAGATACCATAGTCAGACAAGAGCAGGTGCTGTGGCCAATGCCCCTGGGCATTTGAAATCCTTGGCCATATTTAGCCCCTGTCCCTCATATCTCGTATCTCTTCGTGGCCTCCTCGACACTTGGGGCAGAGCTGGCACTCTCTGCACACCCTCAGTGTCTGTCTGCCAATGAAGCCCTGGCTTCAGGTGTCCTGATCTGCTTGCTCTTCACCAGAGATTAGGCTAACCTCTAGAGGCACTTCTGGCAAGATGCTCCCTGGGTAGCAAGAATCAACAAGAGCAGCTTGAGAGGAGGACAACACTCACCTTTGGCTTCAAATTTTCCTATAAGCTGGGCTCCCATTGCCATGGCAACATTGGACAGAAGACAGGATAAGAGCTTCTGGCTCAGTGTCATCCAGTTGTACCAAGGTGCCACAAAGAAGTAGGGGATGTAGGTAAAGAAGTACAGGAAGCCACCCACTGCTGCCGCCATGTTAGCTGTGGGAAGAGGGGAACATGGGGTGTGTTACAAATTTGCCAGGGCACATGTGTGTGCAACAGTGGTCACAGGGGAGACTGAGACCCACCTGAGTCCAAGAACTGGGAGAGTCCAGCCTTGGCCTGTAGCCTCTGTAGTACAGGCACCCTGGGACAGCACAGTGAGGCTCAGAATGGGAAAAGGACCCAACAGGGGTGAATGACAATGTGTGTCAGTCCATGCTGACAGTGCTCAGGCTTTGGTTTTAAGATCTCTTCATGGGCTGGGCATGGTGGTGCATGTCTATACTCCAGTTACTTGGGAGGTAGAGGATCAAGGTTTGAGGATAGCATAGGGGAAAAGGGAGACCTCATCTCAACCAATAAGCTGGATGTGGTGGTACAACCATGTCATCCAACTACATGGGAAACATAAATAGGAGGATCACAATCTGAGGCCAGCTGAGGACAACAATGTGAGACCCTTTCTGAAAAATAACTAAAGCGAAAAGGGTTAGGGTGTAGCTCAAGGGGTAGAGCACCTGCCTAGCAAGCATAAGGCCTGGGTTCAATCCCCAGTACCACCCAAACAAAAAGTAACTATAAAAAAAACACTGATAATTTAACGCAAACGTTTTTATAAACAACAACGGCAGTCCCACAGTTGATGAGAAGAGTGGCACTGCTGTACAGCTGTGCAGCCTCTGTAATGACTGACTTAAAGGTTACAGCTGATGCTCCCAGCTGCCTCTGCATGTACTGTGCATCCTGTCATTTTGGTTGAAGAACAAGAAGGAGATGTGGCTTCATGTAGACACGCGGTTGGAAAAGGGAGGGGTATAACATTACTCTTTTATTTTTAAAATTAAAAATTTTTTTTCTTTTATTCATATGTGCATACAATGTAACATTACTCTTTACAGACATTGATGGACTCTTTTCTCTGGTACCACACTACATGTGCAATCATACTATCCAATGGACATTTCTTTACTTTGTTGTTTTAAAAATCATTGTTTATCTTGCAGTTTTTTTGTCCCCTGGGAAGAGGGTTGCAATACTGAGTTTTGAATTTAGGGCCTTGAGGTTGCTGGGCAAGTGCTCTATCACTTGAGCCATGCGTCTAGCCCTTATCTTGTGTGTTTTTGGTTTTTTGGTGGCACCAGGGCTTGAACTCAAGGCCTCATGCTTGTTAGGCAGGTGCTCTACCACTTGAGCCACTCCACCAGCCCTTTTTTGTGTTGGATATTTTTGAGATAGGGTCTCACGAACTATTTGCTGGGGCTGACTTCGAACCTCAATCCTCCTGATCTCTGCCTCCTGAGTAGCTAGGATTACAAGTGTGAGCCCAGCTTTTCTTTGTTTGGAATAGATTTTTACTCTTGCCTGATTTTGTAACATGAGGCATTAGTCATTTGGAAAATATTGCTTATTGGGTTATATAGAACTTCCACTGACATATTTTATTATACAATACAAAAAAATCACATTTGTTAATATTATCACCAGCCTCATGAAAAACTTTTCAAGTACTTGGAAGCTGTCAAGTTCATGGTGATAGACTCGAATGTGTAAAATTCTATTTTTTGGTTAAAATTTTTAATTATTATAAACATCATATTATCACCAGTGGTTTACATTAAAAGATAGGCCCATGCCTAGCAAATGTGAAGCCATGAGTTCAAACACCAGTACCCCCCAAAAAAGGAATAGGCTCAGATTTGAAAAAATGCCTATCAAATACCCAAGTCTGAAAAACTACAGCCTGACAGCTACTCTTTCAAGCAAAAATGGTGCTACATGAAAAAAAGGGGCTGGTTTAGCCGACAACTCAAACACCTGTCCACAAGTAGGTCCCGAAGACAATCATTTCTCATATGCAGCAGAACACTTTATGCATATATTCTATTTTGTTACACAGAAAACCAAAAAAGGGGACTGGGACCATGGTTATTGCAGTGGTAGAGCACTTGCCTAGCATGCATGAGGCCCTGGGTTCATTCTCAGGACAAAAATTGAAAAAGAAAAGTATTTATATTTTCTGTGGTACTGGGAGTTGAACCCAGGGCCTCATGCATGCTAGGCAAGTGCTCTACCACTTGAGCCACACCTCGAGTCCTTTGGTTTGTATTTTGTTTTTGAGCCAGCATCTCACTAACTTTGCCCAGCCTACTTCAAACTTGTGATCCTGCTTCCACCTCCTGAGTAGCTGTGATTATACATATGACCCACCATGTCCAGATCTGACTTGCATTTTATGAGGATCACTCTGTTGGCTACATTGAGGACTAAATGAGGAGAGGGTGGAAGCAGAGGGATCATTTATGAGGCTCTTGCTGTGATAAATCAGTCAGAAAGGATGGGCTGGGATCAAGGTGCACGGTAGGGGAGTTAAGTCAAGGTTGGAGTTCAGGTGTACTCAGAAGGTAGAGATGACAGGATCTGCTGATAGACTGGACAGAGAGCAAGACATAGGAGAATACAGAAGCCAAGGAGGGGGTCCAAGGCTCTGGACTGATAAGAGATCGAGGCAGTTCCTGAGAATAGGATCAGAAGCTCAGTCTTGGACATGTCCGGTTGAGTCACACATTGTACACCTGAGGGAAGCTGCGGGGTATGAACCTGAATTTCAGGAGAGGCCTAGGCTGGAGCTCTAGATTCAGGGATCATTGGCCTGCTCAGAGCTCTTCAAGAGAAGTGGTGTGGGCAGTAAAGAGAAAGTCTTCAAAATAAGAACACTTTTAAGATTAAAAGAAGTGCTTTCATTAAAAAAAGATTTTTCAGGGGATTGGGCATGGTGGCTCATGCCTGTTATCCTAGCTACTTGGGAGGTAGAGATCAGGAGGGTTGCAGTTCTAGGATAGCCCAGGCAAAAAAGTTAGGGAGACCCCCACCACCTCAATCAGCATCTGGGTGTGGTGGTATATTTGTATAATCCCAAAGCAGGAGACATAGATAGGATTGTAGTCCACAGCAGTCTTGGGCAAAAACATGAGTCCCTATCCAAAAAATAATTAAAGCCGAAAGAGCTGAGGGCATGGCTCAAGTGGTACAGTACCTGCTGACCAAGAGTGAGGACTTGAGTTCACACCCCAGTTGCACACATGCTTGCACACACACACACACACACACACACACCCAAAAGACTTTTCGGGCCAGCCCCAGGCAAAAGCACAAGACCCTATCTGAAGCAAACTAAATCAAAAAGGGCTGGGGACAGGGCTCAAGTGGTAGAGTGTTTTCTAGAAAGCAAGAGCTGGGCATGGTGATTCATGCCTGTAATCCCAGCACTTCGGAGGCTGAGGTAGAGAGATCATGAGTTTGAGGCCAGCCTGGCTTACAGAGCTACAGAGTAAGTTCAAAACCAGCTGCGTCTATTTAGTAAGATCCTACCTCAAAACACCAAAAAGGCTGGGATTGTGGCTCAGTTGTAGAGAACTTCCCTATCAATTGCAAGGCCTTGAGTTCAAACTCCAGTACTGCCAAAAAAAAAAAAAAAAAAGAAAAAGAAAGTGCTAGGGAAACTATCTACCTGTAAAGAATGTTACATGAAGCTAAACTATTACATAATAGAGGTGGTAAAATAACCATCTTTTTTTTTAAACCTTTGACCTAAATCACCCTGACTGGCCTCCCTAGTCAACACCATGTGCTGTCTTCTGTCCTCTTTCCAGCTCTTTCCCAAGGCTCTGCCGCAGGCCTCTGCTGGGTTCCTGCAAGCCTGTCCCTGGATGACCTAACTCATTATGTCCAATCCCAGTCTCTCAGGTTCTCTAGTTCAACAATTCAATCTCTGGGTCATGTCTGTAGATGCCCTTTGACCCCTTAACCTTGCATGAACCCCACAGTCTTCCATCCTCAGGGGAGTCTCACCTTTACTGAAGAAGGTGCTGACCATGAAGCTAAAGGAGATGGAGGAGATGGCAAAACACAGCAGGAAGACCAGCACCAGGGAGGGGTCACTGCTGGAAAGCACTGCTACTTCCTTCTTCACCTGCAGGATAGGTCACCCAAGCCAGAGTGGCGAGTTACAGCAAGGTAGACAGAGTTCACAGAGGGGCCAAAATGTCCAGGTCACAGGGACACTGCTGAGTATGGGAAGGGGCCCTCGCCTCAGCCAGTGGGAAGCTGTCCCTCCACCAGGGAAAGACTTGCCATGAGGTCCATGGCTGAGACACTCTGCAAAGAGCAGATCCCAGCCCAAGCTCTGGGGTCTCCACACCCTTTTCTCACCAGAGGCTCCTGTTGGAGTGACACTCACCTTGATACAGAGGAGCAGGGTCATGAAAGAGACGGCAATGAGGAGGAAGAGGAAGAACATGAGGAACCAAGCAGTCCAGTGTAGCCAGTTGCTGAGTCCCATCATGCGCATATACTCCTGCCAAGAGGAAGAGGCGTCACTCCTCATTGGCACACCACTGACCCTTCCCAGAGTCCCATGTGTTCAGGTTCGGTGTCCACTGATGGAACAGGTAGGAATCACACAACATATCCTGGGTAGAGGAGGATGGCCCTAGTCTGATCATCATGTCAGCCCTTTTCAATGGCTTTTAGCCCTATGGTGTAAAGAGAACGCCCCTCCTGTCTTTCCACAGTCTCACACGCTGTCCCATCTGGGAGGCCATCTCTGGCCCCCAATTAGGATGAATTGCCCCATGTCTCCTATTGCCCCCTGCAATGTGGCCTGGAATGTCTGTTTTTCACTGGGCCCACTAAACCTTGTCATACAAGGACTCCCCTTTCTCTGCTTGCGCCTTGATCAGGGCCTGACACGAGTACCCCATAGGCGGTAATTAAGCTGGTGAATTCTCTTTAAAGTCCTTCATGGCACCCCATGTCCTATGTAGCTTGAGGGGTCTTCATGGTCTTTGAAGCTTGAAGTGAGCAGCAGGTGCTTATAAACTGATTACTGCTATATATATTTTTCTTCTTCTTCTTTTTTTTTTTTTTAACAGTACTGGGGATTGAACCCAGGGCCTTGCATTTGCTAGGCAAGCATGCTATCTTCTGAGTCATACCCTAAGCCCTGGCCACCGTACTTGCCCTGCACACACAGGGTTTTAAAATCCAAACATATCAGTCTGGTTTCAAAGAAGTCAGAAGGATCTGGAGCCACAGTGGGCATGCACTTTATACCTCAACTCTTTTGGCTTCAGAGCATAAGTAACTCTGGCGGGTAATGGAGCAGTAGCCTTGAAGCCAGTTCTTCCTTCCTTCCTTTATTCCTTCCTTTGATCCTTCCTTCTTCCCTCCCTCCCTTTCTTTCTCTCTCTCTCTCTTTTTGGTGGTACTGGGGTTTGAACTCAGGGCCTCATGCTTGCTAGGTAGTTGCTCTGCCACTTAAGACACTGTGCCAGCCCTGTTCTGTGTTGGGTATTTTTGAGATTGGGTCTTGTGAACTATTTGCTCAGAGATGGCTTCAAGTCATGATCCTCCTGACCTCTGCCTCATGAGTAGCTAGGATTACAGATGTGAACCATGGGTGCTAGCTAAGCTAGTTCTTTTGATTGAGCTCTGAACACAGTGCCACAGGGCACCACTCTCACAACTGACTTGCCAGAATGTCGGGAAGCCATATACAGAGGGATACCTTTAGTTTTCTCTCTTTCTCCTGCACCACAGCCCGGATGATGGTAAGGGAAGTGTAGGTGAGGCTCAGCATGAGCAGCAGGGGAAGCTGGTACTGGATGGCCGCAAGGAAGGGGTCAGAGATGAACGGTGGGAATGGGAATCTCTTTGCCACCACCGTGAGCTTCTGGAACAGCTGGTACGTGGAGGTGTTGGCATGATAGTACATGATGGCTTTGTCCACGGCATGCTGCATTGCCAGGAAGCCTTCGCGGATATACCCTGAGTGTGGAAGCAAAAGACAGTCACATTATGGGTGCTACTCTCCAGGGAGCCATGTGCCCTGAAACAGCCAGAGCCTTGTGGGGTGTGCAGAGGAAGAGGCACAAAAGGCAACAGACTGACTTCATGTGATGACCTGTTGAAGCCACCAGTAGCATCTGGCAGCAAACGAGAGGAACGATATAATTGTCACTTGCACTTTCTAATTAATACAACACACAAAAAAAATTACATACATGATATTTTAAAAACACCCTGATGCCAGGTGCTGGTGGCTCACACCTGTAATCCTAGCGACTCAGGAGGATTGTGGTTCAAAGCCAGCCTGGGCAAACAGTTCGCAAGACCCTATCTTGGAAAACCATCACAAAAAGAGCTGGTGGAGTGGTTCAAGATGAAGACCCTGAGTTCAAGCCCCAGTACTGCAATAAATAAATAAATAAATAAACTTGAGTGGAGAGAACCTGTGTGCCCCAAATAGGTCTAATGATATTCTAAACAAATAAACAAAAGTTAGGACAAACATGTAAGGAAAGAAGCAAGGTGTGGTAGTACACATCTATAATCCCAGTTACTCAAGAGGCAGAGGTGGGAGGATCTTTGAGTTTGAGGCCATCCCTGGCAAGATCTTATTTCTAAAACAAAGCAAAAATGGCGGGGGGCATGACTCAAGTGGTAGAGCTTAAAAGACCCTGAGTTAAATCCCTCTACTACCCTGAGAGAAAACAAACATCAAGGAAAATATATGCTAATAAGAATTAGGTTAGAGGGAGTAGGGACAACAACAAAGGTCTGAAGAATATGAGAGTGTTTCCCACATTTAGTGAAAGGATTCGGTCCTGAGTCTCCCTAGCAGTCTCAGAGCCAAGAGAAAGAAGCTTATGGCCTTGATCCCAAGATGACTCCAGGTGGGAGGTGGCTAAGTCCAAGGCAGAGTCAGAGGAGAAGGGTTTGGTGAGTCTAAGGTTGAAGCTGCTGTAACACCATAGTGCCACAGCAGCCTGAAACAGCGGCAGCTTGTTCTCTGGTGCTCTGGAGGCTGGGAATCTGGCCCAGAATTCATTCAGCTATAATCGAAGTCTCAGCAGGGTCACAGGTCCTTCTAGAGGTCAGGGGAGAATCTGTTTCTTTGCTTTTCTGGTTACCTGTGTTCCTTAGCTTGAGAGCCCTCCCTCCACCCTCAAAGCTGGCAAAGCAGCATCTCTGGGGTGCTGCTTCTGTTGATCTACCTCATTTCTCTGACCTCTCTTCTGCTGACCTTGTCTGCTTTTAAGCACCCTTGTGATTACATTGGGTCCTAGAGGATAACTGACAATCTTGCCATCTTAACATCAGCTGCCCTTAACTCTCCTCTGCCATGTACCCTGGCATGGTCATATGTTCTGAGGACTAGCATGTACATACTTCTGGGGCCATGATTCTGCAAACCACAGTGCCCTGCCCTGAGTTGCTGTCTCAGCAGCCAGCAGGCTCTGTGACCAAAGGTCATCACCAGAAGAACTCTCCGTGCTTTGTGACTTCCAAAATTTGTGGTTTTGGACTCCCCCAAGGGGATCTATAAAGGGAAAAGGGCCTGGTTGGGGTGTGTGTGAGAGACAGTGTCCCATTAAGTGCCAGGCTTGGTAGAAATGGGGCCCAAGAAAGGGGTGGGCTCTGCAGCCTGAGGCCCTGAACCACAGTGTTGCAGGCATGGGTGGTTTTGAACATCAATGTTCTCTGACATCCAGTGTTAGCCACCTGGGCTCTAGGCGCTAGAAAAGAGAAAAACAATACGCCAACCATACCTCTAACACAGGGTTACCAAGTGCACACATTCTTCCCATCTCCCTCAGGTTTTATGATCACAAGAGCAGCAGGTTCTCAACTAATGTTACTGGTTGTGTATCAAGGACGGTGCTTGGGGGAGGGGTTCAATTCTCATCTTCACAAGGAAGTTTCAGAGAAGCTAATGATGTTCCCATTGGACAGATGGGGACAACGAGGCCCAGGAAGTCATACAGTTGGTGAGGGACCCTTGATATTTTGCTTCAAAGTCGTGCCTTTTCAAATATCACTATGTCTGTTTTCACAAAAAAACATGTGCTTGCTCACATGTTGTTCTCTTGGGAGACTACCAGAAAGCTAGGGAGTCTTCATAGTTACAGCTTTCTCAGTATTCTGTGCTGTGAGCCATCACTATGTAATCGCTTTTTTGTTGTTGTTTGTGATCATAAATAAAGCTGTAGTGAGCATCTTTATGCACGTGGATTTTCTCCTTTTAGGTATTATGGGCTACATTATCATTAGGGGTATCAATGTGTCTGACGTATGGACATTTGGGGAGAGAAATCAGGACCAGAATTCTAGCATTGACCTGCCATGTGCTACAACATACCCTTCTTGGGGCTTTCTTTTTCTTTTTTTTTTTTCTTTTTTTTGTGGTACTGGGTTTGAACGCAGGGTCTACACTTTCAGCCACTCCACCAGCCCTTCTTTGTGATGGGTTTTTTCGAGATAGGGTCTTGTGAACTATTTGCCTGGGCTGGCTTTGAACCATGATCCTCCTGATCTCTGCCTCCTGAGTAGCTAGGATTTTAGGCATAGAAGATCCACTAATGCCCGGCTCTTCTTGGGCTTTCTATATAACTTCTACCACTCCTTTTTTTTTTTTTTGAGACAGGGTCTCAGTATGTAGCCCAGGTTGACCTCGAACTCATGATTCTCCTGCTTCTGCCTCCTGCCTGCCTGGTACATATGGTCTGAGTGAAGTTCCATGGAGAGATGGTCCTAAGCCTTCTCCTGAAGCCTCTAGTGAACTGTCTCCTGCCAAACTAAAGGTAATCTGTGTTCTCCAGAATCTTCAGATTTTCACCTAGAACCTGAAGTTGGCTGTGGCCTGACGGTTATGTCTAGCCTTGGGTCCTGGGTGCCAGCCACCTTTTGGCTATCCCTAGGTCAGTTCTAAGATGTGCCCATGCTTCACAGGAGGCAAACATCAACTGCTGGCCAAAGCAAACATCCAATTTCTATCTAAGTCACTGATTCAGTTAAACCATGAGTTAATTTCAAAAAGACTGCAGACCTTCGAAAGCCTACAAAACTACACAGAAAAGACCAGGGAGAGAGGAGAAGTGTCAATCAACCCAAGCCCAAAAATGCTGATGCCAACTGAAGCTTCTTAAAAACTGAGAGATAAATATTTCACCCAGTGTCTTCTGGGATACTGAGGAACCACTGTGCTTTCCAAAGCTTATGTTAGCCTTTCAGAAGCCAGTTTTATTAGGGACTTTCTTCCTTCTCCTACAAACAGGAAGTATTTCTGCAGAGAGATAAAAGATGTGCCCCTTCCTAACTGCTACTAGTTAGCAGCCTGAGGCTAGTAATGTAGTTCCCAAAAGTGCTTCTCACCTGGTTCCCCACCATCAGGGGACGTAGGTTCCCTCGGTCCTGGGTTTGGGAAAAGCGGAAAAAGGGAAGTGGTATGCCAGCCCTCTGTTTCTTTCAGGAAAAAGTTGCCCATTTGGGGCCACAGGTAATTTCTTCGTGTGTAACTGAAGCGTAGGTGATATTTCACCTGTGGAAATAGAGAAAAATCAGCTGTTCTGAGGAACTCAGACAGAAGAGAGGGCACCTCAGTCCAGTGAGGGCCAGACCATCCCTTGCCCTGAAATAGTCCCAACGGCTTCAAAAAGTCAGTGATCTCACCCATTGGGGGCAGGAAACCACAGAGGGGCACCTCTCTTGATACCAGCAACATGAACCCCCCAGCACTGAGGGACACCTATGCAGGACCATTGGAGGGCCACCAACATCTGGAGAGACTTTTTGGCCAGGCAGTATTTAAGTCCCAAACATAAGATATTTTCCTACCCACCCTGTTTAACTCTATCCAAAGAGGCCTGGAGGATCAGTAATACCTTTTACAAAATGAGAAAACAAAAGGGGTCTGTCCACTGGTGGTGGATTTTCTAATGTGTTCTGAAATGATAGGTTAAAATATCACCAGGTTCCCTCAGTGGGGACTGAGTGGAGATACCAAGCCAGAAAACGGTCTAATGTTTACTTCCAGGCAGGCAGAGCTTAAGGAAAAAGGAGCCAGGCTCATAGGTGGAGTTGGTCATCAGGGGGACACTGGCGCACTGTTCTAGGGGCTCTTAGCCTCACCGCCAGCGGCAGTGGGTCCTTGCTGTGGTTGCCAACATTCTCGAACACCATGGCTGCCAGCACATTGGAGGAGCGGTTGTCGTACCGAATGTAGTCCTCAAAGTCCTTCTCAGAGGGAAAGCCACGCACTGTGGACAGAACATAAAGCCCAAGTTGCCCAATCTTCCTCACTCCTTGAAAAGCCTGGTAGTGTCAGGCCACTTCAGATAACAGATGGAAGCTGACAAGATTCTCTAGGGCTCTGTGAACCTTCCCTGAGACTGGAGAGGCTTTTGTCTTGGCAGAGAGACGGGTTGCTATAGATGAGCAGAAGCACTTGGTAAGAGCTAGGCCCTGGCCAGAAAGTTGATGGGTTCTCCTATTACAGTTTTGTTTGTTTTGTGGCAATATAGGGGCTTGAACTCAAGGCTTATGAGTTTACTAAGCAGGCACTCTACTGCTTGAGCCACACCTCTAGCCCTTCCTGCTGAGGTTTTGAAGCAAGGCTAGACTCAGCAAGACTAACAACAAATTATATCAACCCTAGGCTGGGATCTGCAGCCAGTGGCAGTTTCTCTCTCTCATAACTATCATGCCATGTTTTAAAACTGGAGTGTACCCAGGTGTGGTGGCTCACACCTGTAGTCCCAACTACTTGGGAGATAGTAATTGGGAGGATTGTGGTTTGAGGCCAGCCCCAGCAAAAAGTTAGCAAGATGCCATCTCAATCAACAAATCAGTCTTGGTGGTTCACAACTATAATCCCAGCTATATGGGAAGCATAGGTAGGAGCATCTTGGTCCCAGGTCTGCCTGGGCAAAAATTCAAGACCTAATTCAAAAAATAACTTAGGTTGGAGGTGTGCCTCACGTGGTAGAGTGCCTGCTTTGCAAGCATGAAGCCCTGAGTTTAAACCCCAGTCCCACTGGAAAAAAGAAAAAGAACTAAAGCAAAAAGTGCCTAGCAAGTACAAGGCCCTGAGTTCAAATTCCAGGACTGCCAAAAAATAAAAATTAAAAAAATAAACATACACATTGTAGTAGATACAAACTTACTGTTTCTCAAATGATTTCTTTGCCCCCAGCTCCCTTTTACATAAGGAACTTTACTATAATTATTAGGTGGGATCCTGGAAAGTTCTTTAGCTGTTGCCACACTGAGCTCAACCTGCCACAAGAGGCATATGCCAACAGGAAGAGGTGAAAGAGAAAGGGGTAAAAGGTAAAATGCAAGACAGTTTTATCCTGAAGACAAAGATCTAGAAAAGATGGCCAGCATGTTTCCTGTGCATCTCCCTCGATAGGCTGCGCAGTGACTTTCTTCAGAGCTGCACTACCCGAAACCACATCCCAGAAAAGGTCCTTGTTCTGTGTACTCCACCCACACTCTGCCTTTGGTTTTTTTTTTTTTTTGCAGTTCTGGGACTTGAACTCAGGACCTACACCTTGAGTCACTCCACCATCCCTTTTTTGTGATGGGTTTTTTCAAGATAGGGTCTTGCGAACTCTTTGCCTGGGCTGGCTTTGAACCACGATCCTCCTGATCTTTGCCTCCTGAGTAGCTAGGATTACAGGTGTGAGCCACCAACACCTGGCTCACACTCTGCCTTTGTAACTCCTTGGCCAAGTCCTCCCAGCTTCCCCCTTTATCACTAGGTATGGTTGCAGAGCCTGGTACAGTCAACACTGTCACACACCTTCCTTCACTGGGCCCCTCATCCCTGGACAGATAAGAGGCCAACCCCCAGCCCCATTCTATGAGACACAGACACAGGGGAGCCCAGGGAGTCGCTGGGTGCAACAGCCAACAAGAGAAGCTGTAGAATTTGGCCTTGGGCTGCAGCTTTTAGCTGAGCCTTTCCTGCATCCTGGGGGCTGAATCCCATACATGACCACAGAACAGAACCATGAGAACCCTGTCAAGGCTCCTGGGCACCTCACTGGGTCTTACCTCTCATGTTGATCCCTAGCACCCTCTTCACTGTCTCAGTGATGGTCCTGGCAGCCTCACTATGGGAAGGGATGTAGGCGAGCTCCCAGCTGTTCCCTGGTAGGGATAAAGTGAAGAACAGGGGCAGTTTCTGGATGGACTGGTTGTAGTACACAGTGGCATTGGGCACGTTTTCTGATTGAATCTTCAAGCGAAGCCAAATCAGGATCCCAGAAAACAGTAGGGGCAGGAGGAGTTCCAGGACTGTCACTAGAACCTTCCGCTTCTAGAAGAGAAACAACCACCCCATTGATGGAGCGCTCCTCCTTTAAGGGCATCCCCTGAGCCATGCACAGAACAAGACACCATGGCTGCCCTTCCTCAGGTTGGACGCACCTGCAGAGTGTAGTTCTTCCACAGCAGGAGTACCAGCTGCCGCAGGACTGCCATCTTCCACTAGCAGGCCACCAGCACTAGCTGTTGACCAAAGAAGGAGAATTCAGTGAGTGATGAAAACATGAACCCTGGATATCTGGGGAAGAGCCATAAACTCTCTTCCTTTCTGCCTCCATAACTCCAAATAACCCCAGTCTGACGCCCAAAACACTCAACTTTCCTTGGGGAGACTGCTGTATTTTGCAGAAACGTGCTTCTTTCTTTTGGTTGTATTGGGGTTTGAACTCAGGGTCATGTGCTTGCTAGGCAGGTGCTCTACCACTCTACCACTTGAGCTATGCCTCCATCCCTTTTTGCTTTAATTATTTTTCAGATAGCGTCTTGTAATTTTTGCCCGGGCTGGCCTCAAACTGCGATCCTCCTATCTCCACCTCCCAAATAGCTGGGAATACAGGTGCAAGCCACCATAACTGGCAATCACACCATGCTTTCTATAAGCATTATGACTGCTGTGGAGGTATTTAATATTTGATCAACACTACTGGTATTTTCTCTATGTGTTAATTAATGCTTAATGCATAGTTAATATGCATTAATCATTTAGCAAAATAGTCTTATGGAATTCCCCTTCCAGACTGGCTTTATCTTCAGCCAACACAGAACCAGTAAAAGAAAATGGAAGGAAGGAAGGAAGGAAGGGAGTTAAAAGGGAGGGAGAGAGGGAAGGAAGAAAGGAAGAAGGGAAAAGGAAGGAGGGAAGGAGGAGGGAGGGAAGGAAGGAGGGAAGGAAGGAAGGAGGGAAAGAGGGAAGGAGGGAAGGAGGAAAGAAAAAGGGAAACAATATAGCTGGGCATGGTGTTACACCTGTAATCCCTGCACTTGGGAGGCTGTGGCAGGAAGCTCTCAAATTCTAGGCCAGCCTGGGCTACATAGTGAGACCTGCCTCAAAAAGAAGAAAAGAAAACTCAACTTAGTGTCCTGATTGCAGGTGATTTCTAAAACCTGGAGACGACACAGGGGGCCTAGAATTGGGGTGCTCACTAGCCTTGTTGACCCAAGAGCAGGACGGCATAGCAGATGTATATGTGGAATAATCAATCATTCTCTCCTCCCTTGAATGTAAAGACCATTTTTTCCCATTGTTTTACAAATATGGGAATCAGAATCTCCATTACATAAGACCAGTCATGCCAGGCATGGTGCAGTACACCATCCCAACCCTTGGGAGGCTGAGGCAGGATGATTCAGAGTTCAAGGCCAGCCTGGGCTACATAGTGAGACCCTGTCTTAAAAAAAAAAAAAAAAAGACCAAAAATAAAAAACAAACAAAAAGACCAGGAATTTTCATCTTTACCACTTATCCAAAGAAAATGCATCCAAAAATATCCTCCATTACACATGAATATTCAAATATGGCACACATAATTGGGGAAAAAAATCTGCCAAGAGATTATCAAGCACAAATGATAGCAGAGCAAGAGCAAAGATTTATAAGGTATCTCTCAATTTAGATAAGCCCATTTTGCTAAATTTCAAATATAAGAGAGACACAGAGTACAACGTTCATTAATTGCTCACCTGCTAGAGAAGTAGGTATTCCGAATAAGCCCAGGTGGATCAGAAGGACCGTGTTCTGAAAGCTGAGGTCATGGAGGCCCAGGTGTGCAGGCCTAGGGAGGAAGAGAAGGGGAAGGAGCTGACGGAGCTCCTGGTCCTTGTCCAGCTGAGAGCTGCAGGCAAGCATAAAGGAGCACTTCCCAGCTCAGCATCCCCCAAGTGGAAAAAAGTTGTGGTGACTCACAGTGGAGAGTTTCAAGTTCAGTTATTCAGCTCCATGTCCATGGCTAATACTAACCTAATACCATCCCTCAGTGGGGCTAAGACAGTAGGGTAGGAAGACAATTAGTCTCATTCATTAATGAGATGAGCTAACATGCTACCAATATGGAGAATCCGAAGCACAGAGCAAGGGGTTATTTAAAAAAAATAACCTGTTTGACTTTTGGCTTCAATCAGTTGAAAGTCATTTCCATTAAGCTCTTTTTATAATATAAGGCTAAAAAATCTTGCCTTATAAAAATAGCTATGGCTGTTGATATCTTTGCAATAGTATTCAGAATGTGTGCTTTTGAGCTGGGCATGGTGGTACACGTCTGTTATTCCAGCATTTGGGAAGCTGAGGCAGGAGGATAGCCAAGCTTTAGGCCTGCCTGGGCTATACAGCAAAATCCTGTCTCAAAAAAAAAAAAAAAAATATATATATAGTTTTCAAGGGAGGTCAAGAAGTTATTTGCAAATTAATTTAAAATACAACTTTTATTGAGCAAGAATCTGTTAACAGTTCTATTTATGCTAAATACCATGTGATAAAATATGACTTTTAATTAACCACACAGTAAGTGAAGAAAGCTAAGATAGTATGAAATGCTACTAAGGAGCAACTTAATAAATTATCCCAATTCTTTTAAAATTTAATAAGGACAGGGAATATAGCTCAGTGGTAGAGCACTTACTTAGTATGTGTGAGGGACTGGGTTCCATTCCCAGCACTAAATACATAAACTATGAAAAGGTGAAAAAGCTGTCTTAAGATCAGCTGCAGACAATTAATAAAGGAACAGTGAGTTAGTGACACTCACTTCAGGCCCCTGGTTCACGAAATGTTTCTAGAAGGTGAAAAGCAGACAGGGTGCCTCCAGTCAAGGCCAATCCAGATCAGAAGCTGGTCTGGAAAGGAGTATAAAAAGGTCACAGTTTAAGATGCTTTCTGGTCAGAGTAGATAGCTTCCTTTCTTGGCAGTCTGGCCAAGGAAGGAAACATTTATTCCCACCCCCCAGGCCCAGGGCAGCGAAGGACACACAGTCCTCCCTCCTACTCAGAAACTGACCTGAGTCCCTGGTGAGGCTGGCCGCAGGTCTTCCTCAGGGCTACAGGTGAACTGTTCTGGTGGTGGTGCTATGCAGAGGGCTCAGGGGGTAGGGCCAGTGGGCCCTTGGAGTGCAGCAGGGCGGCCCTTGGGTATAAGAGTGCTGAAGCCTCGCAGGACATCAGGAGGGACTTGGAGCTCACAGGCATGACTCTGGCACCTTTGGGCAGATGGAGGGTGCTTGAGCATAATTTGGAAAATTACCAAGTTAGAAAGTAAAAGAGCAAAAATGGGTTGCAAGTATGTTGCTAAACAGAGCAGATCTGATAACAGAGAGGTATGGACTTTAGCACGCATGCCTGGGTGGTGCCTGGCTCTCTCTTGCTACAGGACATAGGAAGCTGGTGTATTCTATACTTTCATACTCATCAGTGCTCTTCTTCAATGTCCTCTGATGTGGTTCTGGGTCCTAGTATCATTACCCTTGAAAAAAGAAGACAAGGAGAAAGAACTGGCTCAAGATCACACTGCCAGGGAGCCACGTTGTCAGGGTGTGCATCTTGGCCTGACTTAACCTCCAAGTCTGTGCTCCCAGACATTGCACTCGTCATCCTGTGTACCTCAGAGACAGTGAACACCCTTCAGTTTTATATATGGCTCCTAAAATGTAATTTAGCAATCAGGAGGAAAAGAAATACCCCTTCAGCCCCACTACCTCATTAGAGATTTTTATTTAATCCTGTGCCTACCTCCCTCGGCTACTTTGCCTGTGCCAGGTCTTACCTGAATTCTCAGTGAAGGCTAGCTAGCTACATTTGTGTCTGTTCTGTTTGAGCAAAGAAATTTAAAGGAGATCCCAGAATTACAAAATCTGGAAAGCTTTCTGGTTACAAAAGCCAAAGGGAAGGAAGTTAAAGTTCCTTAAAACACTCGACACTGCGGTGGCACAGAAAGTCCCCAGAAGTGGTGACGGCTGAGATCCAGGGGGTGAACCCTCTCCCCCCCTCCCCTGCCAGCTACTCTAAGGCAAAAAAGGAGACTTGCAAAGCAGCCACCTCCTCCCAAGAAGAGTGCTCTAAGAGCTTCCCGCTGAAGAGGACTCATTTTGCTCCTCCTGAGGACACAGCCAGGAAGGGAAGCCAGGTCCCTCCCTGACCCCACTAAAAAACTTCTTTGCTTACTGTTAATATATTAAACATTACACAAGTCATGGGGTATTTCAATATTTGTTTTTTAAGTAGGCAACTGAATGGGAATAGAGCAAGTGTATATACTGTGGGTTGCTAATTTCTGAGAACTCTTCTGGTGGAATGTAGTATTCCTCTCAAAATGGTCTTTCCCATAACTGCTCTTAGCTTGGGATCTATGGGTCGTGTCAGTTCACAAGCACCTCCACTTCCTTTGTAAGGTTATTTATTTATTTATTTTTTTCATTATGGGCTCAAACTTGCCATCCCTATCCACTTTTCATTCAGTGCTGCCAGTTGAACCCAGGGCCTCAGGCATGTGAGGCAAATGCTTTACCACTGAGCTGCACCCCAGCACTGCCATCCAATTTCTATGTGTCCATTCAAAAGAAGTTTTTCATCTGTATGTAGGGAGTACAACAATGTCAACACTTGCTAGGTGCCAATGGTTCATGCCTGTAACCCCAGGTTACTCAGGAGCAGAGATCAGGAGGATCAAAATTTGAAGCCAGCCTAAGAAAATAGTTCAAGATACCCTATCTTGAAAAAACCCATCACAAAAAGGACTGGTGGAGTGGCTCAAGGTACAGGCCCTAAGTTTAAACCCCAGCACTGCCAAATTAAAAAAAAAAAGTCAGTGCTCAAATCCAGTGAGACAGGGCCTGGAGCCAGGCACGAGACCTACCATGCCACGTGTTTCTATCTCTAGCCCCGGTGCACTTCCCTCCATGGAAGCCTGTCTGCACTGGCCTGAAAGGGACCTCAATAAAACCATGGCTGGATCTCCTGAGGTTGCCCAGAAAATGGATGACCATGGCAATGGACACTTTATCACAGGTGTGCAACACAGGTGTCCTTGGGGGCAGCACTGGAGAGGTTCAGCAATTTTCCTCCACGCTGAGGACCCACCTTGCCCTGCTTGAAAGCTCTGAGGAATGTATTTCATTACTGACATGGGGAGTCCCTAACAGCCAGCCAGCATCAGAGGTCTGCATGAGTGCACACTGAAGGTATTTAATTAATGTTTGCTGGTAGAATCTGACCTTTTAGGATATCTGAGACAAAAAGTATTTATTCATTCAACAAACATTTGCCAAGTGTTTACTGTGTTATGGGCACTTATACAGAACACTAAGGATTTGCTGAAGAAAATGATAATGTTCTTAATCCAAGGAACTCACAGACTAAGAATGCTTGCCTGTCTTGTAACTGCTAGAAGTGAAGTTAAAACAGTATCACAAAGTCCTGAAGAAGACTGGAATTAACTGTGTGTATGAGACAGCAAGTAAGAGAGAGAGAAAGAGAGAGAGCGCTGGGTGGCCAGTCTAGAGTTACTTACCAGGTGGACAGGGGAAACTACAGGATCATGGAGAAGTGAAAGGGCACACAAGAGGAACAACAAGTTGCTCTAAAGCTGAACACAGACATGGGGCCAGCAGTAGCAGACAATGAGCCAGAAAGGAAAGCAGACCAGCTCCACGTCACCAAGGCCTTCGGTGCTGCCCCAGGAAGGGAGGTGGCCAGGGGTGCTGGCCCATGGGCCATGATGCTGCTGGAGAGCCTGTGGTTTTGTTCAACCTTTTACTCAGTATATAATCTTTTTCAGTACACTTAGTGAATATTGAAAATGTCAATGGCTTCTGCAGATGAAATGCTCAAACACCAATAAATATTGTCAAAATAAAAGGCGGTACTGAAAAGAGTAGCACGTGTTTAGAGCACGGTCTCTGCCTGTGAAGCCCACCAGTGGGCTCCAAGTGGGTGAGCAAAACACTATGTGGCAGTGAAGGAATGGGGAGAAATCCTACTTGTATTTTTGTTTAAAAATAAAGAAAAAGGGGCCGAGCATGCTGGTAAGTGCCTATAATCCCCTACTCAGTAGGGAAAGCTAGGACTGCAGTCCAAGGCCACCCCAGGTAAAAGCTCAATCTAAAAACAAACTAAAGCAAAAAGGACTGAGGTGTGGCTCAAGTGGTAGAGCACTTGCCCAGCAAGTGGGGCTTTGAGTTTAAATCCTAGTACCACTAAAAATATATATAATAAAATAAAAATAAGAAAAAATTGCTTTCCTGGTATTTGATACTGTGGTGTTCTTGTTGGCCTGTGTGGCAGGAGCTACCTATGGCAGAGGAGGAGGAGCCTGTGACATGAGAAATGGTGGCAACTTGAGGTTACTTACACATCTCACGCATGTTGGAGTTTACATGCTTCAACATATCATGGATGTGGTTAATTAATTTTTTTGTACATAAACTTTTTTTTTTTTTTGTAGTATGAAGATTGAACTCAGGGCCTCACCTTTGCTAGGCAAACACTCTACTACTTCAACCACTCCTCCAGGTCAGATGTGGTTAATTTAAAGAAAGACATTTAAATAGCCAAACTTTACAATACTTTGTAGTGATGTGAGAGACGACCATGGAGTATCTTTTGTGACATGTAGGTTCACTGGTCAGCTTAGTACTTCGAAGGACTGGAGAATTTAAGAAAGAGGTATGGATTTTTTTTTTTTCTTTTCTTTTTTTTTGACAGTACTGGAGTTTGAACTCAGAGCCTTGTACTTGATAGGCAGGTGTTCTACCACTTGAGCCACATCTCCTATCCCTTTTTTTTATTTAGTTATTTTTTGCATAGGGTCTCGCATTTTTGGTTGGGGCAGGCCTCAGACCTCCTACCTACAGCTTCCTGTATAGCTGGGATCACAGGTGCATACCATCCTGCTTGACTTGTTGGCTGAGATGTGGTCTCACTAATTTTTTGCCCAGGCTGGCCTCGAACCTCAATCCTGCTGATCTCCACATTCATAGTAGCTGAGATCACAGGCCTGAGTAATCATGTCCAGCCCTTGAGTTTTCTTTCATGAAAAGTTCTAAATCTAGAGACTTTAAAAACAAACGACTGCAGCAGTGTTTCAACTGGCTTTTTCCTTTTTAAATAAACACACTCAAATCGTGCCTTCAAGGAAAAGGTGACAATGTGAGAGTTACAGCTTTTCAAAGAATCTGCCAAGAAAAGAGCATTTATGAGCATAGAAGTCTGGGGATGTGTTACTGCTCAGATCTTGAGTGTTCCCAAAAGGCCCATATGTTAAAGACTTGGTTTCCAGCTTGGTGCTACTGGAAGGTGGTGGTTATTGAAGGAGGGCCTTTGGGAGAATAGTGGGAATCTAGCCCCTCCTCTTTCTTTCTTTTGGGACCTGGCCATAAGATGAGCAGTTTTGCTCTGCCACACATTCCCTGATACAATGGGCTACCTCACTACTATAGGGCCAAAAGCAAGGTGCCACTCAATCATGGACTGAAACCTCTTAACTTGTGAACCTTTTTTCTTGGTAAATTAATAGATCACAGGTGTTTGTTATAGCAATGAAACACTGATGAGCACAAGATGTTTTCATTATTACAATGTCACAGATGCCACAGAAAACCATATACACAAACACGTATACCAAAAGACCTTGGAGACCAGAATTTCCACCTTCCCTGATAGCCCCAAACCAGATCGAACTCAGCAAGGGCCCTTGAATGACTGGTGAATGGGATGGAAAACAAATACTTTGACCCAGAAGCATAGTCTGTGTGCCTTCACAAGGTGTATCAAATTTACCTGTAAATGCCACAATAACTGGGTCCTGAAATAAACAGGACTTAGAAACAGGCCACCAAGAGTTTATAAATGAGATGTTAACCTGATCATGTGATTAGATTATTTTTGTGGTGCTAGGGATCGAACCCAGGGCCTTGCACATGCTAGGCAAGCATTCTACCATTGGTGTCATGCTCTCAGCCCTTTTGGCTTTTTATTTTGTTTCTGAGATACGGTCTCACTAACTTTATTCAGACTGGTTGCAAACTCACTATTCTCCTGTCTCTACTCCTGACTAGAAGGAATTACAGATGTGCACCACTATGCTGGCTTGGTTTTCATTTTCAAAAAGCATATTTTTACAATAGTTTTTGTATCATTAATATATTGGAAAAGTAATCACATTTACTTCACGGTTTATCCCTTTAAAAGGTCTAAATAGTTATGTTCATAACATGAATAGCAGTTTCATGACTATAATTTATAAACTAAAGAAATAATGTATATAGGGATGCACACTCAAATTTTTTATGTAGAGAGTACACAAGGAAAAATTTTGAAGATGATTTGTTTACACAGTGGCCCTTGTGTGGATAAGGTAGACACCAACCTCCAGCTAGAGCTCTAGTCTTAAAGCCCCAGGAGGCCAGATCTGAGGCTAGCTAGTTTGCTCTGCTGACGCAGGTGGAGACTCAGTTTCACTGAGGCGCACACTTAACCACCACCTGCTCTGTCCTGGAGGCGGTAGTCTACCTAGAATCAGAAGTTTCTAAGGGGTGGGGGGAGGGTTGGCGGGGTGTATTTTAGGTGGAAGATGTGGCCCAAAGGGGGTTCTTGGGACAGACTTCCACGAAATCTGCTTTACTGCCTGTTTTCCTCATCCTTGCTGCAGGTTTGATCCCATTCCCCATCGGGGTGGCTTGCCTACCTTCCTAGGTGTAGGTAATGAGGCAATGAGAATCCCTAGAGAGATACACAGATCTTCTGTAACAAGTAAGGCAGCAAGGAGCTCATTATGCAGCTTCTGCAAAGGCACCAGTCTGCCTGCAGATTTCAGGCCTTGAGCCATCTATGGGAATGGGCATTGCTGCAGGGATGGGCCCACAGGCCTCTCCTTACATGGTGTGGGCCTTCAGAGCTTTTGTCTGTATGGCATCACAGTA